CTATTAATAAGCCACTTTTTAAAATTAATAATAGCTTATTTATAAGCTATATATTAAGAAGTCTTTTTATATAATTAGACTAGTCTCTTTATCTTTTAACACTATATAGTATTTTAGTAGTATAATACCTATTAGTAATACTATACTTATAAAAGGTCCTTATAATATCTACGGCATAATAGACAGCTTGCGGGCAATAAGCTTTGTTAAAGGCATTAGTGCACATCTAGGTAGGAGACGCCACAGGTTGACGCAACCCATCTCACCCTCAGCTCGATTGTTCATTGTCCAATAGCACAAACGTCATTTCCGACAGCTATGACCACTCTAGCTCTTTTTTGTGCCGCGATTCTGAGTGATGAGGGAGCCATCGAGTGGCCCGCATGACCTTCTTTCTCATATAACCTGGATCGCGGCCCGGAACGCACCCCGGATACGGGCCCGGGTCCGGGTTCCGGGTGGCGGATGGAGACGGATAAAAGCAGCATACTGGACTTTGGTAGAAGTCCGTGAAACGACAGCTACAGTGCTACACTAAGCTTAACTCGATCAGCATAGTCCTCAGCTTGGAACTCGGGGCTTGTACAGTAGTAAGCCCCTGATGGCCCTGGTGGTATTGTATCCACCTAAAGGTCATTAAGTCTCTTCGCTGTCGATACAAGCATGAGCTCGGCCCAACTTCTACTCATCTACTGGCCAAAGGAAGGCCTGTTTCTAGGATGCTCTTATGTCACATTCTAGCGTTATTGTGGAAAGCCAGCCAAGAATGGCCTGGCAGCTATACCAGTTCGCATATGCCGATGGTAAAAAGGTTAACCTAAGATGCGAATATAATTAATTGTAAGATCAAGGAAAAGGTACAGCACGCGTCAAACCTTAGTATTAGTATGCCAATAAAATACACAATACAGTAGTCAATCAATCACGATACTCTGTTACTAACAATATCCTAATGCATTAAAATACATCTCAATTTTCTGCCAACAATTGCTGTTACTGAGCGTCACGGCGTCCCAAATGTACCATAAGAGCGTGACTATTGACATAGCTTGTAAACCGATCAAATACTTCCATCTTGGCCTCTTTATCAACCAAGTCGACCTCGTACTTCCTGAACAGATATGCGAGAATGTAGTGCATCTCTGCATATGCCAAGTTCTGTCCAAGACAGCTCCGTAGGCCTTTAGAGAACGAACACATGTTGGTATCCAGAGCCTTCCCACCAGCACCAAGCCAACGATCGGGGTTGAATGTATGAGCGTCTTCGCCCCAGAGCTCCTTGCTGAAGTTCATGGTGTAAGCTGACATGCCAATGACAGTACCTGGAGGAACAATCTGGCCATCGACGACGAGAGGCGGTCCATCGCGGGGGACAGTTCGTGGAAGTCTCCCCGGCGAGGCAATGGCGAAGCGTACGGCCTCACGGACTGTAGCGTTGAGATACTCAATCTGTTCCAACTCCACCAAGGACGGCAAGCTCTCTGCATTAATGGCACGAGCGTCTAACTCTCCAGCCAGCCTCTTCCTGACCCGGGTGTTTTTGGCGATTTGACTGACAGCTACTGTTAGGGAATATGCGGTGGTGTCGGATCCTGCTACAAGGAGGTCGCATGCTTCAGCTCCCATCTCTTGCTCACCAAGATCCGAGAGGCTAGATAGGATGGTGCCATAGGAAGACTGAGGCGGACTTTTCTTGAAATTGCTCGCAGCCGCATAACACGCATCATAGACCGTGAACATGAGGCGAGTCTCTTTGCTCGCAGCCTTGGCGATTCGCGGGGGGATGCTTGTGATGATCTTTCGAAAAGTCGGCTTGTACATGAACTTCCAAAGCACGTTAGAGAGCGCGTCGAACGTCCTGAGGAAGTCACCATTGAACCCTTGATCGCTCTTCTCAAGCTGCCCAAATGGCTTTCCGAGACTGTAGTGAGATATGATATCGACAGTGGTGCATCTTATGGCGTTGAAGATGTTGTAAGGGCCCTTTTGGCTGTCAATGCGTCTTCCGAGCTCGTAAATCTTGTCCTTGAGTAAACCTTCCAGCTGCCCAATAGCACGGCGGGAAAAGAATGGGTTCAGACGACGACGTCGCTCCTTATGGAGACTGGGAACGTGTTCGGCAAAGACACTGTGCGGAGTATTGAAACCGGCATAGAACGCGTCGTGTTTGACGTAAGTTGAGGTTTGGTTGTATATATCTTTGTACAGTTTCACATCATCGATGTGTAGCTCGTTAGGTCCGATTCGAATCGCTCTTGAATCTGATTTGCTGGCAGTAAGTATGAGGAAAATAGGCAGGTGGTGATGAATGAGACTGACTGTATTTCTCATGCAACTTTTCGAATACTTCTTCAGGACTTCCTCGCTCAGAAACACGAAGCAGCCATTCTTGTGACAGACAAGCTTTCTTGGGACCGGGGAACTTGGCCAGGGGATGGAAGTGAAGTTTGTAGATTCTGTCAGCAGTTGCATACAAGGAATATGTCGCAACTGAGAGTACAACGAAGCCAATAATGAGGTCATTCTGGGATTGATGAGAGAGAAAGTCTTGTGCATGAGCTAGAGCCCCGGCTAGTAGCTGGTCCATGTTTTCTCTCTGACTGTCCCGTGGTTCTGAAATGGAGAAAAGAAGTCAAGTGTGATGGTATGATCTAGTAATTAAGGGTTGGGGTCGTGTTGAAAGAAAGAGGACAGCTTAAGCTTATGAAGTTATGCAAGATGAGAAACCTGCCCATCCAGAACCGCTTATATGTCATTTGCAGTGGAGAATTCCTGCCACAGGGAACTTTCAACGGGCAATCTAACCTCTCGGTCTCCCAACACACGGAAACATGACTGGGTGCCCTCCCGCATCCGATGGATTCAGGTTGCCCGAAATGCCACGAAGGACCAATGATAGTCCCGATTGTGTCATCCGCCTTGGCTGCCTAGATGGCATGGATCCACTATACCCTAAACCCCAATACGGAGGAACGGCTGCGCGAGTACCAAGATGCGTGAGGCAGAAGCTTGTCTCCTCAGTAACTAAGTTTCTATCAAGATTAAATGTTTCTGAAATTGCTATTTTAAGAGACTTTACAGCTGATGCTTATAACACGCGCCTTATCCTACTATTATGACCAAAGTCAATAGGGTTCTTCAGTTTGTTGGCTCGGTATACCCTAATACCACGTCATAACCCTTGACTACAATTAACCAATCAATTAACAAAGTTGCATATCTAACATTCAAAAGCGAATATCTCGCAAAATTCTGATACCCGGTAGTTTGGTAACCAAAACGCTTTAGCTCGCCCTATCCCCTTGAGCATATTAAACCCAACCCCGGATCCCGGATCCCGGATCCCCAGCGCGCGCCGGGACAGTTTCCACGCTTTCACGATTCCGTCCGGGACATGCAACATTCCGTCAGTCAGCCCGTTGTGAGTAAGTAGGGTCTGGGCACTCTCATTATTTACCAATACTCTCACCTACCACTGTCAAGTCTTGGTATAGTAAATCGACGAACTCATCATCTGTTCTACTCTCTCTCTCTCTCTCTCTCTCTCTCAAACGCATCATGGGTACTTTCAGAGTCTGCATAGTTGGCGGTGGCCTGGCAGGCTCACTGCTGGCCAACGGCCTTATCAACAATGGCGTTGACACACTCGTCTTTGAGAGAGACGAGGAAAACCTGAAGAGGGAAGGATACCAGATTCGTCTGGGAGATCCTGCCATGACAGGTCTGGCCTCTTGCCTCACTGATTCGCACTTGGAAGCTATTGTGCAAAGACTCGGGCGATACTCTGGCTCTTCCAAGACAGCACCAAGTATCTGCAACACCAAGTTTCAGACCATCCTGGACCTGTCGGCACTGCCGACCTATTCCAAGTCATCGGCCATCAACCGCGTCGTCCTGCGTGACTTGCTTCTTGACCCTGTAGCTGCTAAGGGGAAGGTCAAGTTCGGCAAGCAATTTTCACATTACGAAATTATCAAGAACGGGCCGAGTGGGAGTGAGAGCGTCAAGGTGAACTTCAAAGACGGCTCGTCAGAGTATTGTGATATTCTGGTCGCTGCAGATGGTAGCGGATCAAAGGTTAGTGAGCCCGTACTGATAACGCGTTCCTTCAATACACAGGTGCTAAAGCCAATGTGCAGATAAACAAACAGATTGGAGCCAAGAATATCGTCGACATGAAGAATCATCTGTCTTTTCTGTCAAAAGGAAATGCGACCAAGGCACGGCTGCGACAGCTGCCCCCTCGTCTTTTGGACGGGCCAATTCTGGTGTTTAAGAATGGCATCACTCTCTACTATGCACGTAAGTTACCATGTACCCTCCTACAATACCATTTGACCACTGACATTATTCAGTTTATTTGCCGGCTTCTCAACAGAAGGGCGGGAGTCAAGAGCAAGATGGCGACTTCGATTTCGACGAGAACCAAGCATCGTTTTACTGGAGCCTGTCTGTTCCCCGTGAGATGTGTCCCTTCGACGACCCAAGCGATATCCCCGACAAGCGAGAGTTTTGCCTTGACATCGTTCGCGACTGGGCTCCAGAATAGTGAGTTTTGCAACCCATTTCTTGCCCGTCATGCATCGCTCACTCACATCGCACAGCCATGTCATGCTCTCAGCTGGAGCTGATGAGGAGGATAACATCACAGTGACAATGCTCCGAGCGAGTACAAAACTCTCCAAAAACTGGCGACAGCGACTTCGGGCACGCAAAGGCAATGCTGATGAAGAGGGCCACCCACGCGTATGGCTCGTGGGTGACGCAGTACATGCCATGCAGCCAAACAGGCAAGTTGCTTCACGATCTGTAAATAGGAAGCTGCTAACAAGAAACAAGGGGAATGGGTGGAAACCAAGCTATGCGAGACGTCGCCGACATGTTACCCGAGTTGCTAGAACTGAACAGGGCGGCCGAAGCAGGCCCGCCACTGAGCACTAAGGAGATCGAGACCAGGTGCAATTCATACGAGAAACAGATGATTGACCGCTCTTTTGATTGGGTGGCTAAGAGTGGGGGAACAGCTCAGCCGGTAAGTCGAACCCTGTCTGGCCATAGAAGCTTGCAAGTGCTGACTTTGTCAAGACCGTCGACCTCGATGGACTTTTGGGCAGTGTTATATCCTTCTTGGCATCCTTGCTGCTGCCTGTAGCGACGACCCTGTACAAGGCTACCAAGCGGTCTAAGCAGTAGAGGTTATCACGGCCTCAGACGGACCCAATGGGATCTGAAGGCGGGATCCTAAGCTGGAGTTTCCGGAGTTTCGCGACACCGAGTTGTGGGGACGGACTTTGACAAAGGCCGGAATGGCCGCTGTCGCCGTAAAGAAAGGCGGGGTATTTATCTGGGGTAGTCTAACAGACTCTAACTAAGTTAGCTATGCAGAACAGAATCACCGTAGCAATTGTAACTGCATGCCGTAACTATCCTAAAGTCTGACAGACATGGTTACACAGGGTGCTTATCTTGATAGACTTTCAAGTTTGAATAGATCCGTTTTATAGTCTATATGTTGCTCTTGTGCACTTCGCAGTACCGACATCCATCACGCCAGCCGATTATATTTGGCAGATAGATAATTGGTCGTAAATAGGTGGCACCTGGCTGATGACCCCATACCCGACACGCACTTCCCCCGCATTTTAGCGGCAAGGTCTTGTCGGTAGTGGATTTTATAAAACCTCTTCCGAGTACCTACATTGTAGACAAGTATTGGTCTTGTTGTTCTCGCCATTCCTACTCCACACCGACAAGTTTATATCACACAACATGCCCACCAAGAGACTAAGCGATGGCATGCGTCGTCGCTGTGCTGCAGCATGCGAGAGCTGCAAACGCCGAAAAGAACGATGCGACGGCAACTTGCCATGTCGTCGGTGCGCCCTCCGAGAGATCGCCTCCGAATGTCGCTATTCAACTCCAAAGCGGCGGGCGTCCGTCTCCTCACGCCAAAGTACCAGCATAGGTTCACGGGAACCCCCAGACCTAGTGACAGATATGCTGCTGAGCTACTCGGCCGTTGCCCACGACCAACCTCTTCACCAGAGAGCGAGCCAGCTTGGAGACTCCTTCTTGAACATGGACACCGCATTCCCTAACACGTATCGGTTGATAGAGGAGGACGACCAACAAGGTTCCCTGTATTTTGGGGACGCGGCCAACGAGTCCTTTCTTCACAAGATCCGTCAGCTCGTTGCTCAGACGCTGGGGCCTTGCCCGTTTGTCGAGCAGCCGATACAATACCATACCAACCGCGATTCCATCTGCCCAGTTTCAATGTCCGATCCGCCCCCGAAGCCAAGCCATTCGCATGCAAAGCAGCTGATGAATTGGGGTTTGCAATCTACAAGTCATTTGCTGGGTGCTCTAGACGAATCAGAGGTTCAGACACAAATAGACAAGTGGCTGCAGCAGCAAGACGACGATACTGCAAGCCTCTCATCTGCAATTTGTTACCTGATCCTAGCAAATGGTGCACTTACATGCCCGGGAGACGAGGATGCAACCGCCGAAGGGTACTACACATATGCGAAACATCTGACAAATTTAAAATCGGACCAAGGGCCAAATCTCTCATCGATCCTCTGTCACAACCTGATTGCATTTTATCAGCTACACTCAGGAAGACGAGACGCCGCGTATCACTCCATCGGAGTCGCAAGCCGACTTGCATGCGCCATGGGCATCCACAGAGTGGACAAACCAAACAACATGAGTCACGCTGATGCTGCTTTCCGCGAACGTCTCTGGAAAGCATTACGGCTGTTTGATACTTTCGCCAGTGGTTCTCTAGGGCGACCTATCTGCACCTACGAGACTCGCAACACAAAGGCCGACAAGGGCTATTCTTCTGCTATCGATATGGCAGCTATCATAGAATCCGTCTTGAGAGGCGTCTACGGGCCCTCCAAGGTCTCGAGGCACTTCATCACAAGCATGACTCAAGAACATCGCTCATGGGCAACTCGCATGGCTCATGGTTTAAAGACCGATGGGTTAGAGTGCGCGGAGCAAGCCAAGGGTTACGATTCAGCACCTACCCTGGCATCCTTAAACATGAAACAGTCATACTACTGGTCAATCATGTTGCTGACTCGGCCTGTGCTGCTTGATCGAGTGGCGGCACGGGCAATGCGTGGTGCTCTCAGCGATAACAGCTATCGAGACCAAGACGGAGCGGCAACACCTTCAAATCCCGACACAGCTCTTCTGTATGCCTCAGTTGATTCAGCTGTACGCATAACACGCTTGCTTCAGAGCGTTCTCACGAGGGAGGATGTACCCAAGCGGTCCCCATTTCCGGTCCACTCTGCCTTCACTGCTGCTCTGACTCTCGGCGTCGCTACCTTTGCAGACCTGGACCAAGTTTTCCCGCTGCGCTCCAATTTGGAAATTGTGCGGCGTTTGCTGCAGAGGTTTGAGAAACATGATAGTATCGCCAGGTACTACTGGCAGGTTGTGCAGCAGCTTCAATCTGTATGCGACGAGTACGTGGAGCAGCGGAATAACCGTATCGTTGAGAAGCAAAGCCATTTGGTCGGCGAGCTGTTTGGTAGGCTTCAGGAGAAGACGCCTTTGCCGACACACAACCGTAGGATTATGGACGGAGGATGGCCTGATGAGGCGGTTGAAGCCCATGGGGTCCAAGTCCAAACCCCATTAGCCTCTCCGCCAAACATCTCTTTGACGGAGGATTCGGGGCTAGGAGCTGATCTTACGAGTATTGGTGGAAGTCTAGACCACCTTTCTATTGACTTATTCCAAGATTCTTCGTTAATAGACGTCCCGCATATAGAAGATACTTCAGATGTAGGTAGTATAGTCTTCTCTGGCTTGAGCTGGTTTTAATAATGGCGACGAAAGAAAGCTTGTAATATTGTATCATAGAATCGCATTAATATCATAAGTTACTGAACGCATTGCATCCTGTCAACTTCCACGCAGTATCTAGATATCCAGGGTGTACGTTTTCCCAGGCTGCGTATCAATGGCTCTAGCCGCTGTCTCCCGTTCAAGTATATCCTTTGCAGCCGTGACATTCACTCTCAATGGTTTGATGATGCTTGAAAATGTTAGCAGTGTGATAATCTTGAACGGTACGGATGACTATTAGAATCTCACCTTTCATCATTCAGGCAGAAATAAATACTGGTGGGTTCACCAAGCCACTTAGCCTGCTTCACGAGGAATTCAGCTGCCGAGCCTTGGTACGGTCTCCCATCAAGATTGGCTCGACCGCCGACTCCCATGATAGCAACAGTGGGCTTGGGCGTCAGACACTGGGCGATGCCTTGGTACACGCCCAAGTGACTGTTAAACAAGATGCTCTTCCCGTCAGCGACGAAATTATACATCAGCTGGCCGCCATCAAAGTGCGACATGACGTGTTTCTGGCGGTCCTGCACATAATTGGCAAAGGACCGCGTCCCCGGGTCCATGCTCTCCTCGGGTAGAAACTCCTTCATCTTGAAGAGACCAAACTGCATCAGTCGGGTGATGTCCAAGGTACAATCGAACGGGGTGGCTTCGCCGGTAAACTTCTCTGCGGTATCGAATTCTTCTGGGAGGTCGTGGGGAGTAATTGCAGGAATTAAAGAGTGCAGTGACGGCCAAACGTGGACTGCGGCTGTGGCATACTTGACATGCGGCATAGGAGGCGCTGTCGGTGGTGCTGGAGCTCGATCAATTAGGCCTTCTGCAGCCTTTTTGAGGATCTCCTTGCTGAAGAGGGGTACTCTTTCGCCGCCGCTTACTGGGATCAACTGCGTGTCTGGGACGCCTGCTTCTCCAAGACATTTGATGGCCTCACCATTGGCAATGACCTTAGCTCCTGTTCTGAGAGCCAATTGATCCGCGCCGGGAAGGCTATCGGCGAATTAGTTTCTTGTATAAGTGAGATACTGGCTCAGACTTACTGATCGAAGTGGGCATGAGAGATGACGATGTAATCTAGTTCTGTTACGTCCTCAAGCTCGAGGTAACGCTTCAAACCCTCTGGTTTATCGAGCCAAGTGTCATGGAAGATGGTCAAGCCCTTCCATTTCAGCCTAAAAGTAGTTGTCCCTGTGTCATTTTATCAGTACGTGAACTGGGCTCACTTTCCAGACTTCGGCAGCTGGCATATGTGAAGTAGATTGAGATGCTTGCGAAACATACCGAAGAACTCTAACGTCGCTTTTGTTTCCATGATGGCTTCAGGGCTTCTTAGAGAGGAATGCGCGGAAAACGAAACCGTTCGTGATAGCTGACAAGGCTCTGTGATATAAGCGCTCTCCTCAGGTTAACGAGAGTTTGTATGCTTAAGCGGGTCTTTGGCTGGGTAGCTATACTTCCAAAATGGCGACTCCTAGTACGGAGTATGAAAACACACGACAGTGTTAAGACCCGGTGGAAGCGGGGGTGGGGGCGGGGTTTGCTCCGACCCGGCCGGCTCCCGGGCTTCCGGACCCCGGTTCAGGGGTTCGTTCCGAAATTTTAAATACCAGTAGATCCGGACATCACATCACTAATCTTAAGTACCCGTAAGAGCCTTGAATGCATAGCGGCTCCTTGACCAAGTCTACGTACCTCTCGTGAATATCGATCCGCAGGATTCAACCCTCACTCTATCCGCTGCACACATCAACCCATTCCTCTGACCGTACTAACATGGGAGAGCCAGACAACTGGGTGCCCGCGCAGGAGGGCCCTGCTTTTAAGCCCCGCAAACTCAAGGTTGTCTGCATAGGCGCTGGGTATGCTGGGCTGATGCTCTCGTATCAGTACAAGCATGGAGACACGCCTTTGGAGCAATTTATGGATCTGAAGATCTATGAGAAGAATGATGATATCGGGGGAACTTGGTTGGTTAATAAATACCCCGGAGTTGCGTGCGACGTTCCTGCGCACATTTACACGTTCCCCTTTGAGCCCAATCCCTCTTGGAGCCAGTTCTATGCCACAGGTCCAGAGATATGGAGATATATCAAGAAGACATCCGATAAGTATAAGCTTGACGAGCCTGTCATACTAAATACTGAAGTTGTGTCCTCTGTTTGGGACGATGATACTGGCAAGTGGCGCCTCGAGATCAAACAGGGTCATAATCATGAAATCATCCAGGAGGAAGCAGATATCGTCATCAATGCCACTGGGTTCCTCAGCAAATGGACCTGGCCTACGATACCTGGACTGGATAAGTTCAAGGGGAAAATGGTCCACACCGCTGCCTGGGATACAAGTCTTGACTGGTCCGGCAAGAGAGTCGCCATCATCGGAAACGGCTCTTCCGCTGTTCAAGTCCTTCCACAAATGCAACCTACAGCAGCCAAGATCGTCAACTATGCGCGCAGCCCGCTTTGGATCAGTAGCGCATTCGCCTCAGAGTTTACACCAGAGGGCAAGAACTTTACATACACCGACCAAGAGATCCAAGCATTCAAGGATGATGAGGACATGTTCTTTAAGCTCCGTCATAGTATTGAGCATTCCTTCAACAAATTCTTCAAGGTCTCTCTTAAGGATAGTCCAGAGCAGAAACAGGCTTTTCAGTTCTTCAAGGCAAAAATGGAGGAAGCACTCAACCACGACCCTGTTCTGTGCGCCAAACTTATCCCGACATTTCAAGTCGGTTGTCGCCGCCTCTCTCCCGGTGAAAACTATCTTCAGGCACTACAGCAAGATAACGTCACCCTCCAAGATGTGCCCATCCAGGAGATTGTTGAGACTGGAATCCGCAGCCTAACAAAGACGGAGGAGTTTGATATAATTGTCTGCGCAACAGGCTTCGATGTCAGTTTTGTCCCGGGATGGAAAGTTGTGGGCCAGAATGGGATTTCACTTGCTGAGCAGTGGAAAGATGCCCCAGAGGCCTACTTTGGGGTATTTGCTGCCAACATGCCGAATTTCTTGACTGTCAACGGACCAAACACTCCTCTAGCACATGGAAGCTTACTGGCCGTGATGTCGTTCACGGTGGACTACATCGCAAGATGGATCCGGAAAATATCAACACAGAATATCAAGTAGGTCATACATTGTTGCCAAGTTCACGAGAACTCATGCTGACTGACTACCGCTCCATCTAGATCAGTCCAAGTCCGTCAAGATGCGTTGGATGACTTTAATACCTACGCCCAAGAATTGATCAAGGGGACTGTTTGGACGGGCGACTGCAGGTCCTGGTTCAAGAAAGGAAAGGCCGACGGTAGGGTGACGGCTATGTACCCTGGTAGTGTCATTCACTACAAGGAGATTCTGGATGAGTTTAGAACTGAGGACTTCGTGTACAAGTACACTAGCGGGAACCGGTTCCAGTTTATGGGCAATGGGATGACCTTCAGGGAGAAGAATGACGAGGACTTGGCATGGTATATGCGGAAATAGCGAAGCAGGACTTGTTCAGTCTTGGACTTGAGTCATATTTATACTTAGATGAAGAATGTCCCTTTTGCCCTTACAGCAACTGTAAGAATAAACATAGTGCTGACCTTGTAGTAGACGACGGTTGGATAATATGATCATGGTTACTTGTGTGTAGCTGTAGTTCTTCGAAGGAGGTAGTACTTGTTGGCATTTTCACTTGCTCCAGGAGAATAGCCGCCAATTATCCAATTTTTTTCTCCCATCACGGTGAAGCTGGGGAAGCGTACAAGAGCTCATGTGTTGTTTGCTCTTGAGCCTCATGGCTGAGAACTTAAATCAGCAGAGAGTACTCAGTATGAGAATCCATGTTATGATTGCACTATGCGTAGATCATGGCTTTTAAGCCTACAAGATATCAAGCATCCTAAATAGTATCCTTCAAGAAGGCCAACTGTTTCTCGATATTCTCTTCGAAGACCTTGCCATGATAGGGGTCGAAGTGGCCAGCACCCTTCAAAATAGCCAGCTTCTTCGGCTCATAAGCCAAAGCGTAGGCCTTAAGCTGAGTAAAAGTCGGTGCACACATATCACTCTCCGCACTGACAAAGAGGAGTGGTGTAGGTGCGATACGGTGCATAAAAGCCAATGGCTCAAATGCAACCATGTCGAGAAGTGTTTGGGGAGTCACATTCGGAGACCAAGGAACCTTATTCTTATCCAAAGCCTTGATGAAATCACAGAGATTCTCATCGCGGATAAGGGCACTGGTGTCCTGCTGGAGACTCTCCTCGGCAGTCTCGGCGAAAAGCTTGATCAGCGGGGCAGGTTTGCCGGCTTTGAGCTGTTGTCGGCTGCTGTACAGGGAGGGAATCATGGGTGCGAGGTTTGTGCTAAGCTGTTCGCCGGATACAAATGGGACTTGCGAAATCACCGCTCGGATACGCTTGTCGAATGCCGCAGCGAGCAAAACGGAGCCGCCGCACATGCTGGTGCCCCAGTAGACGATCCTAGAAGAATCGACCTCGTCCAACGATGCAGCGTAGTCAAAGGCATCTGAGTAGTCTCGAGCAGTTTGGACGGGGTTTGTCTCGTTACGTGGAAGACCGTCACTTGCACCCCAGTTGCGATGGTCGAAGAGCAAGACTCCATAGCCAGCGGCTTGGAACCGCTTGGCAAAGTTGGGGCAGAACTGCTCCTTCAAACCTGCCAGCTAGGAAAGACATTAGTGGGTATTTCAGTTGATTACTCAGAGGAAGCTTACTCCGTTCGCCATAATAATGCATGGATGCTGCCCATCTCCACTGGCGGCGGTGTAGAACCAACCCCTAAGGGTTAGTCCGTCAACAGTGGGGAACTCGACGTCTCGACGCCCTGGTGCCATTTTGTGAGAGATATCGGGAGTTTAAAAGAATGCAGCTGCTAGAAAATGGTGGTAAGCAGAACTGATTTAGCGGTAGCTAGAATACCCTTCTTAAATATATACCTCGATATTTATACCCGCGATGACCTGTCATCGGCTGAAGTAGAAGCCATTCCGGATTTCGGATCGGATCCAGGAATCACATCAGCAGTGTCCCGGTTCGGAAAAGGACATGAAAGAAGTTTCTCTCACGGGATACCGATAGTAGTTCTCCTTCATATGGATTGTTATAAACCCCACAGTTCGTGTGGAATTAAAGCATCCTCAAATCTGGAGATTTCTATATGCTAGACCGGTTTACCCAACAAGTGCCATCTCTACGGAGTAAGCTTGGCAACAACGAGACGACTAATCTGTGCTTCTCTGTTGAGAAAGCTGTCAGTGTCGAAAATACCGCGAGTCATAGATATTAACTTTTCCAGGGTCTGCGTGGTTTTAATATATGTAATCCACTTCAGATGGGGATCGATATCCACCTTTCGTCAACACGGATACTAAGATACGTAAGCTCAAAGGTGAAACAAAACACCGAGGTTACGATCTGCGATTTTGAGTTTTATTGGTATCGGTGCTTTATTTACCCACCAAGTGAATGGTCAGTTATAAGCTTTGCAAACTGGATCATTTGTCTTGGCAGTTGAATAGTCGGTAAGAAAGGGCATACGAAGTGTTTATAGTGCGCGAAAGAGTATACAGCTTAGAGTACATATACCCCAGCTTGGTATCACCAGCTGCTTTTATCTCCTATGTCTTGACCTCGTCACTCCGTCAAACCCAGACACTACCAAGATACCCACCATGCAACTCTGTAGCATCTTTGTCTTGGCAGCTGCCTTTATGCCCTTCGCCGCCGCAGATGATTGCGTTTCGCGAACCACGCCTTGTGTAAGTGGGCATAGTCTGTGAAGATGATGGTCGTTTACTTATCACATACCAGTCCCCGATTGCAGTCTGCGATAGTATGACTGGCCTCAATGTATGCGGTACAACGGAACATGCTAGCCAATGCTCTACAATGGTTGTTCCTGACAATGATTCTGGATCTGTTTCGGCAAGTCTCACAAAACTCCAAGTCTCATGGATGAGTAGCTAATAGCCTCAAAGTGCCAGTGCTGTAAAGTTTAATAGGAGCAGATCGCAGAAGCCCGGACTATATATAACACGATGGTCTAGTCCAATGGGCCAAATTGAGTTGAAATGAGATTATCTTTAGGGTTTACTAGACAATAAGAACTGGACCATCGATAGATTGGCTAATAATACGACATGTTGTCGCTGTTCCCGCAGAATGCATGTAGTAGGCACCACCAGTCAGTCAGCCTCACTCCAAGCTCTTAATAGTCCGCGTCCTTTCCCATCGAAGTCGCTTAGCTACTCCTTCTCGTTCCTCTGGTGCTCGATGCACTCAATATCGGTGGCTTCAAGCTTCTTCTCGGATGGGTTCTCGGAGTATTTCTCGAAAACTTCAGAAATCTCTTCAAGCGATCGGTTCTATAAATTTAGTCAGACAGGTCAATGTTGCGAAAGACTAGAGAAAGACTTACCTTGGTCTCCGGAAACATGAAGAACACAGTGACTAGAACAATGCAAAGCCAGACGCAGTACACGATATAGTACTTCCATCCAAGATTCTTCAGCCCAATGGGGTTGACGAACTGATTGAAGAAACTGGCTCCTTTGATGGAACCCATGAGAAGTGCGATACCCTTGGCGCGGATGTTGAAGGGAAGAATCTCAACAGGGTATGCCACAGCCAGTGGATTCCAGCAGATGTTGTACGATGAAGCGAAGAAGATGACACAGGTTAGTATACCTGCACCGGTGGCCTCTGACTTGGTTCTTGCAAAAACACTGCCAGTGATGGTCCAGGCGACCATGCCTGCGAGCATGCATGAAGTTGCGACGACGAAGAGAGGGCGACGACCAACTCGGTTGACAAGGTTCGCGCCAGTCATGGCCACGATCATGTTCCAGATCTGAAGGATACCGTTGATGAGAGTAATGTCTTCTTGAGAGTTGATACCAATGGATCGAAGGACGGGGGCGATATAGTAAGACTAGATAGATGAGTGAGTTACTTATATGATGTTGAGCGTGCTGACTTACCACCAATCCGTTGCCAGACCATTGGGGGAAGAAAGCACAGCAAATGACAAGGAATGTGCGATGCCTATTGGCCTTAGTCTGTACCAACTCCTTCCATGATCGGGAGCCTGCCAACTCGAGCTGAAGTGCAGTTCGGATCTCCTCAAACTCAGCGGCAACAAAAGCAGAGCCTTGATCACCGTTGGCGTGGTACTTGATCAGGATCTCGCGTGCCTCGTCATGGCGGTCTTGACCTACAAGCCATCGAGGACTTTCGGGGAGAAACCAGAGTCCGATGAGATTAATGATGGCGGGGAGGGCTTGAAGAGCTGTAGGGAGTCTCCAGGACCATTCGGAGTTGATGCGGTAAGTGCCGTATGTTGTCCATGCTGCAATGATGGACTAAAACCATTAGTCGGCGTACATGATGGCTCTATAGATATTGGACTTACTCCCAAGTACCAAAGTGTGTTGTACATTGATGTTAAGGTCGTTCGTGATTCGGGATGGGCAAGTTCGGCGGCGAGCATGGGAGCGGAGCTGGATGCGATGGTGATTCCAAGGCCGATTAGGAATCGCGAAGCCATATACATGGGCGCTGATGGGAGTGTCAGTATTCGTCTAACAAATGTGCCAGGAAAGGCTGACTGTTGATGCTCGCGGTCTGGATGATGGTAGAGAGGATGACAATGACATCTCCAACAACCATAGCCCAACGTCTTCCATGATGGTCAGATAGCCAAGCTGCAGGGATCGTTCCGAAGACGGCACCGAGAGGGAGAATGGCGTTCATGATTCCAAGAAGAGAGCCTTGTGGATGGTTGAAGTTTAAGCACCAAGGGTTAGGTACAATCACCAGCAATAGAAGTAAGATACTAACAGTTTTGCCATCGATCAACTCCTTGGATGCCGTTCATGAGACTCGAATCATACCCCATTGCAGCGCTGACAATCAGCGAGCCAGGGATGAGAAGAAGATACAGCTTGAGAAGGCTAGGATTCTTGAAGAGCGAAGTCGAAGCTGGAGCGGTCATGATGGCGATGGTGACGGTTGTCGATGATACTCAGAGAGCTGATGGTGGATGATCTGCAACTCAGGCTGGGGTACTGCCTTTTTATGACCATTTCAAGTTCAAGAAACTTGCATTCATCGTGAAATATCAAGGTGTCAGTTGACTAACGATCCCGACGCGTTCCAAAATCTGGATCGTGGTTTTCTACCCCATCCGGGGTAGCTGACCTGCTGAATCTTCTCCGCAAAACTCTATTATCGAGCTGAGTAGAAGACGAGCGCTAGCTTCCAGTGGAGATTGGGGAGTTCATGATGTCGGCTCATACACCGAAATGCCCCGGCCAATCAGGGACTGTAGTGCGTGGATCAGTGCGTCGGCGCCATAGCCGAATTGCCCCGATGATGAACTTACCCTGTTGTTGGTGTTGAGGGTTCCAAGAATATGGACTTGGACCAGGGAACAAGCCCGACCTGCCCCGGAGTCAAATCGGGGACCCCGTATCTCGTGGCAAGATGTTCTTAAGATGTCATCTTCCACGATTCCTCGCGCGTTCGCATCCTTGAAGCTGCCAACGCCTGGAATTACGTTTGTCTCGTTAGTTTCATTTTGTCCATCTCGCAGCCAAAAGCCATGGGCTCAATCGATCGCGACCTGCCATCCGAGCTCTCACTAGAAGAGGCCGTGAACCTCCTCTCAGGCCATGATTTCTGGCATACTCGTGCCAACGAAGCCCTCGGCCTCGGTTCACTCAAGTTCTCTGATGGTCCGAATGGCGTCAGAGGCGAAGACTGGATCAATGGAGCACCATCTGCAGCCATTCCCTGTGGGACAGCTCTAGGTGCCTCATTCGATGTGGAATTGGTGACGAAGCTGGCTGGTGTTCTCGCGAGAGAGTGTAAGCGAAAGGGCGTGCATGGACTCCTTGCTCCAACTATGAACACCCATCGCTACCCTTTGTGTAAGTCCCATCAGATGGCTACTCGCGACCCAACTAACTGTTTAGGTGGGCGAAACTTTGAATCATTTAGCGAAGATCCCTTGCTCAGCGGCCTCATCGCTGCGTCTTTCGTGAACGGTCTCCAAGCACAGGGCATTGCCACGAGCCCAAAGCACTTCCTAGCAAACGAAGCTGAAAACGGTCGACGATGGAGTGACAGCATTATTGACGAGCGAGCACTACGGGAGATATACCTTGAGCCGTTCAGAATTGTGGTAGAACAGGCCGATCCATGGTCCATCATGACTGCGTGAGTCAAAGGCAGCCCTGTCAAAAACACCAGATTAACGTGTGATCACTACAGGTACAACTCGGTTAACGGCTCCTTCTGCTCCGAATCACAGAATCTTCTGTCCATCCTGCGCGACGAATGGCGATACAATGGCGCGGTCATTTCAGACTGGTTCGGCACCTACAGCACAACTGAAGCATTCAATGCTGGCCTCGACCTCGAGATGCCAGGACCGACCAAGTTCCGCGAGTACAATAAAGTGTTGAAGGCCATAAGAAAGGGTGAAGTACAGAGAAAACAGATCACAGACTCAGCAGCGAGGATTGTCGATCTTCTTCGAAAGACTGGCCGTGCCGGAGAACCTGGTTTCCCGCCGCCGCTGAAGGCTGAAGAACCAGATTATCTCGACGATGTCGAGTCGAGAGCGTTGATCCGACAGGCTGCTGAGTCAAGTATGGTGCTTCTCAAGAATGGAAGAGACACACTTCCACTACTTGATCGAGCCACCAGACTCGCTGTGTTTGGCCATCATGCGACAGAGCCGTCCCTGTTTGGAGGAGGCTCCGCTAGTCTCAAAGTGCCATACACATCAACTCCATGGGAAGTTCTCAGCAAGACATATTGCAACGCTACGCTTGGGGCCGGCGTAGCGGTCAATAGGCTTGTACCACTACCAAACGAATCTGGCCTTGGCATTGAGAACATCACGCTTCTTTGGTATAACGGAGATCAACCCTCTCCAGGCCAGCTCTTTCACCGTCAAGAGTTCAAGGACACTTTATACATGCTTGTTGAGCATGCACCAGACGGTCTGCTAGATCGCTCTGACTTTTGCACAACCATGAAGTTCGAGCTTGTCGCGCAAAAGTCGGGGTTCTACAACCTTAGTTTAAGCGGCCCTGGTAGCGCAAAGTGCCTGCTAGACGACAAGGTTGTTCTTGACGTTGAGCGAGATCTCAACGTTTCTACCGAGGACTTCCTCTTTGATCGCTCGAAACTGGAAGTCTGTCGAGATGAACCGCTACTCTTGGAAGCAGGTCGAACATACAAGTTTGAAGTTGTCAGCTGGTCGTCAAAGCACAAGGCGCAGAATGTGACCCGCGAGTTCTTCATCCAGGGCTGTCGACTGGGTCTTGCGCTCGCTAGCGATGATAATTTGCCTTTGGCTAGTGCAAAGAAGCTCGCGGAGACTGTCGACACTGCGCTAATAGTTGTCGGTACCGGCACTGAATGGGAATCTGAGGGATTCGACCGTGTAAGCATGAAGCTCCCACGTCGGCAAGATGAGCTCATCCTTCGTGTTGCCAAAGCATGTCAAGGCAAGACTATCGTGGTGGTCAATGCTGGGTCGCCCATTGACACGAGTGCTTGGATTGATGAAGTGGATGCAGTCATCTATGCGTGGTTTCCGGGTATGGAGTTCGGCAATGCGTTGGCTAGAGTTGTCTCTGGAGAAGTATCTCCATGCGCTAGACTCCCAACTACGTTCTGGGATACGGTGGAAGATTACCCAGCTGGCCACGTGGAGAGCCTTATGACTCCTAACAAGGAGATACATTACCGCGAGGGTATCCACGTCGGATACCGCCAACAGTCACTTGAGACGTACAACCCGCGTTTCGCTTTTGGTCACGGACTGTCATACACCACGTTCAGCTGTTCTATCACAAGTCCTACCTACTTGGCGTTTGACGCCCGCCAAGAAACAAACAAGGTAGTCATGAGAGTTACGAACACTGGATCGCGGGCTGCTAGTCAGACTGTTCTCCTCTTCATAGAAGCTTTGGAGCCAGCGACACCAAGACCAAGCGTAGAGCTACGAGCATTTGCAAAGATGGAAATTCTGGAGCCGGGAGCTTCCCAAGATCTGGAATTCTGCTTGAAAGTTCGGGACTTCTCGTATTGGGATGTCAAAGACCATCTTTGGCGCGTTGACGCGGGCAATTACAGGTTACGCGTTGCTGGACCGCATGGAGTTGGGGACTGGAGAGAAATTGAGGATGTTACCATCAGAATCGAAGAACGAATGACAGTAGAATAGAATATGGCAGATTTCTTGGAACTTTTGTGTTGACCCCTGTGTTATAAGCGTCCCTCGATTGACATCAGTGTATACAAACTAGATTGGGGTTGGCAATTCGTCGAAGCGTATTTCACTGTGAACTCATGAGGTACCAAGAAAGTAGCGCAGCTCCAGTTACACTTAACGAGAATATTCTCTTCTTCAAAACATCATTAGATTACTCTCAAATCATACAACCTCCTTCCACTGTAACTTCTCCACCTCATCATGACCTGTCATGAACCTGATACTGTTCTCAAGAATGACTCTCAAGACCTCCATTTCCTTCTCGTCACGGGGACCGTAGATCATCAAGTATGTACTGGCAATAGCATATTTGTTCTTCACCCAAGAGGTTTCGGGAACCGAGAGTCTGTGCCTCTCGGCCCATCCTTTCTCGATGATTACACGAGCGTCGGCGGGTGAAAGGTATAGATGTACCGACAGATCAGGGTGAGCATGGCCGAGCTCGCCTCTCGCTATGATCGCAGTGTTGGGAAGGCTTTCGGGCTGTGACTCAAGGAGCTTTTGTGAAACAAAGAGTGCGTCGTGGTGCCGTTCGTACAGTGACTTCTTGGTTTCGAGGGTTGAGGGGTGCTGTCGTGCGGCGTTGTTGAAGAGGTTTTCGATGTATTACCAAGCAAAGTTAGTCGAGTTAAAACGGCCGAGATGAGCAGAGATCGAGGACATACAGTTCTCATACACGGAGGCGCATGCTGCGACAATTGCCGATGGGGGGCAATGCCCCCAAGTAGCGCCCGCTCTCCCTGACGCCTAGGTAGATTTTGGATCTCAGAGTGGCTTCCCTCTATAGGATAGTCGGCGATATAGGTGGCCCCGGACTTGCTCAATGCAAAAGGACGGGTGCCAAAGGTGATCCACGCCCAACCTTTGACATTATAGGGAGGACCACCTGGACCGAGGGCGAGGTAATTGCGATAGTCCTTGATACACCAAGCTGCAAACGCTACTAGGGCTGCAGCACCAGAGGTTGTAGCGAGGAGTAAGGGACGCTGGTGAATTGCACGATCCAACATTGCCTTGAGGTGTTGGAAATCAGCCATGGTGATCAGACTAGGGCTAGTACTGTGAGAACTTGACGGACATACCGACAACTCTGGGGCAAGACTTAGTTATGTACTCAAGAATGACAGCCTGCGCGTTCCGCCGCAATCATTCAACACCAAACCTCTTGCGACACCAGCTCCAGCGACGATCTACTCCAGTTTCGGCCTAGAATGGATCATCGGGGCATTTCGGCCTCTGAGCCGACGCCTCCAAAACTCTACGCAGGGGCTCGACTCGATGATCTCCACTACTCCACGCCCTAGCCCATTGTCCTGCTTCCGATGACGGTTTGGAATTACTGGAAATGGCTCGACCATTTATTTAAGCATCGTATAATCGGCAATTTTCCCAATGGACCCGATATACCCATGTCTTCTTCAGTCATTCGACGTCAACTATTCACCAATTCCTCTACCAAAATGTCAATCCAACGCCTTGTTCGTTTCGTCTCGAAAGATGATGGCAAGACTTATTACGGTGCTGCAGATGAGGCCCTCCAATTCGCCAGTCCTCTTCAAGCAGGAAGCCCATTCTCGCCTACGACTAAAGTCGGCGACAGCAAGCACAGTATTCAGAAGCTCTTGTGTCCCATTGACATCGACCATGCTCGGTCTGTTGTTTGCATCGGGTTGAACTACACGGACCACGCTGAAGAAGCCAAGATGGCTATCCCAAAGGTTCCAGTTGTTTTGTAAGTTACCGCGCTCTCCACACTTCACTTTGGAGAACGTGGTCTCACAACCGCTGTCGATAGCTTCAAGCCAGTCACTGCGCTCACTGGCCCATACGACGACCTTGTCCTCCCTTGCACTTCATGGGAAAAGGGAAGACTCGACTACGAATCAGAACTGGTAAGATGTCCTAATTACAGATAAAGAGACAAGATGCTTACTTCCGTAGGTCATTGTGATTGGCAAGAAAGCTTCGCGGGTGTCCAAGGATGACGCACTGGATTATGTCTTCGGCTACACGGTAAGTAATCAGAGTTCACAGGAGATGAGAGACTCGTTAATAATGGTGTTATAGGCAGGTAACGATATCTCAAACAGAGCATGGCAGCTTGAACCCAACTTGGGCGGAGGCCAATGGTGCTACTCGAAATGCTTCGACTCCTCCGCTCCTATAGGCCCTGCGATCGTGTCAAAAGGCACCCTTGGTTCTGCTGTCGGTCTTGGGATTCGCGGTACCCTCAACGATACCCAAGTGCAAGATGGTAACACCAACAATATGATCTTCTCTGTGCCTGAGATTGTGTCATTCTTGAGCCAGGGCATGACCCTGCTTCCTGGTAGGTTCACTACTCACTACCCACAAGACTCATTGCAATAAGTCACTGACTCTCCTCTCCTAGGAACCCTCATCTTCACTGGAACACCCGCTGGCGTTGGGTTTGGCAGAAGGCCTCAGGTTAGTATGAAGGAGGGCGATGTCACCAAGGTTGAGATAGATGGTATTGGTGCTATTGCAAACAAAGTTGTATATGAAGAATAGATTCCCAGAACATTCAGGGTAGCATAGTAGAATATTTTAATCGACAGAATTGACTAAAGAACTGACCAATTAATATACCTGCATGTCATTCCCAATTGACCTGTTCTCATGCCATTGAGCATCCACTATCAACGCCCAAAGCTGATCCGCGCAAAACGAAAGACTCGCACTCTCCTTATCCCACAGTCGAAGCTGGTGATATGCATGTTGACAAGCATCCAGAGCATGCCGGGAAAACGACCCTCCAAATATAGTAGGCATGGCTGATCCCTGTGACATCGGACTTGCAATGTCGGGAGTCTGAAACTCAGGCTCGCTTGAATCCATGTAACTAATGACATTTGGTAGATGACATGCAGCAATGAGTGAGATAGCAGCTGACCAGACGTTCCTTGCTAAAAGCCAGCATCCGTAATGCCGAACCGGCTGTTCTGATTGTTGGTGGAGAAACTTCATCGTGTAGTACAGGTACTTCACCGTTCCTTTTAATAAAGCGTCAGGAGTGGAGCCTGGTTCGTGTGTGTCGGAGTGAGTATCTGCGAGAGCCGCGAGAAAAGGACGGAACACCAGCATCATCAGCTGTCCTTGTCTATCAACCAAGACCTTTCGCATTCGTTGTTTGATGGATTGCTCCAGTGTTTCAATTGTTCCTGGAGAGAATTCAGAGGGAAAGTGTGAAGCAACTCGAAGGTCTGCTGGGAGGGAGCTCATCCTTTTGACTAGTTAGTTATAGCTCAGATATTCTCCTAGGCAGTGACCTTTGCTGCAGAACCCATAGAACTTACCATTCGTTTATCTGACATTCAAACTCGCGCGCTAATGGATAACTGGGTGCTATATCAGATCCGGTAGAGTCTTCTGTACAACTATCAGATTTTGTCACATAAAATGCTGTCAACGACCTACCGCTGTAAAGTTCAGCCTTGATACGTTCAACCAATCTCCGGCTGGATGTCTCAGCTAGGTAGTAATACCACGTATCCGTGTCAAGCTGTGAACCGATGCTCGGCCATTCGAACGGCTGAGGAGGTGGTGGCGGAATTGGAGTGCTTTGAATCAGATGCCCGAGCCTGCCGGACTTGAGAAGCCCAAGATGAGGATAGATCTCTTCCGTTAGCTCCAGCTGCATCTTTGCAGTCGCCCATAGTACTCTATGGCTCAGCTTCTGCTCTAGAATATCGGGATACCTGTTTGGTTAGTGACTTGCGACTTGGTACGTGAGAGTAGGCGTACCTTAGTAGCATTGTCTCAGCTTTGGCAGCTGCTGTCTCAACATAACACCAAGCCTTCCACGGTTTAAGAATCCACATCTGATAACTCGCCAGTAGTAACTGTGCCTGTAAGTCTTTGATGGGTGAGCAATTACTAAACGCAGTAACTCCAAGCCAGGGAAGTGCCAGAGTTATGTAATGGGATTGACCAAGCGGTTGCTTCTCGGGAGATGTCCTTGCTGATACTTCTCCTAGAGCGAGTACTAATAGCAAGATTGCCATGTCTGGAGGATTTAGTCCTGTCGGTAGCTGCTTCTGGACTGGCCAGTTTTGAAGCTCGCTATCCTTCAATAGTCGATCTTCCAAATCCTTTAAGAAGTCAAGATCCAAGATTGGGGACTTGCTGTGGATATTAACGACATAGCTTCTGATAAGCGATGCCGTGAGATTTGCTGATTCCGGAGTGGAATCCGTTAGCATATTGTCTGACATAACTTGGCCATAGTCGAGCGAATCAGTTGTTGTATCTGGTCTCGCGAACTCTGCCTTTATCGAAGGACTTGGTCCAGGTGTCTCTGAGCTTCCATCAGGGCTGTTTAGTAGCTCATTCCGGTACAGCTCCCAGTGTCGATGCTGACCGCATCTAGTGATAGGTTCTCGAAGTACATTCCAAGACATTATTATGTCCCCGCTCGGCCACTGATTCCATGATCTTGGTCTCTCTTGCGAGGCAGGCGTGGCTGAATTGGCACTCGGCGCTCTGAGAGGACCAGTAGCTGTAGCATCCACGATCTGTTTGAGCACATTACTCTCCATAGTCTGAATTCTTTCCAAAATGAGCAACGAAGCTTTATCCAGGCTTGAAGTCTAATGTCAGTGTAGATACTGCTAGCTCGTACTTGTTGCAGCCTCACCTGGCGGATTCTATGTCTGGGTAAGTGCATTCCGAATTGGTCTTGACGCAGAAGCCACAGCTAGGTCGTTGGCTATCACACCGAGACTTTCTTAAATGCCATTAGTATGCTTACAGGCCTTTATAATGCGGGTATGGCAAACCTTGCTCGGCAGACTAGACACGCGTGCAAGGCGCGCTTCCTGGAGTACTGGCCCCCGACATGTTTGCTTGGCTCATCCATATCTCAATGGTTAATGCCACATAGCAAGAAATAGAAGAGTTTGAGAAGCCTGAGAGTTTCTGAGCACACAATGTCCCAATTATCGTTGCCGAAACTTGCTGTTCAATTTGACTACCGCCTCGACCTTTCACTGCCGTCGCCTATGTGATGAGTCAAAATTGTCGCTTCAATGGTGTAGCGCTACAAGGCAAGCAGTTAATAGCGGGTAAGTACGAGCACGTCGTCTGCAATCTGTTTCGTGTACGTTGGAAGCAGGGTGAACTCTATAAGCCATCGTGAGATCATTCCCTATAGTGGCTGAAAAATGCACTGTCCCGAAGTTTAACCTTCCGTCAGTGGAATACAGTACGGCGATGAACCGGATTAATAGATACACTAAATACTAAAGATGTAGGAAAAAGCAAGAAATTGTTTGTCGATCTTGACCTTAGCTTCGCGGGCCTAAAATTGCATTTCTCATGATGCCTTGCTTCGGCCAGAACTCACAGCGAAATGGCACCGGTGACAAGAACTGCAGGTTATGTCAAACGACTTAGCCCATAGGTCCATGGGTGCTATAGAGTTCTAGGATCATTTTACTATTTTTATGTAATTATTTACTATACTTGCTCGGGTTTTCGGCAAACAGTTTATAGACAGCCATCATGTCCTCCTCCCCCAGGCCAGTTTCGTGAGCCTCTCTGTAGAGAGAATTGCATACTTGGATAAATGGTGTTTGAACTTGCACACCTTCAGCCGCCGACTTGATCAGCTCAGTGCTGTTATAACAGTCTTTGATCGCAGCTTGGGGTGTCCAATCTCCATTCAATATCTTTGCGATCTTCATCTTGGAGTATACGGATGCCATAGGACTATTGTTCAGAACCTCCCCAAAGGCCTCCAGATCCAACCCTTGAGCTCGTGCAAGATTCACTGACTCAGCGAGGCCCGTTGTCACAGAGATCAAGAATAGGTTGGTGGCATATTTGGCCTTGAGACCGGACCCGATTGGGCCACAGTAGATGGCGGCACGAGTGATAGGATCGACGATGGGTTTGATCTGTTCAGCAACCTCTCGGTCTCCAGCCATCATGCCTACAAGTTTTCCTTGCTCAGCTGGGACTTTACTGCCACTAACAGGCATTTCGATAAACTTTCCTCCCGCATCTTGGACCTGCTGCGCAAGCTTATGGCTGAAGTCGACAGGTACTGAGCTTGTGTTGATAAGCGTTTTGCCACGGATGGCTTTCATGAACCTGTCGCCTGGTTCGCTGTCGATCATAGATTGCATTGCTCGGCCGTCGAAGAGCATTGTGAAAATGACATCGGACTTCTCAACCACCTCGGAAGGGGTCCTCGCGGCTTTAGCACCGGCTTCGACGAGGGGCGTGCATTTGGCGGCATTTCGATTCCAGACGGTGACGGGGAATTGTCGACGAAGATTGAGGGCCATGGGCGTGCCCATCGTTCCCATGCCGAGGAAACCGATTCTCATATTGGCTTGTTTCGACTATGAGGCGTATCGATGCAATTCCGATGGTAGACAATAGTTAACCTGCTGAATCACTTTCGATTAATGTTTCTATGCCTGCTTTTTTAGGTGACTTGAAGGATTCTCTCAACGGCTAATTCGGTAAGAAATAACCCATCGCACGCCCTTCACAATACAAAGTCGCGGTACAGGGCGCAGACACCGACTTCGGCAACAGTTCACCCGATACATTGCGAAACGCCGATGGTAACCGCCAAGAGGAAGGTAGTGTGACACCTGGACTGCACCAGCCTAGATTTCATTGCATCCCCAGTATGCCATTTTTTGTACAGTGAAACTGGAGGCCTGCGATGTTGGTATGATACGGGTAGGAACTGAATATTTACAATAGAATAAATAAGGATATAGCAAGCTTCAATCTCTTCCGCCAATTTTCCCGCTCTATTGTGAACAAGACGAGCAATCAACATTTCCATCCTTCTCATAGTACTTAGTTCCGCTAAGAGACGAAGTTCCAGAATCTCCCGGGTTGCCACTATAGCTTGAGCAAAGACCACCATTTGGAAGTCCTGCGTAATCACCGAACTGGCAGCTCGGGTTGCTGTCGCAACGCTGCATACACTCCTCAAAACTACCAACATAAACGTTGAAGTCTATTTGTCTGAAAAAGACTGAATTATCAACGTTGACTTCTGTGTCGCATAGGACCTCGAATTTGCACTGGCATGCGCTTTGAGGTGTATAGGTTGTGCAGATTGGTCCGACGGAGCGGGTCTCGGTGGTGATGGATGTAGTCTTGTCGACTTCGGTGGCTTGCTGAGTGATTATAGAGGTTTCTTGATCGGCGGTAAAGGAGGTCGAAACGGTGGTAGCGTCGGCGGTGGTTGTTGAGGTGATTCGAGGTCCCGGGAGAGTGACGGTTACATATCGAGTCTTTGCTGGAAGGGTTGTAGTGATGGTCACTGCAGGCTGGGTTTCCGTGTGGACATTGACGACCGTTTCAGGGTGAGGCTCAACAGTCTCAGTGATGATAGAACCAGTTCCTTCGATGGTAGTCTCTTGAACACCCATACAGGCACAAGCACTGCTGTACTGTTCGGCATCTGTGCATGATGCAGCATAGGATGGGATATTCGTTGGCCTGAGTATGTTCTTGGTGGATCGAGCTGCGATAGCACGCTTCGAGGGGAGGCCATAATAGGTTGTTTCCGTGATGCTAAAGGAGAGTCAGAATGAGACCTTACGAATGGGAGGTCAGTACGTACGTGTTCACGTCAGTCTGAACAACGGTTTCGGTCTATGTTCTGTTTAGCCTTGCAGTCCTCAAATGGGTATCTCGATATACTTACGTTGACATCCGTCTCGAGGTAAGGGTCTGGTGTCTGTAAAACAGTCAGCAATATGATCTCATGACGCATGAGCTTTCTAGAACTTACAATAGTGACGGTGACAGTCTTGGTAGGAGTGACAGCAAAATAGACGGTCACAGGGTCCGATGTGACGCTGGTTGTGGCGCTAGATATTGTCAGTTCTGCCTGCAGCAGATGGATAGGGGACTCACGTTTGATCGGACTGTGTCGCCGTAGCTTCATCTGTCTCCGGACCCAGAGTCTCGGTATCTTTCAGACTCACGGTCGATTGCACTCCAGTCGCCGTCACTGTCGTCACAGGAGGGATGGAAGTGTATCTAAGGAATGAGGAACAGTCGCTCTCATGCGCAGGCGGCCATCTTCGAGCTCGACAATTAGAGAGTCCAACCACTTTGAGACATGCATCCTGTAATGGTCAGCAAGGCAATGCTACAGTGAATTGTTGCAATTACCTTGGTGCAAGTGCCTGCATCGGCAGACGCTGATGCAATAAGCAGAGCGGATAGCAATGTCACCTTCATTGTTAATCGTCTACGTCACGCGAACAAGAACGGCTAAAATAAAAACGCCATGAATTGAAGAGAACGGTATTCCTCTATGTACTTGCTATCGGCATCTATTTCCGGCCTCTTTTGTGAATCTCATCTCATGAATCTGTTGGTGAGAAAATAGCGGCGTCAAAAGCGGCCTATATCTAGACTATCGATTCTCAGCATCTTTGATGGCCAATCAAATGTTCCCTCGCTGGTCCAAAACCTCCTAGCTTCGATCCTGCTTCCTGTAGCGGCGGGCCTAACCTGACGCAATTTCAATTTTACGAGCTGACTACCCTAGAAGAATGCGACCCGGTAAAGCTAGGCCAAGAAACGTCTAATAAACCTCAACTCTTCAGGCGTTCCTAGTAGACCTTTTTCTATCTATTGATCATTTCCATCATCGCCGACCAAGAACTGAATAAAGTATGAACTACCATTTAGGGAATAGCGAATATGGATGACGTTAATTTGATAGGTAGTTGTCTCAGGTTCTTTTGCTTGTATTGTGAAGCCCAAAGATCTTCTTATCAAGAACATTATCGTTCATGAGCATGACCCAATAGTACTTCTGGGCCCTTGAATAGATCTTCTACTGCTCCTTGTCCAAGTTCCCACCAGGAAAGATCGCATCAGGTCCAGTATGAAGTTTATCGTGGTAATCGCCCAGCTTGGTTCAGTTCACATTTACAGAGCGCAACATCATGTTCGGGGTCATTGGTCTCAACGGCGTGCAACGGTAGAGAGTCGTCGACTTATATCTTGTCCTCAACTGCCCTGATGTCTTGGAGAAACTTAAGCTTATCAAACCCGGCTCCCCAATTAAAGGTTTGTTACATAGTAAGCAGATCGATGTCGCTGTATCGAATATTCATGATCTAGGGTAGTTTACTGCAGATGACATACCAATCATGAATCCAGATGACAGAGCCGAGAGCCGAAACGGGAACGCCCGACATTTGGCCAAGTCCGGAGCCTCCGATTTCTCCGCGCTTTTCCCAGTCGGAGCTGCATGTAAAATCACCCTATTGCAGCTACCGCTTTTGCTGCTAATAAATCCCATATTTATCAGGGTCTTCAATACAGCGCTGTGGCGTGACTTAAGGCAAGCATATTTAGAAGATTAAATAGTGTCAAGCGCTATAACGCACTATTGGCTTCCAGGCTTTCACAGAACTTTGACAGGCACAGGCTAGCAGCTAGTCTCAAGCTGAAGCCAGGGGTAATTTTCTAACGTCCAGCGACGACGCAAAACGAGAGAAATATCTCTCGAGGCAAATCATCAATTGGCATCATAGCATCGGCTCTGGATGGTAATTTTTATACTGAAAAAACCCTTTCAAAAGCAGACAAACATCGTGCAAATGCGCCCCCTAACCATTTTCGTTCCGCAAAAGCGGAAACATTTCCCTTTCGGAACAGCGGACGAGGCGTTCACTAGCTGTCGCCGATTGAGCGGACCCGTTGATTTTGAGTAAATAGTCTCATCGCTTAGCAATAAGTGTCATGACCACTCTCAGGGACTAAGGTCATCGTAGTCCGCAGCTGATATCTTCATAAACAGTCAATATGCCGCTGCCCGGGTCCTCTCGCTTTTTTTGCTAACCTTCCCAACGCCTCTCTTGGCTATTACACTCGTTAACCCTTCGCCATGCGTTCTTCTTTTGCTTTGGTAGGCCTGACTCTCCTGTGCAACTTCAATGTTGCCTTCGCAGGCCCATGCAAGCCCCATGGTACGACCGGTCATACTGAAGCAACAGTGACGACAGCTGCCCCGACCACATCGCAGACAAAGGGACCCGTTGTTGTCAAGAACGTGATTGGTAACGGAAACTTTGCCGTCAGAGACCCCGCCAACCCAAGCAACATCCCGAACTACGTCGTCGAAGGCCAGGGTCAGATTGTCGAGAACAAGGGCTATACCGGCGACGGCAGCAAAGAGAAGGGCTGTGTTGAGATGCAAGCTGCTAATACCCCTACTGGACGCAAGCGAGCGATTGGAAACATCGTCAGCATTTCTCAACAGCTTGACTCCCTCGACATCAAGAAGAAGTACACTATTCGCTTCTTTTATGCTGTGGTTACTGCTAGCCAGATCAACGTCTGCACGCTAAGCGCGTCCATCGCCGGCCATGTCTTCTATACATCGACGATCCTTAGTATCGGAACGGCTATTGACTGGAATACTGTTCTTGAGCAAACCGATGTTCCCAACGCACAAGGTGCCTTTTCAGTGTCGGTCAATTGTCCGATTGGTGGAATTGCGGCTATTTATGTCGATTCGATCTTTATGTCTAACCAGGTCACTCCTGAGACGATCGATGATGTAGCGATTGACTTTGGTGATGGAGATGTCGCTACTACTACCAGTAGTTTACCGGCTGGATCTTCGACCTCCAACACGCCAAGCAGTGACGAGAGCACCAAGTCTTCCACGGAAACTGCGCACCCGACCACTAGTCTTTCCTTGGGTCCTGCTACTGAGACTTTCCATCCATCAACCAAGTCTTTTACTACTGTGTCTTTCATTGGTAGTGAGACCACCGTCAGTCAGGAGCCAAGTACCGCGAATGAGTTCACCGTCCCGACTCTGAACCCATCTACAGCATCAGAGAAGCAGTTCACGACTGTTACTCTGGACCCAACCACGAGCGCCTTCCATCCTTCGACCGCGAATGAGTTCACTGTCCCTACATTGGATCCATCTACAAAGCAGTTCACAACCCTCACCTTTGACCCACCCACAAGCGCCCTACAACCTTCAACTGCAAGTGAGATCACCGTCGATACCGAAAGCTCCTTGCCAACTGGCTCGCGTGTCTGCCCCGTAGGAGCCCCTCCACCAGGATACTGCACCCCTGTCCAGCCAGAAGTATCCCAGACAGTGTCCTTGCCCGGCATTCAACAAGTCGATGACAATGACCAGCCCACCGCCCCAAGAGCCTGCTGGGCTTTTGGAAAGGCCAAGCGAGGTACATGGGGTCAAACAAGGTCAAGCCACCCTAGGCAAAACTCCATCGCGGACTGCGCTTTGATGTGCAAACAAGTAGGGGATGCTTGCAAGGCCTTTGCGCTGGGCACCTTGGGCTCGGAGCCTAGCTGCTGGATGCTTGGCGACACACTCGGCGTCGCTGGTATTGATATAAACGCACAAGACTCTTTGATGTGGAATGATTATGATTGCTTTGAGTGTCATGACTGTGACATCAGGAACCCAGCGGATGTTGAGACTTCCATCTTGGCACCTTCAACCACCTCTCTTCCAGCGATCGAAACTACATCCACTTCTCCCTCCATTCCCACCCTCTGCCCCAACTGCCATCTGAAGAGCTCACCATCGTTAGACCTCGTCTGTGAGAAGATTGGTAACCTCGGCACCGTTGATCTCGCGCCTTATGCCAACAACGATTTCGACAAGGCCACTATGCAGACAAACTCGGAACAGTGTGCGACTATCTGTTATCAGCTCGACGGCTGTGCTGCCTCAGCTCACGATGCCGCGCGTGGACGATGCGCCTTTACCAATGTCGCTATGACGAGCAGCGCATTTGTGGAAGCACAGAATGTGAACGCCCATGATTTCATACTTCCATGGAGTTCCCAGGGCTGCTGGTCTTGCTCCAACGATTGTTCAGCTCAGCATGATACCACCAGCCAGGTTCCTAGCTCTACTGAACATACCGTCGAGTCCACGACAATGATTCCAACACGTACTGAACCTCTCACAACCTTTAGCTCCTCTTACATCCCAACAATCACTGAGTCTTCGATGCCTCAGTGTACCCTTGCTCTATCCGATGGATGCACCTTTGATCAGAACGACTATGACTACCAAAACTGCAATCCACAGGGAACTATGAGGAACACCTTTACACTTGAAGAGAATGAGTACCCATGGCAAGAAGGTGCCAACAGTTACCAGAACTGCGTAGCCCTGTGCAACCAGATGCCTCACCGCTGCAAGTCTTCAGCATGGGATCAGAACCAACAAGCCTGTGTCTTCTCCTCCAGCTCCGTCTTCTCCTCCGCCTTCACCCCTGGCAACAGTGGCGACCAGGACACAACGTGGAGTGAGCAAAGCTGCTTCAAATGCTTCTGCCACGACCAAGACCGCGATGCATACTCTGCTTCGTTGAGAACGTCTCTTCCTACAGCGACTTGCGCCCCCAGCATCACGAGTGAGGAAGCTGTTTGCTCGCTCAAGCAGGTTGACAACGGTGATTTGGTCTGCCAACATCAGGGTTACTTCCCGTGGCAGTGGGATGAGGCGCCTTCCAAGTTTCCCAACCAGGATTCGGAGGAGCGTTGTGCGGCTCTTTGTAACTCGAACCCTGACTGCCAAGCATCGGGCTGGTCTGAGGAGTATGGCAAATGCGCTATTGGAGTCTGGCAGCTTAAGGGCATCAGCTGGCAGCAGTTTGGTGATACGAAGTTGAGCTGGAGTGACAAGGGTTGTTGGGACTGCTCTGACTGCATCAAGAGTCAGAAATGGCGTATTTGGAACTAGTTTCTGCTCTTAAAAGATGACCGCTATACTTAGATTTTAATTTGTGCTGGTGACGCATCCATAGAGATATAGATTCGATAAGCCGATTGTATTTATGTCAATGATGCTCATGTGTTACACAACTAAGCCTGGAGGTGCCCCGTTATAGTAGTATGATTATTTGGATTGCTTTGGTAAGGCATAGCTGCAGAGGCAGAAGGGAATGCCAACAATAGGAATCGTCTTGCCAGTGAGACCTAATACGATAGAAAGAATGTTGGGGATAGCCTACGGAGCTCTATGAAAATGTACTACGTCTACCGCTTAACGCGACGAATACGGCCAACACGAGAAACACGGCTGATACGACCAATACGATTTGTGGAGTAACTAGCGTGCAGTTGGAGTGAAGATAGCAACGCGAGTGGCCAATAGCTACGGCCCATTCTTGATTCATGCCGCGATGGCTTGCACTAGGGTATTTATGGCCGTCATATCCGTTCTAGGTAGAAGCCATTATCCTTGGAGCAATAAATCTCAAAGGGTTCGATTATTCTCGTTTGAGAATTCAATTCGCCGCGGGTGGAAATTCTCTCTTTCATTTGGCCATCCGACCGGGTCTGAATTGCCCCGAGTTGCTTTGTTTCTTACTCTCGCCTTTTGTAGGTAGTCAAGCCTTGTGGCTGGGAGCTTGTATCATGGCTGAGAGCTTAGCGCCTTTTGCCATGTTCCCGCTACTATAAGATCACTGCCCAGGAGGGTCAATTTTCAGATAATTCTCCCATCAGAGTATCTCAAATTGACTGACAGTCTGTCGGTAAATTTGCCGCCGCCGATATCATGCATATTATCATCGTCGGTGCTGGTCCAGCGGGCCTTGCAGCCGCACTCGCAATGTCGCAAACAACCATCCAAGGCTCACTACCTCGCATTACTATCCTCGAGCTGCGCCCAAAAGTCGAAACCCTCGGAGGAACTATTCTGTTGACGCCCTTGGCGCTACGGTACCTGGATGCCCTTGGCGTTGGAGCACGATTACGAAAACTGGGTATCCCCATCCGCGGCGTCGACGTTGTGTCTCTTCGGACAGGCCAGACGCTGGGTCAGATGTTACCTGGAACAGATTCGCTGAGAGTTCTGAGGCATCATCTTGTGCAGTGCATGGCGGATGCCGTTGCTGAATTGCCTAAGGACCGGGTCAACTTGCGATATGGTGCGAGAGTCACCGACATACAACAGGTGGATGACCAAGGAGATGATGAGGCAACTGTTCACCTTGATGTTCAGTTTGATGCTGATAAGTCGCAAGAGTCCATCAGCTGCGATGTCCTCCTTGGATGCGACGGTATACACTCTTTCGTTCGGACCACAGTTATTGATCGTGAGCGGAAGAAGATGTATTCCGGTCGTGCCATCGCCTACGGATATGTCGACAGTGATTCTACTGGAAAGATTGGTGTCACGACAATGGATGAGAAGCCAATCCTCGGGGACTCTGCCATGATTCAAGGTCGGCATGGATCGTTCTTGATAACCCACTTCGAACCATCGAGGGAGAAGGTGTATGCTTTGGCTATTATGCCGATGGCAGAGAACCAAGACGCGCGGGAAGGATGGAAGGCTTTAGGGGAAGACAAAGTCACACTCAAGCGGGGTATCGTTGCTCGCTTCAAGGGAGGCAGTATCAAAGGACTAGAGTCTATGATCAATGAGAGCGACTGGTACTTCTATCCTGTCTATATGCTTCCTCCTGAGGGAAGATGGAGCAAGGGTAGAGTGCTTCTTCTCGGGGATGCCGCTCATGCTGTAAGTAAAGTAATCCCTTTACACTGGCTACATCGTCTGACATCAGGAAATAGATGCCACCCCAGGGCGAAAGCACAGGTATCGCAATCGAAGACGGTATCCTGTTCGCCCACGTACTTAGTGAGGGGATAAAACAGGGCGTCCCTTATGTGATGGAAGCCTACGAAGCCCTGAGACGGGACGACATAAATAAGCTCTACGAGGAGACGATGTTTCGCTGGAAAGCTGGAGGCTCGTCATCGTGGCTATGGGGTATTTTTATGGAACTCGCGACCTGGCTTTATCTTCTTCTTGCCAACTATCGACAGGAAGATTACTTTAAGCGGGATGTCAGAAGCTTCAAGCTTCCGTGAGAATAACGAGCGTTTTATGGATAGGCTCTGCAACAACCTTGCACAAGAGAATTCACAAATTGGCAGCACCGTTACGAATTATGTTATCAACCCTGAAATAAACCGCAATAATACTGCACCCAAATTATGAAATAATTTCAGATTTTTATAATACACTCACTGGATGCCTATGAAGGACATGCATATAGCTGAAAACAATACCAAGCTGCGCCTCCACCAATAAGTATGCTGCGCCACGGCTGATAAGCTGCGCCTCTATTAATAACTATCATCAATTCAACAAATTCCGCTCGCTCTTTCCCCGCCTAGCCAAGACATCTAGCCCAGCATAATACCATCAAGCTGCAGCTCCAAATAGCCTTTAATCATGGCCTCAACGACATCTTACAGTCAAGGAGAAACCTCACAGCGAGCTCCGCACAGGCGAGCCAACGTGGGATGGCTCTCCCCTTGTAAGCACGCCCGATCGCGGCTTTGCATTTCGATCACTCACGTCAACAGCAAATCAAGCACCAAAAGCAGTCATCAACGATAACTACGGCCCTGCGCTCACAAACGAAGAACTCTATGCTTTAGCGCGAAGTCTCTCTAAACTAGACCAGTTTCTTCTTCTCTATTGTCAGCATTTCTATCAGCAAATCGCGTCTGGTGCGCTCAATCCAGGTGATGTATCTGCGCAGAGACTGGCTCTGAATGACTTGGAGGATCTTCAGACAATCATAACTCAGATTCAAGATATTAACAACGGTCGTTTCATCTTCAGCAGCCACTACTTAAAAGAGAGGCATATCCTTTACTATTGGGGAAGAGCCTTTTCGTTTCTCTCTCAGAATCTATTGGCCGGAGATGAAATACACCAACCCTCGCTGGGGAACCTCAAGAGGATTATTGAACACGCCTCTGATATAGAGAGTGCAGTACTTGATGCGGGCTCGGCGGGGGTGCTGACATCTGATTATCGATTGGTCCTTTCCGAGCGATGGGATCTTCTCGAAAGTGCACTCAATCTATACCACCAGCATTCGCAGTCTCCTCGCACGGTTGCAAAATGGTGAGTCATTTAGTACATTATGAAGAAGCAACCTGAAACATGCTGTAGGCCAGAAATAGCACGAAAGATCCAAGCGGCACCGAAAGTGGCGCCTGAAGACACCAAAGCAGGTCTTCCTACGCAGTCTGGTGTACGTATATCTTTTGACCAAACTTCGGGCATAAACTTACCTTTACCTCATAGACATTCACCACGATACTCTGGCTGACGTTTATCGGAACAACCTTGTCTAATGTCTGGACCTTTGCCCTTGCCTACAACTACTCAGATCACAAACCGGGAACTACAAAAGACGCAGATTTCTGGTTCCTCATGCAAAGCTGCATCACCCAGGGGTTCACCCTGATCATCTCAGGCATTCCTCTAAGGGCTGATCCCCGATTGCGGAAGCGCAGTTGGGTACCTCCCATGCTGCTAGCATTGGTCTGCACGATAATAGCACCTCCCTTGTATCTCACCGCCCCGACAGAGTGGTCCAGCTTTGTTGGTCTTATAGCCACAGGCATTCAAGCCTTTATGGTTCTGCAGCTTGTGACAGTTTCAGGATGAATGCGGGACTATAGGTCTCATGGCTGTGCTGGTTTGACTCATGCGAACTAGCTTTTCAAGGATCCGTTATGAGTGTGTATAAGAAGCCCACCCTGGATGGTACTTTAATTGAGACAGATACTAGACTTTAGGTTGGAAGGTGGAAAAGCAACAGCCGAAATTACGATCAGCAAATTACATTGCTACCTTACTAATGGCTAGCCTGTTGCTTCACCAGGGTTATTGGGTCATCAGAACTCAGCGTTGTCGTCGAACAGACTCTGAACCTCTCTCATCAAATAAATATCTAGCTCATGTATTATTACCACTACAGTAGTTTTGAGTCCATCAAGTGTTGTATCTCTTTTGGGCCCCCAGTCTACCATAACATCCAAAGGGTCACATAGCCCATACTTCCCGACATACTCCTATCGAGCGGGCACTCTGAAATAGCTTAAATCAGTAGCGGTATAGAAAGTTTTCAGTTCTCCTAGGCCGCCATGATTCCAGGTGCCGTACTGGGATCAAAGACATTCCACACGAATGGCATTCCTTGACTGCATCCATCACGACCAAGCTTTCTTCCCTTGACCTTGTTGCTGAACTTTGACAGAGTAGCTGAATACACTTTGGCAGCTGCACGTGCCTTGTTGTTGATGTGGGAGTAGAACTCGGTGTCGTTGAAAAGGAAACGCAGCGAGTCAGAGGTATCAGCAATAGGTGCTTGGTTGAACGTAGCTACAAGCGCGATCTGGTGTATCGAGGCACCCAAGTCAGGGAGAAATGGTACGAGGCTGGAGACGCCCTTTTCCTTTGGCAGCGGTTTGTAAAGAGAGAACGGGTGCATTGGCAGAACGCCACTGTAGTGCACAAGACTATTGCTGTTCAGTGAGCCGTGAAGAATTGAGATGAGATAGGCGTGATGAGACAGTACGGCAACCAGTTCAGATTTGGTAGAGATGGACGCTGGGAAGTCGACGATATCGGCGGCGCGGGTTGCTTCATGAAACCATGCGACGAGCTCCTTGTCCGTGGTGATTGCGTCGTCCGAAGGGTAGTATGCGTCAACATACGCGGCGATAAACGTTCGAAGAGCACCGAGGATGACTGAAACATCCTCGTAGTAGGGGAATGACTTCAACTTAGGACCGTAATCGCAGTTTATCAAGCCCCGCCGGGTGAGCTTCGTTTCGAGATAATTCGCCCGCCAGGGAGCGCACTCTGATTTCCAAAGCTGCTTACTGTACGCGATAGCCTGGTCACCGTTCCAAGCAAAGTTCTTCTCAATCTCGCCGCCGGGGTTGACTAGAGTCGCGCTAGCTCCCACGCGGTATGCGAAAGAGTTGACGGCCACTATAACACTCGATTAGTTGTGTTATTTGAGCGAGCTTGGGAGTAACTTACCGCGACGCATCAGACCCCAGACTGGGTGCATGTCACTGAATGATCGGGTAGCCGACATGTAGATGAGGTCGGAAGTGACGTGAACTGCGGAGAGGTGATACCACTGATTATGCCAGACATCGTTCATGTTGAGCAGTACCTTGGCCAGCGTCCAGTCATTTTCTTCATCTAGGGGAGTATAGACCAGAGGCGAACCATTGTTGGGACGAATAGCCAGAGGCAAGAAGTCCTGCGAAACAGGATGAATGAAGAACAGCGCCTCACAAGCACCAGCGTAGCGACCTTTTGTCAAAGTCAGATTCGCCAGAGAGCTATGGTCCACGATGAACAAGCGCCCTTCTTTCTGGAGAGATCGCTGTGTCTTCGTCGTGATCTTCCGCGCTATCTTGTCGTCAACACGTAGTGCCACGCGTTCATCTGGTTTGACTCGTCGTAGGCTTTCGGGGTGTACCGAGAGTCGCTCCATGGAGAAGGACAGATCTGACTTGGCATTCCGAAGGACTCCTGCGGCGAGTCCGTCTGGAACGCTCTTCTGCCACTGGCCATCGTATAGCTTGAAATAGGCTTCGAACGAGTCTAACTGGAGAGTCTTCTCAGAAGAATTAGCAACGATAATGGGACGGGTGGCAATGACTTACCCCGTTGAGGGATGCTTGGGCCTGAGCAGTATCCTCGTCAACATGCTTGTAGATAGATGCCTCAGATATCTCAAAGGCGCTGTACTGAGCCTTGATGGCCTTCCTTCCAAGCGGTCCCGCAGGCCATGGGTTCACACGGATGAGGGTATCATCCGCTCCGTACTGGAAACCCTGTCGTGTCTTTTCAATCGCGGCGGCGCGGCCTGAGTCGGTGCTTGACGGGAGTGAAAACAGGCGTGGCTGACTCGCTGCGCCCAAGGCTCCAGCGACATTGAACAGTAACGCCAACTTCAACAGCATTTTGAATTTACGCTTAAAAAATAAAACCTAAGGACTGAGGTATGGCCGATGTAGCGACGGGCATAGCATGTCCTTTATACATATAATTGCCATTCAGCATCGGGCGCGCGCACACCGAGAGAAAACGGCCGTCATGATAATTGTGCAGTATCGGTGCTAGCCATTGACTTTGACTATCATTCCCGAATTAGCCGTGTGGGAAGCTTAGCGCTTCAACTTGTGGCCGGAAAATGCCTACGGGTGCCGCGAACGCCGTACCGGTGAACGCCAATGAACTATGAACAAGCCTCACTGAATTCTAGAATTGTAGCGGCAATCTGCCGCGGTGAGGGCGTCTATATGAACCCCGGACCAGTGCTAGTTCATTAAGTTTCAGTACAATTTCCCAACAGTCTGGATCGGCAACTTTAAGTTCAAACTTATGCCTAGCAAATGGCTTTGCAGCACTGACCCTCAAAAGTCGGGGCACTGTCGGCAATTTTCGTTCCGGTGCCCCGCGGATGATTAAATTACGACGATGCATTACTTCGCTGCACTTTCTTGCATCGACATTGAGAATAATAAAGAACAGACAGATCCCGTTTTTGGCATCTTATATTATGATACTGGTACTTAGCCAAGCTTGTGTCTGGACCTAGCTGCCGTCACGCCATAAACGTATAGATGGATTACTGGAGATGAGGGCTTATTTGGGCGAGGGTATCTAGGAGGGTATCACCACAGGTTACTCTATAGACGGCGTGCTATCGCTCTGCATAGCCCTATCCCGTCATGTTAATTATTGATTTCGATTATACGGCTTTATTTGTAATCTATTGACATGCACTGTGTCTTCGTTCGGCTGAGAGAGGATACTAGTTCTTTCTCTAAGATGACCAAGAATAGGTCCTTAGCGGCAATACGTCAAGCCCTGCCTTTAAGCTGGGGACTGGATATACGTATCGCGAAGTGAATATATGGAATCTCGGTTGACGCTAGATGAGAGCAGCTCAGATTGACAGAGGCTGTCGTGCAGTTCACGACACGCAGAACATAGGGTAGCGCATACTCAATTATCCGAGAATTCGCCACACCGGAGTGTGTCTGTCTCCATAAAGACCAAAGAAGCATCATAAAGCCTCACTCACTGAAGTGTCATTATGCCCAGCTGAAAGTCAGGCCCGAAAGGCGTCGTAGCTGAGCGAACGAACCAGCGGCAAATTTATATCCGCTAGTCTACATCATGTTGCGGATTGCATGTAGGCTTCTGCATCTTAAAGCCGGACCCGCGGGAGCCGGGACAGGAGCCCCCCACAAAACTTGAAGGTCTAACCAAGCACCAACGTCAATTGCATAATGCGGACGCCAAAGCGTCTAGCAATAAATAGCCTATTGCAGCACACACATCTCAATGTCCTGGGATATTCCGAAAACAGCCTTCAAAACTCCATACTAACTTCGTCATGTTGGAGAAACTCAGTTTTCGAGTCCCCTACCCCCCGTCACAAGTAGGATTTTGGGGACAGCCAACTTCTACTATAAATTGGTGCGAGGAAGTCAGTTTATTTCCCATATCCTTGACCGCTTTCAATCTTCCATCAACTGGTTCAGATTCTAATACATACCCCAGGACTATGTTATCAGTCACTATGCTGCGGAAATTACCAACACATTGACCAACGCGCTATTCATCGCGCTTGGTGTTCGCGGAATGCGGAATTGCCTAAAGTACAAACATGACACCGTGTTTGTCATCGCATATCTGGGCTATTTACTAGTTGGCTGCGGTAGCTTTGCTTTCCACGCGACCTTGTCTTGTATCTTATTCCCTTTCTGAAACGCTAAGTATGCAAGCTCGCTGACAAGTGACTAGATCCAATGCAGCTCGTAGATGAGCTTTCCATGATCTATACGACGTCCATCCTCTGCTATGCGATTTTCACACACGACAGGTCTCGCTTGTTCTCGATATTCCTAGGGGTCGGACTCGTTGTGCTATCCATTTTAATTACCGTACGTACTTCAAATTCTCTGGGCGTGGTATATCACTAACTTGACTCTGCTCCTCAGGCATATTATCACTACATCCAAGACCCTACATTCCACCAAAACGCCTTTAGCATCCTTTTCCTCGCCACAGTGTTCCGGAGCCTGTACACGATGGAAGCAATCTTGCGTCCCAGGTTGTACAACAACTATGTAAACAAGTCCCCCAGGGCTTTTCTGTCAGACGGGGAAGCGCGACGTTCTGTTCAAAAAGCTCATGTTATAATTCGTGAGATGCGATGGATTGTGGCCTTGGGGTTCATCACCTGTGCAGCTGGTATTGCTGCATGGAAATTTGACAACATACGGTGTGTTGAGCTTGTCCGGTGGAGGCATCAGGTGGGATTGCCATGGGGTATACTCCTCGAAGGCCATGGGGTACGTACGTCTCCGTGATTCTCGCATTCAGACAGCTAACAAGTGGCAGTGGTGGTATGTTACTACACAGAGATAGTGTATTATTCTTTTACTAATGATGTCTAGGCACCTGATGACTGGCCTTGGTGTGAACTACTTTATCACCTGGGGTATCTGGCTTAGGCACTGTTTAAATGGCCTGCAGGAACAATACACCTTGCATTGGCCACATAAACTGCTGTCCCTTCCGAATGTGGTTCCCTCGGTGAAAGACTCGAAACACCGGAGGCTACAGTATGCAAAGGACGATATATTCCTGTCCACGAGTTTAGGAAAGAAAGAGATGTAGTTATGCATCATCATCGCTGTCCTTGCTAGCACCAAGCTGAGAGAAAGTGCAGACGAGAGCGCAAAGGTATGACTATCACGGAGGACGATGTTGCCTGAATGAGTGGCTTGACTTGGAAACAGTATGCGGGTCAACGGATTATCATAGTTAAGTCTGGATAAAATAAACAGTCGTAAATACTTGTAAAATGCACCCATTTCTGTTCTCGCAGAATTTGTCTATACACGTAGTCTAATAGACTGTCCTTGACTACTCTACTAACTATTCAAAAGCAGGTGTGAAATCTCTATACCAAGAACAAACTTTCCGCATAAGGGCCGTATCCTGTTCAGAGCCATTAATTCTCCACCTATGTCAAAGTTAGCCACTGCCAGATTCAAAGTATAACGCCGGAATATAGGGAATTGTTTAACAAGACATACAAGACGAATGTCCCATCGTCGCTACAAGAGGCGAACAGCGAGGGATCAGAAGGATGGACGGCAATGTCGTTGCAAAGCGCATTATACGCTTTAACACGAGATACCAGAGTACCTGCAGCTCGGTCCCAGATAAAGATATAGCCATCTGACTTGCAGAATTAGCCAGAAGTGTATAAAACCGAATGCGAGGATAGTTTACCGTCACCCCCAGTAAGAACGAGAGATTCATCATCTCCCCCAAAACAACATCCAATTACATAATCACTAGGAGTTCCGCCGAGCGAAAGGGATCGAATGGAACCAGAGGTCGAGTCGACTAAGACCATCCTCCCGCTTGCCAGCCGCACCAGAACGCTCTGTGAATCGTTACTGACTGAGAGGGAACTAGGGCGGCCTGTAAGCGGTATTGTGAGCTCCAGATTTTGATTATCTGTAGTGTAGATATAAAGTGAGAGTCTATCATCGATAGCAGCGAGGCGTTTTCCATTAGCGAATAATTCAAAAAACTGCACACGATATTTCGTCTCCCAAAAGTTCGGTGTTTCGACATCAATGCCGCCCTTCATGAAACCATGAACGTTATCTAAACAACTAGCGAGGAAAGACCGGTTGTCTGGTAACCAAGCACAATGCGAAAGCTCTTCTCCGCTGATGTGTCTGAAACATCTCAGCAGAACCGCGCTCTGTATGAAGGTAAGTAAAGGTCTTGTAATGGACTGCTGGTATGGAGACAGATGAGAAGCTTTGAGACTACACAATCACGAGCTCACCTCGACATCCCAAAGACGTAAATAGCCACCACGACAACACGTCAGTAACGTGGAACTATTGGGTCCCCAAGCAGCGTTAGGTACCCCTCCATCATGCCCTGGAAGAGAGACCTTGGGACTCCCTGTATATACGTCCCAGACAAGAACATGGCTCGAATCTTGACAAACTGCCAAGGACCTACCGTTAGGGGAAAATTCAAGAGACCATATCTCAGAACCACCACCATCGACGGTAGATATCCTGGAAATTCTCATCTCTTCTGACGGAATGGAATTAATGGCCTCCATTTGCCCCGTAGCCTTCTTACAAGCTAGCGGTGCAATAGGGTTATCCCAGATATATTCATCGGGAAGCTGTATAGACGCGGTTACTAGGGCTGTAGTCCTTTCTGGGGCCAGATCGAGGACTCTTGGATTATCTAGTAACAACCTCTCGATATCAGAATGTCCTTGAAGTCTTGCCCATATCAGTGGCGTTCGTTGATAGTAGTCAGGTTGGTTGACATCCAGATCAACCTTTGAGAGCAACTCGCTCACCAAAGAGGTGTGGCCCTCGCCACACGCATAGGTTAACAGATTCCTTCCCTCATAGTCGCAGGGATATTTAGTGACGCGGGCATCTAGCCATAATATTTCCAGTAAATGGTAATGCCCATGAAACGCGGCCCAAGATACAGCGGTTCTACCCAAATGATCTTGTACGTCTGGCTCAACTCTCGGATCGTTTAATAGGGTTTTGATGAAATCCTCCTGCCCAGCGATTGACGCCCATATCAATGGTGTCCGGCCACGACAGTCTGCCTTGCTTACATCCACATTTTGGTCCAGATGCAGTAGGTCAAAAAGTGCCTTATTTCCACTCGTAGCTGCCCATGATAGTGGCGTTCTGCTCTCTTCATCCCCGCGGTGGGATACGGAACCAGGGAGACTCAGTAGCAGTGCGACGACCTCTGTGTGACTGTGCATGGAGGCCAGCAAGAGTGGGGTCTCTCCTTTCACATTGGGATTATCTAAAAGCAGTCCTCGCCGTTCAGTGAGAAACCTGACAATATCGATGTGGCCATGAATGGCAGCGAGATGTATTGCTGCATTACCAGACAAACTGACCCCATTAAGGTTGGCGCCCACTTCGAGCAGTTCTGTCATTACGCTCGTGTTCTGACCACCGTCTATGATTCTCTTGTAGGGTTTAAACACGTCCACGGGCTTACAGCTCGCACGTCGCAACGCCATGTCCAAAGACAACAGATTCTCTTTAATGGGCCTCATATCAAGGAGAAGCTTGACAATTTCGTGCTCACCAGCCCCAGCAGCATCGATGAGTAATTCGCCGTTACTAACGGAATTCATCGAGTAAAAAGAATTCCAAGATGGCATTTTGTGTTGTAGTTCTGCCGAGCCCAGAAAGTCGAGCACTTTCATGGCAAGCAATGTCTCTGGGAGTCCTGTCCTGTGACAAAACCACCAGATTGAGAATTTTGAGGACATTGCATCGCTTGGAAGCCGCTCATTTGAGGTTGAAGTCAAGGGTTTCGAGATCTGATTTTTCAAGGCCTCGCTCCGCTGCACGAGTTCCAGGGCACATTCCCATACCTGATAGCACGCGTACTCAAGAAGTGGATAGGGCTTGAACTTGGAACGCTGGGGTGATGCATCGTAGTGTTTCATATACGCCCATGAGCTCTTTAAGATGAACCAGGTAGCATCCAGGCGATCAAGGCGAAACTTTGGGGGTGAAACCCTCGGGCTCATCAGATACTCCAGTACTGTACTATGCGCAAAGGACGGAAAGGTTCGGTATGGGTTATCGCCGTCAGGAATAATGACGAGACTAGAAAGTAGGTTCTGCATTTCCGTAGGGTCATCAAATCGGTTTCGTGCGCTGAAAAGGATGGAGAAGCCATCAGACTCAGGTGCTACTTCAGGATCATCAATCTCGAAGGCAGCCAACTCTGACACAGCTGCTAAGTTCAGCCTCGTTGTCGAGAATGCAATCCATCTAAAGACAGCATATGCCTCTTCAAACTTGTCTTCTTCGTCTATGCTTTTCAACATCCTCTCGTACGTTGCTTCCAAGCCTTGGGGAAGCCGTGAGAGTGCTCGCCGGACATCCTTCTCCCTAACTTGCCCCGCCAATGCACGGATCTGCAAGTCAGCCCATCGAAACACGCCTTCAGCCCGGCTTACTAGATAGTCGATGACTTCTTTTTGCAACTCAGCAGACCATTTTGAGTATGGCTTTGACTTGACCACATTCAACAGATGGTGGGAGATGTCTGCATTGACCTGACCAATGTCAAATGGGATTATCGTCTTCTCCAATGGCAGGTCTCGGATAGCCTCTTCAATGGCTTGTTCCTTTCGACTTGTCATGATAATGTGGCATTCGGCTTTGGCCATGAGCGGAATAGTACCTAGTGTCTGGATGACTTCCAGTTGGTCACCACTAGGACTGCATTCATCCAATGCATCGACAACGATAAATACCTGAGGTGTCAAGTCCAATAGGTAACGAAGAATATCCTCGAGATCCTCATCACTTGGGTCTTGGGACGGCTGATACTTATGATACAGCTCCCGGAACCTCCTTGGTACTAAGAAGTTGGGTCCTATGGGCTCGATGAGGGGTTTGAGAATTTGCAATATGAGAGAGATCCGGAACAACCTCGAGAGGTATGCCTGGTCCTTATCCATGTGGTAAGAGAAATAGAAAAAGGCCACAGTTCCCTCTCCTTGCCTTTCAAGATGGTCGATGATCGTGGAAGACAGAATAGTCTTCCCTGAACCAGCTAAGATCTATTAGTAAGAGAAGTGGGTGCGTTCCATGGATTATGAGGACGCACCTTTTGCGTGTAACCACAGGAAAGAATTTGGCTTTGCTTTCCAGCTTTTGAAACTATGTTCAAGAAACCATTTTCCGGTTGTGCTATCGGTGCGATAACGTCTCGCGTCGTTATGGGTGCTTCGTGGATCCAGATACGGGAGCCAATTCAAATAGTCATTCTTCTGTTTCTCGGCAACAGTAGCTAGTGGAGAACTTCAAGAACAAGACTCTCATTGAACATGCGGACAAGACAATTACCTACCATATACCGACGACATGGGAATAACCTGGGTAAACTCTTGAATACTATCCTGGACTCGAGGTCCGTTCAAGTACGACTCTGTCGCTATCATGATCTTCCCAACTTTTTCAAACTCGTCCAAACTGACCTCCCGTAAGCCTTTGTCGACATTGAAGCGAAAGTAGCGACCACCGAGGCCAAATGACTCATGGTTCTCGTAAAAGCGTCGTTCTGTGTCTTCGGTCTCCGTGGTGATGGCGATAATTGCTTTTTTAATCTCTGCTAGATTCTCGCCGAAGTCCTTGGGCTCAGGAATGCCTGTTCCAATGCTCACAAAACATTGGATTCTGTCGGGCGCATCGGGCCAGATACCTTTAGCCTCGTTAAACACTTCCTCGACTGGATTATTACGACCAGTAGCACCGTCAACATAGTCCTGCCAACCGATCTTGATGGGGTCGAAGAATCCAGATGCGGCTGAGGTTGCGCGAGCAGCTTCCCAGATCTTACACTGTGACAAGGACAGGCTATCGACCGATGTGCTCGTGGTGTATGAGCGAATATTGACGGGAGTATTATTGGCTTTTGAATGAGCACAGACAAATCTACAGGTTGCCAGAAGATATATCAGTAGATGCCTTAGTAGTGACAAGCCGGGAAGTGGGGTGTAACTACACTTTGCACTTTCCGTTAGGCTCATAGAATGAGGCCTGTTCATCACCTTCCACCAGACCAGCTGTTTCCATGAACTTCTCAGCAAGAACATCGGATTGGTATTTGCCCGAAGCCTTCCAAATGTCTTTGCTTCTACCAAATACGTTGGACTTGACTCTCTTGAGGCTGAAAGCTGCCTCTGAGAGTTGCAGGTATTTCTCAATGCATTCATCAACGCTCATGTGAAGTCTACCGAGCATGATGGCAATCAGGCTGCAGAAGAAAGTAGATGTTCGTTAGATATCTGCCCACATATTAAAGTGAGTACTGGTAGTACATACCCTCCTGTACTTGTGCCTCCGATGAGGTCAAAATAATCGCATGGCTTTGTCGTATCTGCAACATTTATCCTTTTCATCAAGTGTTTAAGAATAATCAAGGAGGACAGTCCACGAATGCCACCACCGTCTACAGAATGTTAATAGGGTATATGGTGATGGCAACTGGGTAACTTGAACTGCGGAAACGTACCAAGGGACAGAAGCTTAATAGTATTAGATTTTTCAAGATCTTCCATCTCCACAATCCCAGCAAGAATACACTGAAAGCACCTAAAGGCTTTTTCTGTGATGGCCGACTGGCCTCTATGATTTGACTCCCGACTATAAGGGTTAGGCTTTAGGCTGCGAACACAGATAATGAATGGCAACACGATATTTTGGTCGTAGCAGCTGATGGTTGCATCGCGCGCCTTAGCTCGATATGCTCTTAGTAGAAACCAGTGATGGGGCGAGCGTAGATCAACTCGTGTCTGATGATGACAGAAGACGGAATGAAACAGCGTCAGCAGCAATCAGCAATACCAAGACTGGGCTGATGCAATGCTGCCCAGTTGCTGCCTAACAAATAAGAGACAAGCCACAACGCATAATGCAATATCAGGCATAGAGAGTAAGCAAATCTGACTAAGCCTGCTATTATACTTGATACCTAATCTTTCCTGTTATAACAAACCGCTAAATGTCTCTAGATTCATAACTACCTTGTATTTAACTATAATCAGTTTCTGTGTTACTGATATTCTCACCATTCTTTATCCGATCATCCCACCACTTGTGAATATCTGGTGCTCCCGATACTAGCATTTTAATATCTCCATCAATCAGGAAACTGTCCAGAGCGCTCTCTTCAAAGTTATCCACGTTATCCATTCGCAGGGCCCGAAGAGAATAGCTTTGGCAAAATGATATCAAGTTCGGTGCCAAAACTGAATGCGGTTTTGTGATGAGATGAGGGAGTCGTTCCATAAACCCTGTTCCTCTTCTACCCTCCATGGCCGAGATTGCTTCAGCTGAACATAGTTAGATTTGACCAAAAATGGGGGAAGCAATACTTACCTAGTCCGAAACGAATGAGCTCCCGCTCGGTTTCAAGAATGCGATAATTCGAGAATATTGAATTGCCTGTTTCCATCTTGCGAGCGATGATATGGAGGTAATACACCAGCAATTCGAAAGGATAAGAGTTCTCAATCCAAATATCCCAAAAGTTTCCACCGTGCGCCATCTCAACGGACGAAACCATGTCATTCCATATCGGCTTCTCGATGATCCACTGTAGAGACTCCAGCAACCAAAGTTGATCACCGAAAGAATCGATAGACCGCCCGAGAGTAGCTGCTGCTTTGCTCATCAAAAACTTCTCGCGGTCTTGGAAAGACATTCTCGATCGCCAGACGATGGGGTTTTGCAGGTGTCCCTTAAAGATATCTCTAATTTCACCGGGCGCAACGAATATCGCCTCGGAATCAAGCCACATAGCCATGTCGTAGTCAAAATGCTCGGCTGCGGACATCTTCTTGATCGATTGATAGGCATATTTATCATATTTCTTCAGCAAACCGCTCGTGTCTTCAGGTGTTAGGTCCGTTCGTAGTCTGGCTGGCAAAATGTCGTAGAGGTTCACGATGTTAAAAATCGGATTCTTTCCAAGAACGTTGTCCTTTGGTGTTTTCCACCGACTGAACGTCGGATTACAGTCTTTGAGGGTCGAGAGAAGCTTGGTGAGGCCTTCGACTTCGGCAGAGTTGGAGACGATGATGTGCCAATCCACCTTGTCATGATCGACGCAAAGACACTTGACGGATTGGAAATAGCGAAAGACCTGAGGGAAATGTCCATCCTCGATGTAGTGTTAGATTCGCGATTATAGCGGTGAACAGGGAGGGTCTCACAAAGGTTGGTAGTAACACGGCGAGGCGCTTAGTCCCTATGGGCTGCACCTCGCTGAATACGGGATGCTCAGGTTTGTAATTGACGAGCCTGTCGGTGTATCGACTATCGTTGGCTGGTTGTGGCGGCCATGATGGTGGGTCTGAAGGAGCCCATGAAGTCTCAATATCGTTCGGTCGGAATGGGAGATGAGATGATGTGTGAAGCGCGAAAAACACGACGGTCGAAAACGTCAGAACCGAAACTCCAATTAAAGCGTTTTTGAGCCTGCATCGCCAATTAGTGTTGTCCAGCAGAGTGTCTCAAATGTGTAGCTGACTTGCCAGGAAAGATAGTTGGGCTTGACAAAGAGCTGCTCATAAGAATACGACATCTTCATGTCAAACATCCTATTCATAACAGCACCAAGCAAAAGATGGTCTTTTGGTGGAGGAAGGATGCTCAGAAAGGGAGAAACGGGAAATGCTTCTAAATCCCATAAATCACATGATGGGTTCCAGACCGCGAAACTTTTAGCAGCATGCCAGCTCGTGTTCTAGCTCTGCGACTAGTAAAGCTTGTTCTATTTCATTCCTCTAATAAGGCTAGCGAGGCACATGGCGCGATGAAAGCAGGTCGCGAAACTGAAACTAAGCCTGAATTAATTGACTGGAATGAAGACCATCTATTTCTACCGAACTAAACGCCATGACAAGGAATTCTATATTCTATACCACCCAATCACTCCCCCACATGTAAATCAAATCCGTTTTCCGCTAAACTCCTCTGCCGGCCAACCCTGCATCGTCCTCTTCTCCTCGACAACATCGCCACCCATGATAAGCGTATGCTCCAACAAGCAACTATCACTCTTCATCTGCGCGCCACTCAAAAGTCGACTCCCCGTTCGGAGTACACATGTATCGCCAATCTCAACTCTGTTCAAGTCGAACTTGCCACGTGTGTTGATGTGTGCTACGACACTGGCGTCATCGACACCGACGCGATCGCCAAGGGTGATAAGATCAGGCTCAGTGAACATCAGGCTCGGAGCACCGTTGACAAAGAGTGCGCAATCTTTGCCGATTTTGGCACCCATGAGCTTGAAGTAGATTACCATCCAGTGAGTACCGGTGAGGAGGTTGAGAATACCATTGCCCTTGTAGCATTGTCGACGGAGACGCTCAATGCCGAGAAAGATCTGCCAGCGCTGGCAGTACGGAGACTTGTCCCAGTCATAGTTGCCAGCTTTGCGACGGCCCATGAGTAGCCACTTTGATCCAATGATGATGGCCAGCGCAAGGATGGATTGGATCGTGGAGAGGACGGCGATGCCAGCAAACATGGTGAGGAAGATGGCGACAAGGTCGAACCAGACGTTCATGCCACGAGGAAAAGAGCTTCGGAACATTATACCCACAAACTGGATAGATGAGACGCTGGGAACATCCCAGTAGACAGCGGTGAAGACTGTGAAGAAGGCAGAGTAGCAGAAGATGGCGAAGGGACCGAGGACATGGTAAGGTGCTAGCTTCAGGTAGAAAGCTCGACCGAATGGGGATAGATGCTGTGCCCAGTCTCCTTTACCATCACTGGCCTCGGTGTCGCTTCCAGATGTGATGCTGGGCTGTGTGCCAGGGCGGTCTTTCCCATCGTTGAACTTCTTTTCGTTGGTGAGAGTATCCTCCGACTGCATGTTGCGAATGGGAGAGCGAGAGACCTTGGTGTCACTACCGATTGATAAACAGACGGCGTCGCCTGCCTTGGAGCCGACGTAGGTACCGTCAGAGACATAGTTTCCGTTTCTCTTGGTCAAGGCACCAGAGCCCATAGTGGTCCGTTCACCGACTGTGACACCAGGAAGAAGACAAACACGATCAGCGATCATGGCGCGGTCTTGTATGGTGACCTTCTCAGATCCAATGCCATCAGAGGTGACGAGATGAGAACGGGAGCCAAAGACTACATCGTTACCAACATCAATGAGATGGTAATCGCCAATGGTAGGACCAGTACCAGGCCAGTACACGCGCTCACCAATCTTGGCACCCAGCATTCTCAATGCAATAGACGTAGCCTCGTAGTGCTGCCCAAACAAAGAAGTCATCCGATGCAGCTTGCCCTCAGGCAACAGCGTCTTGATCAAGTTCGCTCTCCAGATATCCACCGTGGATTGCGAGTTGGCTCTTAACCTGCCAAAGATGCAGTCCAGAGTAGACTTGACCAATATGACGAACCCGAAGAGGAAGAATGGACCGAATAGGCATCCAAGAGCAAGAGCGAGGTAATGATAGGCGATTCGGTTGGGCTGAGTAAACCAGTCCACACTGCTCCTCAATGGGGCCTTGTGGTTTACCTTTTGACCCTGTGTAGTGACCATGCCGACAAGACCGGCCATCCAAGGGACTGCGGAGAGGAATAGGCCGATGAGCTTGAGGGGCATGGTGAAGAGTAGATTCAGCACCCAGTGAGGCTTGGGCTTCTCGCTTGGAAGCTGATCTCTGTACTCCTCACTTGCATCCTGCATCTCCCAGCTTGATGAGTTGAAGCCTAGGCATGTATCAGGCGGCATGTTGGTACCAGGTGCGATGATGGAAGACACGCCAACAGAACAGTTGCTTCCAATGGTGATGCGACCAAGATACATCGATGTATTCCCCTCAGCAGCAAAAGGTCGACAGATGCATCTTGTAAGGTTACAATCATCACCAATCTCAATCAAATCCCACTCCCCAATCGCCGCACCCTCAAGCTTGACATTCTTGCCAATCTTGGCCCCCATAAGCCGACAGTAAATCCTCTCCGTTGTCTCATTCGCATCAAAGAAGCCCTTGCCGCAGATCGCAACAATCTTTTGCACAAGCCACCATCGTGTATGGTACATTCCCCACATGGGGTACAGTCCCTCCCGATAGCGACCGATGATGAGCCACTTGCAGATGATGCCGACAATAGGTGATACAAAGCCCATGATTATACGCGCGATGAGCATGGAGACGGTGAGGTTGAGAAAACGACCGGGGAGGGAGTGGTTGGTAGGGAGCTTTTGAGAGTGCGCGAGGGTTACGAAGAAGATTGTCCATTGGACGGCGCGACGAAGGGGGTAGAAGATCACGAGTGGGAAGAGTTGAAGGATCATGAGGAAGGGGTTGGTAGAACTGCAAGTCTCGGTACATCCCACGATGGCCTTGGGTTCATCAGACTCATCGGTCTTACTATCGAGCATCTTGTCAATCTGTGCAGCGATAGATGTGACGGTGCCACCGTTAAAGACTGCTGTGATGGGAAGGCTGATGCTGAACTCGGTGCGGAGCATTGAGAGAAGACGACCGGCGCGGAGGGAGTCACCGCCGAGACCGAAGAAGTCGGCGTCGCCGGGGATGTCTGCCGGTGGGAGGGATAGGACTTCGGCGAAGGCTTTGGTGACGAGGCCTTCTGTACTGGCTGCTAGTTTGTTGAGTGATGTCAATTGGAGTTGCTCGAGTTCTGAGAGGAGTACCTCGACGTCGATATTACCGGATGGATCCTTCTGGAATGGGTGAGGCATGACGTGAATCTCGGAGGGGATCATGTAGTTGTCGATGACTGATGCCAGCTGGTGCCGAATGCTGCTGGCGATATCAGAGCCAATAGTGATCTCAGCCTTCTTAGGCGCAAGGACGGCTTCTGGAGAACCATCGTGAGTGCTGGGAAGGCAAAAGACGTCAAGTTCTGGTACAAGAGCTTCAATATGAGTCGCAAGCTTGGTGTAGTCAACAGCACAAGGCGAGCACTGTATGGCCTCTGACAGAGGTGTATCAGCCAAAGGACAAACGGCATCCCAATGCCTACCCATGTAAGGTGTGTCATCAGTGATAGAAGGAAGTCCAAGCCGTTGACCAAGCTTGATACGTAGAACCTTGTTGTTGTTCTTAGGAAGGTCATCCATATACGTGATCAAGACGGGCCACTTCGCCTGCTGAAGAGAAGACTTCAACGCACCGTGAAGGGTCCTCAGATCAACACGTGGAGCATCAGGAGGCGTGACGAGGACAATAGCGACGACTTCTTGAAGAACGTCATGCGTTGCCGAAAAAGCCAAAGCCTGTGCAACCTTCCCGTAGATGGGCGAGTCACTCATTCGCGACGCCGTCATGATAGCATTCTCAACCTCGAATGGAGATATCAGCTCTCCACCACGGTTGATAACTTCTTTACTCCGACCAGTGATGTAAAGATATCCATCATCGTCCATATATCCAAGATCGCCAGTGTCGAACCAGCCGGCTTCGTTGAAAGGTGACTTGTCGTATGTACCATCTGGCTTGAGGTAGCCAGGGAAGACAGGTTCGCCGCGAACACAGATGCGACCTACTGTGCCATTTGGGACGGTACGTTCGGACCAGTCGAGGATGGTAAGTTCGGGGCCGGTGCTGATACCTGATGTACCTTCGCGATCGAGGCGGTAGTTTAGTGGGGGTGTAGAAATGGGCATGCACCTGTACCTGTTAGCATCCATCATCGTGAGGGCGTAAGCAACTTACTCTGTCATTCCATAGCTTGGTAAGACGACGCAGTTGAACGTGTCCCTCAACTGATACGCCAAAGAGGGCAATAAGCCACCAGCAGCGTTACAAGCCAACCGGATCCGGCTTTTTCGCAAAGCTTCTGGTCGCGCAGCTGCTTCTGCGATTATGATGGAGTGCATCGATGGGGAAGCGTAGTACCACGTTGGTTGAATGGTCTCAGCCACGTCCCAGAAGAGATTGGCATCGAAGGAGGGACAACAGACTGTAGAGCCGCCGGAGAATATCGGTGCAAAGATGTTTCGAACTAAACCTCCTCTGTTCATCGTCAGCAGAGGTTATGAGCAGGATGGTGAAGTGACTTACACGTGGTAGAGAGGCATCATGTTCAGACAGATGTCTTCTGCTGTGAGACCCCATGATTCAATGACGAAAGCGACACCAGCGATGATGGAGTGGACTGTCAGCGGTACTACTTTCTTGGTACCCGACGTTCCACTCGTGAAGAGAATCAGGCCAATGTCATCAGCCTTGTTAGCGACTCGCTCTGCGCTGCCAGTGGGAATAGCTTCTCCATCGATTGTCCTTAGCGAGATGCCCTCATCTCGAGTCCAGTCCATGATGAAGATCTGGATATTGTGATCTGATACCCAACTGGCATCGAGTTGGAGTTTTGTGTACTCATCCTTGGTTGTGAGGATAAAGTCCGCTCGGGCTTGGAGAATGTCCGCTCGGAATTGTTCTGCTCCAGCGGCCGGGTTGATTGGCGATGCGGTGTAGTAAGTCGTGACCGCGATGCATGTAGCTGCTACTAAGGGACCATTTGGCAGTGCGATAGAAACAACAGGTCTCTTGGCTGATGAGTTAACGGGGAGTTGGAAGTTGTCGACAAAGTGTCGTAGTGCGCGACGGGTGATGACATCCTCATCTGTTGGGGCACGTAGGGCTGGCTTGTCATCGCACCCAATGAACTGCGCAAAGGATGTATAAGAGCTCTTAACTAGCGCTGAAGCTCGCTCAATTAGGGAAGAGAGCTCGTGAGTACTCTTTGTCTTGGCATCTTCTGGGAGTTGAGTGTAGATGCGTGTGTAAGTCTTGATGAGTTGGAAGACTGGCCATGGACCAGATAATTCCTCAAGGAGATGACATATAGTGTAGAGGCAGGAGATGGAATGTTGTTGGGTTGTAAGAATGGCAGCCAAGAGATCAGCTCTGTCTGGGTTCAATGCTACAAGGGACTTGAACTGTTGACTCTCCCTGACCGCCGTTGGCGGTACGTCGCACAGCTCCCGTAGTAAACACGGCACACTCATATCTCGATGAACAAAGCGGTAATAAAGATGATCCTTTGACTCAGAGTAATGAAGATCTGATAATCCTCTTCATCACAGCGCTCTCCCATCTCTATATACCAACTGTCCAGCCTGCCAGCTTCCATCATAGCCCTTCCACATTTTTACCCAATTTCGTCTCGCCGATAGATCAACAGGCAGAATATGAAGTCTAATCTGCAATGGCACGTCCAAAGATCAACCAAACCTGAAATCAAATCACAAAGGTCCTACCGCCGGTCCACTCCATCCCACTTAGACTTATTGGCGCCCCGATTTACGACAAGGGATTCTCCTGTAGATCCGATTTGATCTTCACGGCATTTCCTCTTGGGCTCCATACTCTACACGCTAGATAACAGCTGAGTGGGTGGACTGCCCGGCATTGCCACGGGTTAATCACTGCTGACAAGCACGACAAGTTCCACGAGTGCCGGCGCTTGGTATACACTAAGGGGCGGAGTGACATATTATTTTCTTTGGTGGCCGTGCAGAAGCGGTTCGTGCGCTGATGTCACAAAAAGACTTACGACGACGAATAGTTTTTTCTTGACTCGTGAAAAAGGGCCAGTTTGAGGCTATGGTTATATCCACCGATTGAGTTTACGTCAATGTAAGGTCGAACCGTAAATGCTCCCTGTTCATCTATTTCCCGATTGGTTGGGGTGATGTAACATGGTCTTTGAGCCGCATGGTGCAGGGATCTACGACCCCGGTCTCGGAGGGAAACACGTAAGCTCAGTTCATGATATCGATTTGATAAAGTGAGCGAGTTTCAAAAGGTCCGGGGATTACTAAGGGATTTGTAGATCGGTAGTTGGACACGAGGTAGGCCTGGTGATTCTGAGTCAGGCAGGGTTGAGAGACTGAGCGGCCGAATGGCGCAGTGATTGGATGCAAGGCATTGTGCGATGCAGGTGATATAATTGATTACCATCTTGAGTAAAGAAAAGACATTCCAAGTTCTGTCTGCTGATTTAAACTCTGAGCCACAAGTCTTAATTGCAAATATTCGATTCTCCGTGCAGGAGTTACTGCGCAGCTGAGACGCGTATCTCACGGCCCGCGATGACATATGTTCCAAGTTGGAAATTCCATCAATTAAGCGAATCATCAAGCTTAACCCCATACATTGCCAGTATCCCCAAGAAGAGGCTAAAATAAGGATAATCCCAATATCACGGGGTAATAAATCCTCCGATAAGCTGTTTCTAGATAATTAACGACCTTCCAAAGTGGGACTCCGACACGTCAGCTGTCATTGGGCTTCCCGTAAATCTATATCGAGACGGCCCCGTCTATTAAACTTTCTTCCGCTGCGGCTTTCCCGTCTCTTTCTGCTCCCCGAAACCTTACTATACTTCATCTTACTATCATGAGATTGGGCTGACGAATGGTTCTGTTACTGTCATGAGAGCAACTGCCGAAAGAGCTGCTAGTGGCTGACGGACTCATCATGCACAGGTTGCCTTGTAAGGCGGTTATGGTTTGTCAGACACGAATGGGAAGCACCTCCTCGTACACAGAAGATAAAATCGTTCAGGTTTCGCACTGGTACCAGTAGTAAGTCATCGTGTCTAGGCATCGACTCCCTGCTCATGCTGCGTCTCACTCATCTCGGGGAAAAGGATGCACAAGCTTGTAAGCTCATTACCAGCTGCAACAATTTCCATGTGTTAGAGATCAGTAGTGACTCGTCGACTTCCGGTCATCTCTCTAGTTGCACTGAATATCCCAGCACTCACGCTCCAACCAATCACTATCACGCTCAAATGTCACACTCCTCTTATCTTCATAGCACCATGCCTAGTCTCATCGTCGATGCTACAGACCATGCTGCCGCCTTTCCCGCTTCTGCTGATGCACGCTAAAACTTTATTCACTGGTCTTATCTCCTCCGTCCCCTGCGTTGCACTCCGTCGGCGCTAATGTAAGGGAGATTTTCCAGCCATTGACCTCCCTGTCCACGCATTGGATTCCTCATTGAGCTTGGGAATCATTGGAGACCTTCGTCTTGGTTGGTAGCAAACTCATGCCATTGAGCTTGGCCATAAATTCTGACGGTGGCAAGGCTACAACGCCGAACCAATTGGCATCTCTCAAGACCGCAACCTAAATGGGCAATGAACACTAAGTTGTAAGCCAAAGCTTCAAATCCCGGCTGAGAAGAAACGTGTACTGCGTGGTAGAAGTTGATGCATGATTGACCACGTATTCAAACCGTAAGTCCCCTCACATAGAATGCTCTGGAATTACAATATCGTATACATTGGATCAAGTCATCTTGGATCCCCTAGCATAATTCCCTTCGCCCAGGGCAAGATTATGCTTGATTCCGAAATGTCCTGCTTGTTGACCCAGAACTGCGTCGTTGACAATTAAAAATCTCAAGCTTCCAGTTTGTCATGATCATTTACTTTTTTGAACAGACTAATGACGTAGCCAAGCCCAGATCAACATTCGTTCAATCTCATTAAGCCAGCTTTCTTCAGAAGTCAGTGCATATTTCTTTGCGGTATCTCTTCAAATATTAATAGTACAGACGTAATTGACTTGCTCCCCATGCTTTTATTTATTCCGAGTCTATATCAGATGATTGACAGAAACCTCACGCAGTCGCCTTTGATCTCTTTTTCGCGAGTCTTTTGAACGCTTGGTGGTTTGCGCGGAGTAGTATTCTTTGACGATGCCAACTATGGCCTACCGGCTATGAAAGATCCCTCGTGTCCCCCTATTGAAGATGCACACCACTCTCCAACTTGCATCTCCTGTTCAATTGATGGCGGCTGGGTCCGGGTGGAGTTCTGCGTGCTGAGAGGAGCAACGAGATGATTTCCCGGGTTGAAATGGTTTTCAGTCTCGACTTGGCGCCAGCCACTGCCACCATCCTGATAGCTTGTGCCGTGCCCTTCCCGCCAACGATGAAACCTCATCTCTTGGATCAAAGAGTAAAAGGCTTTGGTAACATCCTCGGTGGGTTGTTTCATGTGCTTCCAGAGCTCTTCCGGTTTGGCATTAGCCCTCCATATCATCAGATCCAGCGGAGTTTGGTCATAGGCGTCTTTGCCATCTGGATCCGGTTCTGTAAGACCATGCGTACGTAGGTATGAAATGTGATCCAGGTCTCCGTACATAGCTGCGTAATGCAAGATAGATCTCTTCATAACGGTGAGGAGATCAAGTCTTGCGCCTCTTGTTTGAAGAAAGTCAAAGACGCTATTACACCAGGGGATACGAGACGCGAGGTGAATAGGTGTCCGGCCATATGTATCCACCGCATTGATGTCGGCTCCTCCCTTCAGAAGTGCCTCCAGTTTTCCAATACAGTCCCATGGCTCAGCCGCGTTGCGACTTGCCTCGATGAGGTAATGCATTGGAGCAAATCCTATAACATCAGCCTGGTGGTTCGGGTCAGCACCATGCTTTAGCAGAACCTGAACTACTTCCGTTGAGCCTTCCTCTACAGACGTGCAAGCAGCATGCAATGCGGTACATCCCTTCGAATCCTCGGTATCAGGGTTGCTGCCCAATTTGAGCAGGGCCTCAACGACATCAACCCATCCGTAGAAAGCAGCGACGTGGAGGTGAGGATGACTCCACATCTCGTTGACATGATCCAGGCGAGACAGACGCCAGAAGATGGTGAGTGTAACATTCAGGAAGAGAAAGTCATCAGGATCCTTCTCGACCTGGACAAAGTGCTGTCTGCGACCTTCTATTGAAGTGGTCAGTCGCATGGTCATACTTAGGGGACAAGGTATATTAACGAGACTTAGTCATGGTAAGTGTTCACAGACTTCGAACACCTAAGTAGAAGAAAGGTCTGGCGTATATTAGGTGATGAAGAGGGTCCCGCATAAACTCGTAGATGTGGGAGGATTCATGCTTTATATACACAGTGAGGACTCAGCCGGGCCATGGCAACACAGACTTTGAGAAGCATCCTCACGGAGCTCTAATATTCAGACTTTGAGAGAGGGGGAAGCATCCGCCGTTCTTATTGGGCGGGAGGGTATGCCTTTGATACTGTGTGTTATCGATAAACTCATTGTGACACATGAGCACGGTTTAATAAGCCACCAGTGAACCATGTTGTTTCCTGGGAGTGGCTTAGATCGCTCCACGCGTGTTGTAAGTTAGTTTACCAAGGCTTATTGTAAGACATAATTCGCATAGCTGTCTTGTCAGTGGTCAACTGAGTTTAAGCTCTGCGTGGATTATGAAGCTCTAGTGGAACTGGAACGTCACGCAAGCTCACGTGTCGAGGGATGTTAAATTACTTTTCACCAATGACCAAAGTTCGATATGTCGCGTGGCTAGGTTTATCATCTACAGTCAAGAACTATATTCAGCATGGACAATTTCTTTCTATGGATGACGGCGGCCTATAAGGTTAAGCTTTAAACGTGTGGCTTTGGTGCCTGGAATCTCGAAGTCTAACTGAAGGGACTGCTTCGAATCACTCGCCACCTCCCGTGGCGAAAGTGATTTTGTTTGTCCATGTCTAAATTAAAGTCCAGCCCCCCTGGGCGGGTGAGCGTGTTCCGTGCCGTCAGCCAATCCATACCATCGTGGCTGAATCCAGATTGGTATAAACACCAGTTTTGCCTCAACTCTCAGGGTAGGTTCACCGTGAGAATGCTTTGAACTTATCAATGGCCACTTGTTTCGGCATATTCAATCGGAGCCCTTGCAAGTCATTAAGTTCATGGAGATCGCGGCATATCATTGGTTCCAGTCGTTTGACTTCCGCCCGACATGGGGTATATCGCGCTTAAACACAGATTATGTCAAGTTAAGCGCAGGAGATCAAAGACTAACACATCAGAGTATTTATTCATTTCAGTTTTCAGTCCACGGCCACTACACATAAAGTCCTCCCCGTTAAGTTCAGCCAATATTCATTGCAATAGATAGCATACCTCCCGCGACACCATTGCTCCATGTGTTCCAATCAAAATCAATTCTTGTCCTGATACAGTTTCTTCCAGTAAATCGCGTCAACCTTGACGATAGCAAAGCGGAGAAAGGGCCACGACTGCATTCGCGTGCGGAGAGTCTTTCTCCATGTCGCGAGAAGGTTCTGGTCATATGCCGTCATATCAGGTTGTCGCTTCTGGAGACAGAGCATGTAGCAGAATAGTCCAGGATATGCGAGACAGTTTCGTGTATATGCGGGCCAGAATGCTGATTGATGTCTGGCATCTAGGCCACGGATGAACTTGATGACTGTTTGGATTAGACCGCGACAGGCTTGGAGGACTGTCTCTACGGAGGATTGGACGTGGGTGAGCTGTGTGTTGCTGTCAATGATGGGGCGTAGCAATGCTCGTAGGACGAGGATGTGCGTGGTGTAATATGCTACGTAGAGGGATCTGTGACTCTTGACTGAGTCATCTGTGTCGCTGTCGCTAGGCTCTGGTCTCAGAGCCAGAGATTCTGGTAGGTCTTCTAGCCATTTGAGTAGCTGCTGACGTGGACCGCGAGCTTGCTCGAGTAAAGAGTCGAGGATTTGGGGCCGAGATGCAGCACGAAGGGAGCTATTGCTGTCAGTCCGGAGCAATTGGTAGTCATAAATGGGGCTACGAAGGGGCCTTACAAGAATTGTCGACAGATTCCACTGGTGATCTCGGTCAATGAGCACAAACGGATGAAATAGTCCAGTGACTGATCCCGAATGTTTTCCGGTATGCTGGCAGTGGGATCAATAGTAAAATCGACAGATGTAAGTGGTGAGACATCCCACTCGTCGTCAGATATCATAGAAGATCGTCCATGAGTTACTGCACGCCAAGTATACTCAACATAAACAGCCCACCATAATCGCCTCCGAAGACGAACCTCCCACGCTGGTAACTTCCATCCACTCGGGTTGACATTCAAGCCAAGCGACTGAGCCATGGCCAGCATGGACGCTGCCAAGGACCAGACAAAGGGGTTTTCCACAACGACGACATCAAAAGGAGTGTGATTGAGCAAGAGGAGAAATATCTGTATGGTAGAGAGACGGGGAAAGTGGAGCTCCTTTTGCAGACAGGTGTAGGAGACTTGCCAAAGGTCATTGACATCTGGCTTGAAATACGCACTATCGAGACAGAGCTTCTCGTCCCAGGGTGTGAAGGGCAGTGCCAGGGCGTATATACCCGCAAGTAAACCAGTAGAAGCCTCTGCGACAAACTTATTCAAGTCCTCAAAGACCAAGGAGCGAGACAGTATTGGCAAGTCTTCGAAAACGAATCTGAAGTACCTGTCCATTGAGTAAGTACATTGCTCAAGTATAGAACGAGAGGATAAACATACAGTTTCACTAGAGCCACGCCTGTTTCTCGATCCACCAATTTCTCAAGATGTTCCCTATCACCTAGAGATGACATGCACTTATCCACAATCTTCTGGCTCTCGATCGCAGTCCCCGTTTGACTCTGCAGAAAGTGAATCGGGGGATTCGCCGGAAACGCATATTGCTGCCGTCGATACGCAACGCGATAAAAGTCGACTTCATCACTACTCGAATATGGGAAATGATTAAGAGAAAAAGGATCAGATTCGTTAGAGAAGCCGATTAGTGAGGTTGAGTGGTCTGGTCGTTGGTCGAATGAAAGGCGCTCGAATAGGGCTGTTGGGCTGGCGGGAAGATCTGCTGTTTTGGTAGGAGTGGCGATGGGGAGTTCGCCGTAGTCTGAGGGTGTTAGATCATCGAGGGGTTCGAGATTAGGAAGTTCGCCGTTGGCGAAGAAGTCGAATGGCTGGTCGCTGCCGTCTATGCCGTGATCGAATGAGATATCCCAGTTGATTCCGCCTCCTGGTGAGAAAATGGATTGCGAGACTGCTCCATCCAGAGGGGTCAAATCAAGTCCTGGATCAATACCGGAAGATTGGACCTCTATTATCCGTCAGTCCAAGTCTTTTATCTCATTGCTTCTTCTTACCATCCGGCATGCGCAATGCCTCATAAACACCAACATCCTGCGCAATCACCTGTTGCGGCACAACAATCGGCGTCCCCCCACCCTCAAAATCCAGCCTTCTCGTGCGACTATCCCTCGGCTTCTTATTCGGATTCCCCACAAACGTGCAATCGCGTCCGGTGCGATGACAGAGCTGGCATGGACGCGTCGGATCAGGGATGTTGCAGAGCACTTTTCGAGCGCGACACAAATCGCATGGTCTTTGTGATTTCGAGCGGTAGCGTCTTATACCCGCGACTTGACGCTGCGGGTGCTCGTCATGATTCATTGTGAGGGAGTTGCTGAGGTGAAGCTCGCGGTATTGAATTGGTGAAGTGAGTTACCGATAGCGGGGTCTGAGTTGGCCGATAACCGGGGCACGTGATTGGAAGGCCGGTAGTTAGCGTTGGTGGACATGATGTCTGTCATGGAATACATTATCACACTGTACAACATGAAATATAAACATGAATAAATAAATGAATGGAGTGTAGGGTGATATTAATGATATTCATTTCATAGGTTCATGGCCTTGATTGCTTATATGAAGGGTTGCCTTGATCTGTTTCGCTGAAGTTCAACAACCTTATCATGGAGCCAATCATGGGATCAGTGAGTGTCATATTTCTGGTTGATAGTTATTTAGTATTACTAAGTCCTAAGATTGTTACATCTGATGATTCTCCAGTTGACTTTTATACCGGAGAGAAATAATGTCTCGCTCTCATAGCGGCTCAATGTTCACATCATGACTTGTTCTTCAGCTCAATCAAGCAACATTTGCAATTTCTCTATACAATACAGACACGAAATTAAACTATCAACTGTCCAAGTTATTAATCCCTGTTCGCGCGAAGCTTATCGTATCGCAGAACCGCGCCCAGCAAAACACTTGCACCAAGCGCACTGCATCATGTTAGCATCTCCAACACTTCCAGTACAGGCAAAGACTTACCAATCTTCAGGCGAGCAATACTCGGTCGGGTTATGGCTAATCCCCGATCTCGTCGGCGTAAAGATCATACTCGTAGGACAAACCCGATTCGTGTAGCAACTATCATGCCCCGCACCACTAATCATATCTCTCCAAAGCTTCCCCTCCCCAACCGTCGAGCAAACATCCTTAGCGCTCTGCTCCACCACAGAAATACACTCCTGATTAAACTTGACCGCAGGACTATCCACAAGAAGCTCCCAGTCAACTTCACAGCCCTTCTCACTATCATCGTGAGAAATGCGCTGGAATTCAGCTTCGCACTCTTTTACCATCTCGGCGAGGACTTCATCTTTGACGTGGCGCAGATCGAGGGTGAATTTTACGGTGTGCGCCATTGTGTTGACGGTGCCGGGGTCGGTGGTGAAGATTCCAGTTGTTGCGAGGCCGTCGTGCTTTTTGGCGATTGTGTTGGCGGCGACGAGCATTTTGCTGGCGGATAGGACGGGGTCTTTGCGGGCGTAGAGGGGTGTTGTGCCTGCGTGACTGTCTCGGCCTTTGACGGTGATGTTGAACCATTTAAATGCTTGGACGCCTATCTCGCTGTCAGTAACCAGGGGCTTTATGGTGAAGGGAATTTCTTACCGTGCACAACACCAATCTTGAGACCCTCATCTTCCAGAATGGGACCTTGCTCGATGTGAAGCTCGAAATGCGCAGCGAAAGGATTTGATCGATATGAAGCGGGCTGATCACCGCAGTAGCCTATCCTGTCAAGCTCCTCCTTCATCGACTTGGGATTAGCAGCCAAGACCTCCTTGAGATCCCATGCAGTTTCGAGAGGGATGACATCTGCCCATACGCCCGAAGATACAGCCATCTTGGGAAACCGAGCGCCCTCCTCACTGCAAAATGTCAGCCGATCTCTCACGGTGCATATTCACAGCGAGATACGTACTTGGTCCAATTCACCACTCCAATAGGTCCCGCAGTCTCATACCCATGATCATTCAACGTTCTCAAAACTTCAAGACCCGAAATAACACCAAGAATACCATCATAGCGCCCGCCAGTAGGTTGTGTATCCAAATGCGAACCCATCATGACTGGAGGCAGATCATTGTTCTTGCCTGGTCGAATTGCAAACAAGTTTCCCATTTGATCAATTGATGTTTTCAAGCCCAGCGACTTGGCGTAGGTGATGAACCAATCTCGAACTTGCTTGTCCGAGTCGTCCAGACTCAGACGCGCCATGCCGGTTTCTGTAGAAGCCCTAGGGTAATCAGTTTAATTTTTATGAAAATGATGACTTTGTGAGAATGACTTACTTTCCATAGCGGTGCGCGGCGCCGAATTGACAGCTTTCGTGAAGGGATTTTGCGAGATCGACTTCGCTGATTTTGAATGGCGGTAGATCGAGAGAGCCCATGATGGTGGTGTTGTGTGAATGCTGCCGCTTTACTTCAAAATTTGGTGCTGCTGAGGACTGTCACAAATGTCCGATTTCGAAATATTTACTGCTACCAGTGCTCAGTGTCTTGATAACGGCTCCTTGATAAATTCAAGTCTTGTCTAATTATGTATAATCTCCCCTGATTGTTATTCCTTATCGTCCCCGACGGTCATAATTCCCTCTCAACATTAGCGATCACGGCCGAGTGCTGAGAGTGGGGTCATTATCCGCCGTCGGCCGTCGGCGGAGACTAGTCTCTATTGGGAAGCTTATTGGAGCTCGGAACTGAATTCCAATCTCGCCGATGAACTATGACATAACCTTTGCATGGCTACAAGGATGAAAAACGCGGGGTATCAGCCGGTAACTTTATCTTCAATTGACTTTGAGAGGTAGTGAATTATTAAGGAACTCTGTTGATAACGGCTTCTGATTGATTGTGTTGTAGATTGACTTTTTTGAACCTCAACGGAGATTATTCACGCACGTTTCGTTGCAGCTTCAGTTTCCAGTCTGGAGATCTCTTATCATCTCGTATCAGTCTTATCTCATCTCCATCACATACAATCCTCCAAAAAGGAAGGATTTACCATAATCATCTCCACTAGTGGAGTATTCCCATCTCCGCCGACGGTTTACTACAACTTGACTATCAGACTATCAAATGCGGGGGTGGATAAGTGACCATCGTGCAGCAGATCACTTGGCGATAACCCGGGCATGGCTATATGCAGCCGGGACCTTAAAAGAACCTGTAATCCACATTTTAGAGGTCTTATTCTCGCAACGTCTTGCTAATACACACTCAAACCTGTCACGATGGACGCCGCAGAGAAACAGTCAGAGCTCAAGATGCCGCTTGAGCAAGAGCTCGATCGGAACTCTGGCGAGATGAACGACATCACTGAAGTTGAGAAAAAGGTTTTGTCGAAATTTGACAAGTTTGTCATGCCACAGATGGCTCTGCTTGTTCTATTCGCGTATCTCGATCGAACAAATATCGGTAAGTATTTTGTTAATCTCAACTCTAGCTCGGAAAGCTAACCATGATACTCTAGGCAACGCACGAGTCTTCGGCTTCGAAGAAGATACAGGCATGCACGGGACTCAATTCAACGACGTATCAATGTATTTCTACATCTCATACGTCGTCTTTGAAACACCATGGGTCCTCGCCGTCAAGAAGTTCGGACCAGGTCGTGTCCTTGCTATCGCCATCATAAGCTGGAGTTTCATCACTTTGGGAACTGGCTTCGTTCACAGCTACGGTCAAGTCATCGCCTGTAGAGTCCTCCTCGGTTTCTTCGAAGCTGGCCTCTTTCCCTCTCTCACCTTCGTTGTCTCTCAGATCTACCCTCCTGCGTCGCAAGGAAAACGCGTTGCAGTTCTTTATGTCTCGATTGCACTTTCTGGAGCACTTGGTGGACTTATTGCTTATGGGATTCAGTCTATGGGTGCGCGACATGGTTTGTCGGCTTGGAGATGGCTTTTCATCATTGAGGGTGCGATTTCGCTTGTCATAGGAGCTGTTTGTTGGCTGAGTCTTCCTACCTCTCCGCAGACAGCTTGGTTCCTCTCAGAAGAAGAGAAGTCAACGATGATACTGATAAAAGAGCGTAACCATCCTTTCAAAGAAACAGAGGGATTCTCGTGGAAGCAAGTCGTCATGGCGCTCACCGATCCTCTCGTCTGGCTTGCTTCCGTCTCACTATTCTGCGCTTCCATTGCACTATTTGGCTTCGGCACATTCCTTCCTACTCTTCTCAAGGGTCTTGAGTAAGTATCTCAGTCTCGTTTTCGGGACTCTACTAACCAGGATGCAGCTACACTTCTCTACAAGCCAACTATCTCAGCATTCCCGTCTACGTTCTGGCCTCCATCTTCACTGCTGCCACCACCTACGTCTCAGACCGCCTCAACCGCCGAGCCATCTGCCTCATCCACTCCCCACTACTAGTCATCGTCGGATATGCCATAGTCGTTGGTACCGGGCACAAAGCTGCTGGTTTCTTTGCCATGTTCCTCGTCGGCGGTGGCGTCTACTCCTTCAACACTGTTTTGGTAACGTATGTCAATTCCCCAACCACGTGGTGAATGTTGAACTAATGATTGGTAGATGGGTATCGAACAATATGCAGCCCGACTACAAGCGCTCTGTCGCAATCTCCATGCTCATCTCACTCGCAAACGCATCTGGAATGGCGGCGTCACAGATCTATCCTATCGGGGATGCTCCTCGTTACGTCATGGGTAATGCCATCTCTCTTGGCGGAGAGGTCTTGGCACTTGTTTGTGTTGGACTTATTTATGCTCTTCTGAAGTACCGCATGCGACAGAAGGAGAAGTTGATCGCAGAGGGCAAGGATAGCAATGGAAGGGAGGGAGATCAAAGCTTGGAGTTCAAGTATGTCTTCTAAAGAGCTCTGATACACCAAAACACCGATGTCAAGCTTCTTGAGATTGAGGAATTATAATACAAAGCATTAGAGTTATAAAGCGTTACTTATAATAGAGTGGAGTACTGCGCCGTGCATGTTTATATATGTCAAGAAGGGTAATGTCATTGAGTGTTATGTATTAAAATAGCTATATACTCGAAAATATTTTGGGCTTCATGTAAGAAGCGCTATATACTTTGCTATATGTCCAGGTAGGAATGAGCAGCAGCTTAACCACCATAGCCAAACTCAGGGAAAGGAGTTGTGCTCTCATCACAGGCGAAGCGAACAAAGTACTTGTTGTCGCTACCATCGCCATTGACAATGACCTTTCCGTCAGGAGCCTGGACCTCAGCGATGAAGTTGAGATCACCCTGAGCGTTAGCCCACAGAAGTCGGAAGGGAGTATAAGTGCCAGCCTCAAGGTGAATGGTGAAAGTCTTGGAAGTGCCACCGGGGTAGTCCTGCTCGAGATCGGCGTTGGCGCGAGTCCAGCCCTGAAGGGCCTTGTCGCCGAACCAGATGAGGGTGATCTCATCAGAGTTGGGGATGGTGACGACGTAGTCACCGCTCTCAGGGGCGTAGAGGTATGCGCGGTGGTTGACGGCCTTGTACTGCCAGAGCTGCTCGGGGCTGCCGTCGTAGATGGCGAAGACGGTGTCGGAGTGAGTGCCTGGGGCGATACCGATGCGGGTGGTCTCGCCTTTATAGGTAGGGGTGGCGGTATGGAAGAAGGAGGGGTTGAAGGAGGAGAAGTGGGGAGGATCAGAGTTGTAGAACTCGTGGGTGTAGATGGCGTACTCCAGACCGGCGTTATCGCAAGACTGGTCTGCGGTGGGCTCAGCAGTGGTAGTGGTGGTGGTTGCGGCATCGGTGGTGGTCTCGGCCTCGGTAGTAGTAGCCTCAGCAGTGGTAGTAGTCTCCTCGGCGGTGGTGGTCTCGGCCTCAGTAGTAGTAGCCTCAGCAGTAGTGGTAGTCTCCTCGGCGGTGGTGGTGGTTCCCTCGGCAGTGGAAGTCTCTTCGGCAGTAGTGGTGGTGCCCTCAGCGGTGGTAGTCTCAGCAGCGGTGGTGGTACCCTCGGCAGTGGTGGTAGCAGCAGTGGTGGTGTCAGCAACGCTTGTCTCAGCTGTAGTAGTACCGGCAGCACTTGTCTCGGCAGTAGTAGTGCCTGTCTCAGCAGCGCTGGTCTCGGTAGCGCTAGTCTCCGAGACAATCACAGTAGCGAGAGTGGAGCTCTCAGAGACAACAGGGACGGAGTAGTCCGTGCTGGTAGAACCAGCAGCAGTCTCGGTGCCAGTGGAGGAAGGGACCTCAGTGGAGGAGACGGCAGCAGCAGTGGTTGTGGTGCGAGGCCTGCAGGGGCCAGCGGCAGCGAAGCTGGCAAAGGCCAAGCCCGCAAAGGTAACGAACGACTTCATATTGGTAAAGAACGTGATGAACAGTAAAGAATGACTGGGTGCGAAAAAGAATGAACGAGTGAGTGAGTGAGTGGGCGATCTGCAGGCAGAATAAGGATCGTCCCGGTGTTATATACAAGGTCTTCTAATCTACTGCCATGTCAAAGAGGCGTTTTACTAGAAAGGGCAATTTCATCGCAGCCGTCCAAACACTGACTCGTCTTTACGAGGGTAATATAACCATACTGCGCCAGGCTGAGAACTTTCAGCTGTTGTTTAAATTGCGATGTTGCTTTGGCTGAGCTAAAACCCACGCTGTATTCCGAATACCCCGTATTCCTCTTGGCATGGGCTCATGTTTTGTTTATTCGCAGGGTTCAAGGATGTAGGATCGAGTTAGCTGCTCATCAAAAGGCAGAGGCTAGCAACGGTCATCGCGGTTTGTTCAGATGGTAGGGCAGTGGTCTGGGCCATGTCTGGTAATAAACCTGAAACCCGGTTACTGGTTGAAATTTACGTCATGGCGTTTATGGCTCTTGATAAGCCAATCAAGTGTTGGATTGGTTTCTTTTAGTGCATGCACAGACTGTAATTTCTGGAGCGTTAGCTCGAGGACCGTTGAGGCTTGAGCAGCCCCTTTACCCTACAGCTTCTCAGCCCAATGGGATGAAAAAGAACATCAGACTATTGGAACTAGTACCTGGATCCGTCTCTCAGCTGGCAGCCTGGCTGCATCGTTACTCTCAACTTTCGCGCCTTTTTTCAGTGGCTATTTTGGTATCACAACAATAACCCAAAGTCGCGACTTTGGAAAAAGCAATCACGCGATGAGGCGCAGCACAAAGTCTTTTCGCTATCTTGACAGTTTGGCAATGCCGAAGCCTAAACCAGATTTCCGCATCCCCATCATTATGAACCGAGGAATATCTTTGATTGCCGCAGCGCCACTTAACACCATGGTGTGCCACAGCTCGGGCTCGCTCCAGGTTGTTCAGCACCGTCTCTACCCCCTGTTGCCCATCCACGACTGAACACCATGGGGCTGACCGTCCCAACAAACAAAGATCTGCCCCTAAAGCTAGGACTTAAGACGTCTGTACCCTTAGTGGTCCTGCCGTCCAATAAAACCGGCATGTCCCTTTACAGCGTCAGAAACCTCGGGTAAAGCCTCAACTGCTGCTAGAACGCTGTCGAGTGACGACCTCCGTGGTTTGACGCGATAATGCATACTACTCAGAGGGCATCTTCAGCTGTAAGAACTCCCTTGAGAATGACGGGATACTTCGCGTTGCGTTGAGGTAGGGCCTGGGTGACGTCTATGTCGCCGTTGTTTCCAGTCGCTGATAAGCGCTCGTTGCGATGGCCATGGGCATGTCATAGTGACAATCGAATATCTGTGTTGAGGTGTCAGCTGAAGATATACTTCGTAAGAATGCGCGCTGATTAGTATCTGACTCGCCTTCACGTAGCAGCTGCGATAAGCTGATAAGGTAAAGGAGTGAAAAGAAGCTCGAGCCCCCTATTCACCTCACCCTACGCGACGCGACTGTCATCAGCCACATCTGGTCAGCTCTAGGGTAGTGACAATGACGTCTAGCATACCGATTGATTCCGGAAAGTTGTCAGTTGATCATCAGCCCTGTAACAGTGCCAGGTGTATGCCGGTAAATGCTTCTCAGCTAAGGCTCTGATTTTGTCGACTGTAAGGCTTTCAGTGTTTTCGATCTATTCTATCTTAGATCCAAGTGTTTTCGTTATAGTGAATTGAGTTATGTGGTTTATTTTTTAGAAGTAAGGGTATTAGAGATAAAGAAGGCGAGAGAATGGTAATGAATGATATCTTCTATAGAAATATCACCCCGCTAATGTTTATTACAATTGAACGATGCTAAGTCGACTTGGCCACTGAGCTTTATGGATCTGAGTGCTACTGTCACGGAGAAGTGACATGCGCAGATCGGGGAGTCCGACGATCGGCGCCGTTAGCTTCGGGCAGAGTCCGCGAGATCTTCCCCACATCGTGTGCGGTACCAGGCCATTGGGTCAGCGTCCGAGGGGACTGTTATTCCCGGTAATAACAGAGCGATGGCGCGGAAAGGGCCCGTCTCAAGATTGTTGTCGTAGATTGAGGCCATGGAGGGAAATTTTCGGGTCATGACGGAGGCGAACTAAGTAAAGACAACACTTCTGCAGCGATTGAGCGTGGTAAAGAGATTGAATGCTTGACAATTAGTTATGCGTGCTATGGCGCGAATTTTGGACCGTGTTCACATGACCGGTCGTTCTTATCTTTCTCTCATTACCGACTACAGCTCTTCGATCATGAAATCCACATCTTCACACCTTCGTCGTTCTCTTGGCACTGGTAAAGCCGAATGTCACTCCTGTTTTCACCAAATTGCGTTTGTGAGGGGTAAGATATCGCCGGGTCGCGGTATTCTTACCTTCAGACTTCAATCCTCACAAGACGCCCGATATTTAATGCCGAGAATTTGGCTCCATAACAAAGTCTCCCAACGACGATTTGCGAGGTGTTTGGTCCGCGTTCGATTCTCAATAAGAAAATTCTGGTCAAGGCTGAGACCGACGGTACCGAGCCCAGACTTTTTCTCCTTGGGCTGCTTAAAGAGGTACTCGTAGGATTTACAATTTGCGGATTCGTTTATACATAGTTAAATCGATCTAACATCAGTAGAAGTTGTTCTCGATACCCATCCGAGACTCGAGTATGTTTTGCTATTCAGGTTTTGCCACAGGGAATTGTGCAATATGTAACTTGGCCGATCCAAACGGGACCAATTTTATCTTTTCCTTCTTATCCTTGTCGACCACTGGGTCAATTGGAGGCCACGCCGCCGCATCATTATCCGCTGGCCAGGCAATCTTCCACGCATCGACTGTAAGAAAAACTGGGGGAGCATCCTTTGCAAAGATCGGGTTAGGCAGTTTCCTAACGGATGATGTGGACGTCTTGACGACGATGCTATCTGGGTCGATTGCATATTGCCAAAGCTCAGTAGGTTCTAGCACATGATCGTGGGCCTTGGGGTGCACCTCGTCATCTGCGAGAGGCTTGCGATCGATCCAATTCAGCGGTTGGTGGTGCGTCTCCGTATAAGGGATGTCGAGTGGATAGAGCACCATAGTAAATACTGGCAGATAAGTTGCGCATTGCGATCCGAACCTTCATAGGTAGTTCCAGCGTTAGAGTCGTGGCTCCTGGAAGAATTGCTACATGGTGCAACCCAGACTCATCCGGAGTGACTCTCTTGCTGGGACCGCCATTCATCTCGATATTCGCCTTCGGAGTAGTCCAACCAGGGATCTTGACGGCAAAGTCAAATTTGGTTTGACTCTTAACCGTGTATTGAAGGATGGAATCGAATGGATAGCTTGTTTCGCACTTGACTTTTCTCAGAATGTCAGCCGTTAAAAGACCACAGTAACCGTAAGTCTAGAGTCCCACCTTTAACTGCTTTGCCTTTGATCCGAGTTTCAACAGATGTCGGACCAAGGAGAATGTGCGCAACAGTGCTTTCATTTATCTTCGCATAAGATGAGGCGACGTATGCCAACGACGTACTTGGCATACGCTTGAGGATGATTAACTGTACAGCAGGGCTGGGTACAAGAGATGAGTTTGGAAGTATTTATAACTCGTAAAGCTATCGACTCACAAAATTGTTCCAAGCCGTATGTATTTGCATAAGAAACGACATTGAAAAATGGGTTTTGGGTCAGATTTCCGGACCAGATTTGGTTTGTTTGCGTGACATACTGGTGAGACCACCCTCCATCAAATTAGCAGTGTGTTGTACTTGGCACAAGATCATTCTTTCCCTACAGTCTGGACTCATGGCGGCTGGAAATGCGTTGAAAGCTGCCACTTCTGCTTTGTCTGCGTAGCTGTTGTCCACATGAAAGCGGTATAGGAAGGCGTAGGAGAATATGGACTCGACTGCCATACAGAGCTCTGATCTAGATGTATGTGCTTAGTTTAAGAAGTCGTTGGTTCCCAATTATGCGAAGACGTACCATCTTTGGGGACTAAGAGCACCCAAATGCTCATCAGCAATAATGGTACCGGAAACAGACCCTTGATACTTTGCTGTCATATCGACTCCCATCTTAGTCTGTTGTACAAGGCTATCGTTCCCCGTCAAGCGATAGAGCACAGTTGGGTATCGAAGGCCTTATTTGTAGTTTGAGTACCTTACTCGTAAGTATATGTCAGGAATGCAAGTACTCACCCGACAACCATCAGGTCTCGTAGCATATCGCTATCTCCTTTTCTGACATATTCTCAACACTTGCCAGTTTTCCATTTCACTTGCTGCTCCTCTTCATTTCTGATACTCCCGAAATTCACTATTTCTTGGTTTTTTTGACGGTGTAAACTTCTTCCCGACCTACGCTGCCTGCATACGAATCACCTTGTCACAATTCAGTATACACAACGGGTCAAATGCATTCTTCATCTATACCACCGAGTTAGAATCACAGACACTTGATAGTTCAGATCACTCACCGATCGCATCGCATCGACAGCTTCTTTGCCAAGCTCCTTCTCCAAATAGTCCCTCTTCACAAGTCCAACACCATGCTCGCCCGTCGCTGTACCTTTCATCTCGATAGCCTTGTCGACCATTCTGTGAACAACATCTTCAGCGATATGGCGCTTCTCCTCAGGGAAAAGTAACAGGGTATGGAAGTTTCCGTCACCAACGTGCCCAACGATTGAGCCAAGCAACCCTGACTTCTCGATGTCGGCTTTGGCAAACTCGATGATATCAGGAAGTCTACTTAGAGGCACAGCAACGTCAGTGGTCCAAACTTTGTCAGTGGGTGACTTTCGCATGGCTAGCATGCTCCATAGTGCGTTTTTTCTTGCGGACCATAATTCGTTTCGTTCTGTCTCATCGGAAGCGAATGTGTATGTCGTGCTGTGGTTTTGCTTCGTGATACTTCCGACTTCTTTGGCGAGGTGATCCACAATGAACTCATCGCTCCCTGTGAACTTGAAGAACAGTGTTGGCTCTTCCTTCCACTTCAGCCTTGTCAAGGCAGAATCGTTGATGCTCTTCATCTGTACTTCATCAAGAATCTCAACAGCTGCCACCTGGATGCCATTGGACAACACTTCTCGAACTGCAGACGCAGCATCTCGTAGTGTCGGAAAGGTACATACAGCCACGGCCTCGCAAGGCGGCTTGACTGCTAGCTTAAGCGTAGCTTCTGTGACCAGTCCAAGCGTCCCTTCACTTCCGATGAAGGTTCTTGTCAAATCATAGCCTGCGCTCGACTTTCTTGCCCTCTGCCGAGTCTTGATAATGGTGCCATCGGCGAGGACAACTGTGAGTGATAGTACCCAGTCTTTCATAGTTCCATATGCCGCGGCGTTCGTTCCAGAGCATCCTGTACCGACCATCCCTCCAATCATGGCGCCTGGGCCAGGGTCAGGAGGGAAGAAGAGGCCATGGGCGGCTAACTCTTCGTTCAAGTCCATCCACCCGATTCCTGGTTGCACAACACAATCAAGATCATATTTATTGAGCTCAACTATGTTGTTCATCCGGCCAAAGTCAACGCATATGCCCTGTAGGTGAGGTATGTACTGGCCTTCGATCGATGTCCCTCCCGAGTACGGCGTTACTGGTAGCCGACGTCGGAAGCATACCTTCATAAGCTCTGAAACCTGTTCTGTAGTCTCAGGATAAAGAATCACCTGCGAAAGAATGGCCGACTCCTCAGTCCAGGCGTACGATTGGTAGTCTGAGCCAGAGTGCGTAACGCGATCGGCACGTTCTGTTGAGACGTTCTCAGGGCCCAAGATAGCAGCGAACTCTTTACAAGCGCCCTGAATATTCGATGCAGACAAGTTGTGCTGGATATCAGGAGTGTCCATCAATGTCTGTGTCGATGATAAATGCGTCTTGGTTGGTTGGCTGCTGAAACTCAGCGCTCCAGCCATGCCGACTGATAATGCCGCCAAACCCAATACGTAAAGCCCTGGAGGAAGTTAGTCCCTGGTCCATCAGTGCTAACGGAGGGCTGACCTCTGCGATTAGTTCGCCATTGCGATGATCCTGAGCATGATGATCTTGGTGTGTTCGAAGTTGAGCGAAAGAACTGAGCTAGTAGTCGAGTCCGAGCAGGCGTTGGCCGTGGCCCGACACGTAGTACCCGCCGTAAAGATTTGTGTAGAGCCGACATAACAACTTTGGTAGATCACAGCGAGACTTGGTATGGATTGAGTTGCAACAGAAAGAAGCAATTGATCGTAATTAATTAATCATTCCAGATACTCTTCTTTACCCACTTCAATTTCTCATCGACCATCCAGTTTCCAAGTCACTTCGGCGATGGTGCCATCGGCTATGGACTGCAGATCAAGCCATCACCATTCGGCTATGGGCAATACCATTCCCGAGAAACCAATTTCCATTCTTGGCATAGCATTAACGACTACTGGTTCTAGCCATATCCCTTCAGCCAATGTCATGGCAAGTCATAGGTAAGTTAACCTCCGATCCCCGCACTGGCTTAGGACACCCGCCAACCCCAACAGCATGCCAAGAATATGCAGTTGGTCGGACTAGATAAGCCGAGATTACGACAGAGTCTCATAAACCTTTGTTAATCCGTAGGCTCAGTGTTTGCTATGCCTAGGTCGGCTAGAAAGTACATGGCTTGATACTGGAACGAGTCTGGATGCGGGAACTCGATGGCATCACTTGACTGGACACCCGAAAAGACACCGTTTGCCAAGTATGTCGGCCAAAACCCGCCTCCCTCAAATCCCGAGCTCTGGTCAAAGGCGAAGTTATGGTCTTCAAAGCCTGTCGCACCATGTGCCGCATGATTAGCTGGTGCAGTGTTCCTCTGGATATCGATGTCGAGGACCTGGTCTTCGCTTCTACTTCTCATCTCCGTACCTGTTCCCCCGCATTCTACGTCGCCTCCATTTGAGTTGGTGGGCTGTGTCTGTGCTTCTTCCACGGGTGGGCGATTTAGGATATCCATGAAGAAGTTCTTGATCCACCGCGCAAGGATATAGACTGATTCAAACTGCTTGAGAGCAAGTAAGCCAGGCCGGATCTTGACGAAGATCTGGTCACTTTCGGGCGCTGATGTTTTGACATCAACCGCAAGAGCCATCATCGCAGAGAAGAGAGCAGAGACACTGAGAATTTGGTGAGTCCACTGTGACAAGAGCTTCCCGAAAAACTTACTATATCATGGGAAAGTGCTCCGGTGTCCAGAACAGTAATGAGTTCTCTACCAGGCTAAATATTTGTGCTGCCGCGTCAAGGACGGGCTTGACCTCTATAGAGCCATTGCACTGTCTTTGCAGCCTCTGGCTGAGGTTTATCAAGTAGTAACTGACAAATCAGCCTCGCATTTGGTTACAAGAAGACTTCGTACGCACTGGTAGCAGACTTTCAGTGTCAGACTTAGATGATGATGACCGTTGGAGTAGTTTAAGCCTTGACAAGAATCATACCAGGCTTGCAGTGTTGACTGGATATCTCTCATGGCTTCATGTAGCACATGAGCTTCCTTGCATAGCGAGAGGCGAGATGGCGAGCAATGGGAGAAGTACAGCCGAGCCACTGCTCCGTTAGCTTTCAGTGACTAGGATTCCACATCGGCGAGCTTACTGGCTTTACTCAACTTGACCTGTGATACGATGTATTGTACTGTCTCCGGGCCTTCTTCAGTGAAGTCTTCTTCAGAAAGTTCTTCGACATCGTGATCTTCATCGTTGATAACCATTGGTGTCCCGGTGGAGATGGCAATCTGACGATCACGGACCTGATCTGTTAGTTGATGTTTGCTATCACAAGAGGTACTCACATAAAGACACCACCAGATTCGCTTCCACTTTGACCTCTCTTCAGGTGACATCTTGCTATTTCTAGTGCTTCTGTGATACCCAGTACACTGCGCGGATCGTATCGCTGCAGCTAGCCACCAGTGGCAATCGCGATAAGCCGTCGGACTTCCGAACCAGTAGTGAAGGAGATACGACGACAGTATCATATGTGTACGACTCGATTCCCTGTCTTCGTCGAAAGCTGCGCTGGCCTTGTTGTACAAAGCATTGTTGGCTTCCCATCGAGTGCTGTACCCCATGAGATGCAGTAGCTCAGGATCACAATGCAACGATGCTACGAAGAGAACACTTCGGAGGAGGGTACCAGACATTGTCCCATCCTCGAGAGACGTGAGGAAGTACTTTCTGCCAAGAATAGGACAAAAAGCGTGGAACTTGTCGAAGTAGACCTTGATGAGACGGTCTACCAAGTCCGGTGATGGGAAATCTGACAGAGTCGTCTTCTCACGAGGTAATGATGGTCGACTGCAGACGCTTTCCCTTCTTGCGTCGCGGGTTACACTCTGAACTGTTTCGTTACACTCGCCAATTGGGCGGTGAACACTGTTGTGGCCGGGCGTGTAACCTCTCATGACATAGGAAGCGTACCAGCTTTCTCCGACGACGCTTGGCTGGGTGCTAGGACTCGCATGCTGATCAGAGACAGGCCTGGTGGTAGTCGTATCGCCCAGTTGTTGCATCGAACTACTGTTGTGTTCTCCCCCTGTCGGAGAGCCTTCAGTAGTTAAGGCCATAGATTCATCCTCATTGCTTGGAGCAAAGCCCGGACTGCCTGAGCTGCGACGCGACTCGATGTCAGGCAGCAAGGTGTATCTCCCATCGGGGCCTCTACACAATTACTATCAGTATCACCGCGCTGCGCTTTCATAATCTCTTACCTTCGGCGCTTGGACTGGATCAATGCACACTGCTGATGACCACTCTTCCTGCAAGCTGAGCACGGTACACCGATAACAGATCCATCGCACTTTGTTCTTCGCCGATTGCAACGCTCACAGGCCGTGCCTCTCTTCCTACCGTGGTTGGGCGTTCTCCTGGTCCGCTGCGAAGGGCTCTGTTGATCCATTGCCTCCAATCACGTAGAGAAACTCATGACGCTTCAAAGACCGCATCCCTTCGGTGGACCTGGGGCAAAGGATGTAATCTACCCCGCATATTCATCACGCTAAATCGATTCAAGCTTAACCAACGGGACCTGTTTGCATGCACAGAGATGTCCTTCCTGAGAAAGAACCCTGAAGAACAGTAAGCCGGATGTCAAAATAAATACAGTAAAAAGCCTGCTAAGGTTTGGACAAATTGCCTAGATATTTCTATCATTCATGGTCAAGATCCGGAGTTTTATTGTCCCCCAGGATATCTCCGGGAATCACCGTAGCCGATGGCCATCCCTGTCATCGGTTATGGTTAGCCTTGTAGATCCCCCATGCTTCACGTTTCCCTTCTCAAACTAGAAAGCTACCAAATGAAATGATCTTGGTCCAGTACGCACGTGTATAAAAGTAACCCCAGACTTCCCCGGATTTGATACCTGCATGAGCTCATCTCTTGCTCGCTCACTATCGCAATGGCCAACAGCACTGCTCACCCAGAGATTGACATGTCTCACGAAGAAAAACATGATCTAGAACAGATTGAGATCAAGGACAATGTCCAGCCAGCCCACGATTCGAAGTTCGAGAAGCGCGTGCTTCGAAAGATCGATACTCGACTCTTGCCTATCCTCGGGTGCCTTTACACAATTGCCCTCGTCGACCGATCTAACGTTGCAGTCGCTCGCATCTCCGGCATGGATGAAGACCTCGACCTCGCCGTCGGTAACCGCGTGTCTATCGTCTTGATGGTCTTCTTCATCGGATACATCCTTTTCGAGATCCCCAGCAATGCCTTCATTCACAAACTTGGTGCAGCGAACTGGCTTGCTTTTCTAGCCTTCGCCTGGGGTCTAGTGTCCCTTGGTATTGGCTTCTTGAACAACTGGGCAGGACTCGCTGCGCTGAGAGCCCTTCTTGGTGTTTTCGAGGCTGGCTTCTTTCCAGGTAGCCACTGCTTGTCCCATATTTGATGCGTATAACATACTAATTAACACCCAGGTTGTGTCTATCTTGTATCTTCTTGGTACAAGAGATACGAGGTACAGAAGCGCATGGCGGGTTTCTTCTTGACAGCCTCTGCACTTTCAGCTTTCGCCAACATCCTCGCCTATGGCCTCATCCAGATCTCTAAGACCCATCATTACAAAGGGTAAGTATTGTTCACGACTTCTATAATTACTGTGACTGAAAACCCCAGATGGCGCTGGATCTTCATCGTTGAAGGTGCCATTACAGTCGTCGCTGGCATCGGCTCATGGTTCATCATCGTCGACTTTCCCGACCCCGATAAAAACACATTCCTGACCCCCGAAGAACGAGCCTTCGTCAAAGAACGGCTCGCCGAAGACCGTGGTCCCGAAGAACGAGAGAAAGTGACCATGAAGATCATCGGCCAGACAGCTGCTGACTGGAAGCCCTGGGCATATTCACTCATGTACATGGCCGGCGCCGTTGGGGTCTATGCTTTTCTGTTCTTCCTGCCCATTATTCTACGAGGCGGCCTTGGATACTCACTTGAACTTTCGTTTATTCTGAGCACCCCTCCAGCGCTGTTTGCTGTTGTTGAAGCAATGAGCATCTCATGGCTCGCTGATAAAACGAGACTACGAGGCCCGTTCGTCATTTTCCAAGGCCTAATCGGTATCATTGGTTTATGTATGACTGGTTTCCTCGATTCACCGACGCCCCGTTATGTTGGCACGTTCCTTGGTGTCGCTGGTGCTAATGGCCTGGTTGTGACGACACTTGCATGGCAGGCCAACAACATTGTCGGCGATGCTCGTCGCGCTGTATCTACTGGCTTTCTCATCAGCATGAGTGGCGTCGGTGGGATTTATTCCAGCATGGTCTTCCGTAAGTTACTGGTCCCTGTTTTAGTAGCCCCAACCTAACAGAACTCCAGGACAACAAGACGCGCCTAATTATATTCCTGGACTCGTTGCTGTCATGGCCATCAACGTGGCTGCCGTTGTGGTGGCCGCGCTAACAATGCTTATGCTCCGCCACAACAACAGACAGGCAGATCAAGGGAAGTACCTATGCGAGGGTCGAGAAGGTTTCAGATATACATTGTAGAGTTTTCGATGCTATGATTGACAATCATGACTCGCTGCAGTCTTCGAAATGCTCTGCGTCATCCAAGTTGCTGTCGGTATCAGAAATAGGGGGGGCATCGCCGTCGCCCATACCACCCATCGCAGAATTCTCACTCTTCGGCACTACTGCGAAGCTTTCCATGACACGAATAGCCTTTTCCAGTCGTTCGCCAGCCTGAGCACAGTATATTCTATCTTCCCTTTCCATGCGGCGCAAGTTATCCTGCTCTTTCTGATCTAGTTCGGCACGCTGCCTCGCTACCTCCTCCTGAGCATCCTGCAGCTGCTGCTGAATGGATTGTTTGTTCTCTGCGAGCTCTTTGAGTGTTGACTGAGTATCCAAACTAAGCTTCGCGATAGCTTGTGTATATATATCGTCCCCTAGAGCTTTGGTAAGGTCTTCTGCGTCTGCGAGAAATCGCTGTAGTCCTGTTGAATCGGTGCGAAGGCGATGGACTGCTGTATGTCTTATTTGTGCGATCGATGGTAATAATTTCTTGAGAGACTTTTTCTTGCCCTTCAGCTTTAACTTTCCTTTATTTCCAAGCAGGTCTGCCCATTGGCTAAGCTCTACTGCTTCAGGACAGTCCCAGTGGCGATCTTGCATGATACTCGAAAGTTCTCTTACTCCATACTCATAACACGCAGCTTCCAGGACCTTTTGAAGTTTCTGCATAAGAAGATGCTCGGTAGGAAACGGCAGGTAGACTAGGGATGACAAAGAGATGCCAGCAATGTCGCACGCATGACCGTCACTCGCGTCTGTCCAGCCTTAGACACTATTGATTAACTTGAATGGACGAGACATACCCTGGACTGGCTTAGTATCTTCTTCCGTGTGACCGGTCTCCTGACTTTTGTCCGAGTTGGCCACTTTGACATCCTCAAGCGTGACTTGCTCAGTCCTGGTGGTCTCTGCTTCTACTTGCGTGCTGACCGCCGTCTGTACTGATGAAGGCTCGGATAGATCGGGAAAGCGTTGACTGGCAATTGCCGCTGACTCATAAACCCTTTCTATAAGTAGCTTTAACACCGCTTCAGCGACAGCGTCATAGCCGTGGTCAGTAACGACTTGCTGCACAGGGTTGCCCACCAGTAAGTTGTTGTTGATCGACTGCCATACAACCCTAAGTTCTCGTATTTTAGCGTACTTCCCAACGAACACATGCTTTGTCGCTTGATAGATCACCCGCTCATCCAGTTGCGTGCCGATAGCTGGACCCATATTGAGCCGTCCAGGAAGTCGAAGCTGTACTCGTGAGGTACAACAGTCGATAGATAGAATGAAGGGTGCAATTAGGCAACCTCCCCAAATTAGTTTGTCAGGAGAATTATCGAATTTGCAAGGAACGGCTAGGTTCATGCTAAATATACTGCCGACCTAGGAAGCGGGGAATTCATCATGGTAGGCCTCCTGAGACTAAGAAAGTCTATTGCTGAATAGTCAGTTATCTAACACGTCATAGATGATGTAGAACTTTAGAGTGCCTATACGAATACTCAATGATCGGCTGGTGTTTAATGTGTAATTACTCGTTGTGTTTCTTGGGTCATGTTTTAGCGGTTGATAAACCTTATCATATGTAACACAAAATTGCGCTTTTGGCATTTTATGGGCGATTGAACAGGGGCTTTCATTCGGCAGATTGATATAAACATACTCAGTATTACTGATGTAACATTCTTTTTACCCGTTTTGCTATAGCCCAGCGAGCTGTTTGCCATTATATAAACAGTACATAAACAGTAGAACAAACTGGCCAGATATAGGGTACCTTATGACACGCTGTCATCGGGTTCCGGCTATATGTTACTCCGATAGCTTTTAGCATCCTTACTAACAGTACCCTGCTTCGACATGTCTGCTAAACGGACTTTTACTTCCATTTACCTCGTCTGAGACTCTGCATATGAAAGCGATTTCATTACCTCAAATCTGAAATGCCCAAAGAGAGGAGGTAATTGACGGAATAACGATATGCCATACAGACATCAGAATGAACCAACAATCTACGCCGCTAACCTCTGGGAGGCGCAACAAGACTGTCGCGTGAGTAGCTCTCGCTTCATTAAGCAATTATACCAAGCCAACAGCAGAAAGTTAATCGCTAACATAAATAAACCTTGAAAGATGTGTTCAATGCCGTGAGCGGAAAGTTCGTTGCTCAGGGACGTGTCCCTGCGCGAATTGCACGCGTCGCTCAACAGACTGCGTCTTTGAGCAAGAAGACCGCAAAGTCGTCGTATCAGAGAAGTAAGTAGCTGTTCCCAGCGTTACAAAAGTGGCTATGCTGAGACTGGTTGTTGTTTGCTCAATGATTTGAAGCGAAAGGCAGAGGATTGGGATGAAGCGCAGAAACAGAAGAAGAACAAAACATCTGCGGAGACCAGTACTAGTGAGAACCGTTGTAACTTGGTTTGAAGCTTGCTGACAACTGTGCCCAAGATGTAGCGGTTGTAGCGCCCGGTTCAAGAACAAATGCCGATGATGACCTGCCGCAAATGACGAACCCCCTACTGACACCCTCGTCTAAATTTGTCGTGGATCACCAGGGCAGGAAACGTATGTTGATCTAATATCCCATCTGATCCTGAATACTAGCTTGCACAGGCTTTCTAGGGCCTTCATCGACATGGGCGTATAGTCACCATGTAATGGGCATGATACGAGAGGTAACACCCCATGCAAAACAAGCGCTATGTGTATGTTAATACAGGGTCTTAGTACGTCGGCCATGAACTCTCACCCGAGGTCCCACTAAATCACGATGGTGTTGCTTTCAACATCGAGCTACCGAGTATGAGGCAGAATAATCTCGTCGTAAACATCGAGGGCCTGCCTTCCCTGGACTATGCCCTGTATCTGACCAACACAGTCAAGTTTCACATCGTCCAAACTTACCATCTATTTGACGAGCACAAGTTCATGCCAGCCCTACATTCACTATACAGCGATGGTCCACAGCTGGTGACCGCTGCGAATAGGATGTGGTATGTCCAGTATTTTCTCATCATGGCTCTGGGTAAGGGGACTACTCACCCGCGGCATGTCCAAAGCTGGCTCACCAGGGAACGAGTACTTTATGAAAGCCATGGAGCTGTTCCCAGATACATACATCCTATCTTGTCGATTGAAGTATGCTGCGGCCTTGCTCTATACCTCCAAGCTGTTGATCACCGCAACAGTGCTTACGTATATGTGAGTTACCTGGTCCTTCCGATCATGGACCGTACTGACTGGCGTTTTGTAGCTTGGAACAGGTCTTCGGATAGCACTCAGTCAAGGTCTACACCGTGATATTGCCGGCGACTCCGCTGACGATCATGAACTAAGGCGATATCGCAATGCGTGGTGGACACTCTACATCCTTGATCGCAAGTTCTCATCCCTTATGGGCGCTCCAAGCTCTGTTCAGGACAGTGATATTTCCGTGCCCATCCCAGGTGATCAGACTACACCTCGAAGGTCCAGCTCATTGGAGATGCATATCAAGCTATCAAGGCTCAAGACCAAAGTTCTCAACAGTTCGTGTGATCCAACACGGAGCAGCAGATGATTTGAAAGCTGACGCATTCCTTAGCTATATACGGTATCGATGGAAAATTGGATGTTTCGTTCCCGAAAAACACAATGTCCATTTTGAGAGAACTCGCTACGCTTGGAGCTGAGCTGAACTCGGCGCCTGATCTGAAACTGGACAGCCTAAGCCCACTGTCGCGCGTCTCTGCAACCTTGAACTTGTGCTATCACCAGGAAAGTAACGGTATACATCTTTCACTCAACATGAATTTCGACTAACAGCTAAAGCAGTGCATCGTCCTTGCTACCAGGCCACTTCTCATGTGTATTTTGCGAGACAAGCTGGAGATGAGCAGACATGATGACAATGCCAACTGTGAGATTGCTGAGCCTGTCAAGGCCTTGGTTAGAACCTGTTACGACTCCGCTCATAAATCACTCCGCATCCTGACTACACTCCAGTCACAGGACCTTCTAGGTAGGCGCGCGCCTCATATAGTTACTGAAGACAAGCTAAAGTTTTGAAGAACTCTTCCTCCCCTTTGATCTCGACCACGCCTTCTCAGCTGGTTTCGTCCTGGCCCTTATATCCGCCGTTCAACCCTTCCCAGATGCAGCCGGCGAGTCTTCTTTTGAGCTAACAAGAAACATACTTGATGCTTTGATCGCTGGTGGTAATCTCCCCGCACAATTTCGGCTCCAGGAACTTGAGCGTCTCCATGATATGCTGCACCTCATTAAGCAGCGAGATATCATGCCTCAACTCCGAGGTCAAGAGAACGACCGCATCTCTGTTCTTGGAGAGCAGGGGATATCACCGAATCAGATACTGAATGTTGCCACGTTGTTGGATGAGCATACGAACCTTGGTGCGGATCTAAATGATGTCAATGGTTGGCTATGGGAGGTCACTGGTTTCGAGGGTCTCCCTCCCGTTTGAGCATGTACAACTGTAATTGATAAGAATTACGGAGTCTTCTAGTAATTGAATCTTTCCCTCTCATCTACAACCCCGGCTTAGCTACTAATGTAATATAAAATTGGTACTCTGTATTATCAATTCTGATCTGCATAAGCGCGAGAACGCAACCCCTCTATTATTTCCACTAGGGCGTGGTTGACATTAGGGCGTGGCCACAACGGCTATAGCGGCTTACTGTGTAGCCTGTGCTTACGTGTCTTTACTAAGGAGATATGCCTTGTAACCTACCTCTTGAAATAGCATAACCCCTCAAGCGGTAAAGAAATTCTTAACCCCGTGTATGAAAATTGTTGCTATGCTGTCGCTAAATACTGTGATAAGGCAACGGTTTCAAAAAGGCTTCAGCCCCGTTAAATGCTAAGCTCGAAGATACTTAACGTTATAAAACCCGCATTATCTAGCTCTCGTCCCGAGGAAAAAGTTATCAAGCCAAGGATCTTGAGATGGCGAAACCGACCGTCACTCTCATCCCTTGGGATCCAAACTCCCCCGAACATGTGAATCGCATGGTCGAGCAACGCATAATCTGTGGCTGGCAAGCATCAATTGTCTCGACTGTGTGGAAAGGTGGACATATCAATGGGACGAAATGCGTTTATTGGATTGTTAGTCCTACGTCACGCCACTCTATTGCATTGTTCTTCTAACTCTCTTCCCAGGTCTTTCCGCATGACGAACCACAGCGTGAGAAGTACCTCAACATGCATACTGAGGCATATCCCAAGGTAGGTTCCGGTTGCGAAGCCAGTCCGAACTTGCATCTCATGCCTTTTAGGAGAGAGGAGAACTGCTCGACTCAAGCGAGACGCTACTCGGAAAACCGCGAGTTCCCAGGGGCGTAAAATTCCTTCCGGTTGGGCACATCGCCCTCGACACCCATATAGCCGATTATGCAGAAAAGCTCGACCTGAACATTCCGAAATCTGGTGCTTACTGGATCAAGAGTCTGTACGTATCCTACAGACTTCAAGGCCTGGGTATCGGTGGAGCTGCTATGAGCATCGCTGAACGCATGGCCATCGAGGAGCCCCTCAACGCCAGACATCTCCTACTGGACACGGTGCACCACGAAGACCAGGCAGATGAGGAGTTTGCTCTTGCCAACTACGGAGGAGGTTTCAAGGTAAATACCTGTTGCCGGGTAGTCGCATATAAGCAATGCTGATTATTGGTTTAGATCCCCACTCAGGCTTGGTATGAGAGACGTGGGTATACGTTGATTGGAACAGCTGAAAATGTATATCAATACCCAGATCCAAATGGAAAGATTTGGCCTTGCAGGACTGTCTTCTTACAGAAGGATATAGCTTAGAACAGTAAGATGATATTTTGCCTGATGCACGGCCAGGCTTGCTAGGCCTCTGGGAATGAGGGCATACTAGTATACCTTTCAAGTTCTTCATCCCGTGTTGCAGACTTTGTTCATTGCCGTAGATATTAATGCCAGGTTGACATTGTTGGGATTCGTTTCGCCATTAGTTTGAAGGTCCAGCTCATTCAGGCATGTCCTGTTGCACATTAGCGAAGAACATATCATGAATAATTGGGTTGATTCCTGTTATCAGGTCTCAGAGAGGCTGGGAATGCAATTGCGGTGTTCGTCCACTATCTCATGCGTCTGGATACAGCGCCACGCTTGCCAAGTGTTCTGTTCCAAAAACTGAGAGGAAGGGAAGAACTCAAAGAAGCATTAGCGGATCCCGGGGCATTGAGTGTGAGAGCAGTGGAGAGGCTGATAAAGCCTTTGCCAGTTATGCAGTGAATTCGCTCCAAGCATCTGGGTATGTCTACCTTAAACCGGGTAGTTGACAGCCAAGCTACGGCAAGGGCATATTTTCATGGAGACCATAGGGAGGAACATCTTTCTCATTTCAAACTGAGAATTAAATACAGTGTTTTCTAATTCGATTTAACTCGAGCTTTCCGTAGCATTCTGCCACTGTAAACCCTGGAGGTATCCCTCAGCCGAGGAGAACTCAACCCCATCACATTTGCCATTCATTACGGAGTACAGGGAAGCACAATTTACAGGGATAAAATTTACCAACCAACAGATGAGGAACAAGTCAACCGCACCAACACTCAGTCCACGACAATGGCCTGGTCACATAGAATCGAAACACCTTGTTGTCAAGTCACTGGGACTGTTCTCACACCAGACAAATATGGGAGCATTCAGATGGCACTGGCAACACTTAACTTCAATAACGCATTGAGCATACAAACAGGTAGACAAGTGATCAGGACAAAGTATTCACTCCAAGGCACATAGAATAATCTGTGACCGAGAAAGCTTTTTGCCATTGATCTAAAGACAGGCTTATACGCTGCAATGCACGCCACAACATCCAATACCAATCTCTAGGGTACCCCGTCTCCGCTGTAGAATACCGTGAGTGTTCCATCAAGCCTGGCGCTCGCCACACATTTGATCGAGCTGCTTGGCCATGCTAGCCATATGACCTCATAACGTCATAGTACATCGGCCTCTTGAGACGTGCTTATTGATGAGCGTTACATCCTGCGCACTGAAGCACGTAAGGATTGCCATCGTTGACAGGGCCAGTGGGCCCCCGAATAAAGCATCCGAAATCTCTGAGGCAAAAACGGCACTTCCTGGTTTTTTCCAATAGCGCAATCATAGATTTGACCTTGCGGATAGTGATTTCCTTTTGTCGCCGCTGAACAGCTGAAGCCTGTTTGAAGGACTCCTTCAGTCCTCTGACAAAGCGCAAGTCTTCCACGAGCTGTTGAATCCGCCGACCGCAAGCCTCGAGTATCTCGATAGCGAGTTCGTGTTCGAGGTCGATGGTTGGAAGGACTTTTGCCGACGTCAGTTCCTCGATGTACTTGGCCGTAGCCTTGGCGATGACCGAGCGGAGATCTGCATCTCTGTTTGAGATGGACATCTCCTGTATGGCTTGAGGAATGATCATGAAGTCGAAATCGCCCAAGAGAATGGCCGAGATCTTTGAGGTCGAAAGCTTACCCAGCTTTTCGATATTGTAGTAGTCCGCGATCGCGTTGACGCGAAGGTGGGAGAGGATCTCCGCGGAAGAATCTTCTGACATTCTGTCATCGTCGTCACGATGATCTCCGCTAGGGTCGTTCTCATCATTGCCGGCTTCGTTGCGTTCGCTATCTTCGCCGTCTTCACTGCCATCTTCGCTCTTCCCATCGCCGTCGTCCCTTTTTTTGTCATCGCCTTTGACCTCAACAGCCTTCTCGCTTTCGGGCGCGAGTCCGTAGTCTCCGGTGTAGAGGAAGTCGACCATACTCTGAACAGTCGCGACATCGAACTCGTTGACAGTGACGGTCTTTGAAGTTGCTTCCTGCTGAAGGTGTCAGTTTGAGCCGCTGGACGAAGTTCTAGGCACGTACCGCAAAACCGCTGTGAAGTGCAGCGCTGATGACGGGCGACTGAGGGCAAACAATCACCTGATGAAGCTTGAACTCGCGATCCTTGCAAACGAGAGTGAAGTCACTGAACTCTCCAGATTGCACCAAGTGCAATAGAAAGGGGTGAGGCTGAGGCGGCATCGTTGCGAGCCTTCGGTTCGATTGATGAGGCTCGGGGGTGAGGTGGAGATGCGAAGATGCGAAGAGGTGAAGACTTTGTTGGCATTTGGAGAATAAGAAAGACAAAGAGCAGAACGGCAGTGAATGATGTCATAAACAAGTAGGCAGCCTTCGCTCCAATTCCATTTATGATAAACGCGGTGCACGTTTGTCGGTAGCTTGCAGTGCCTGACAGTGGTTTGCGGCCCAAGATCAAATGGCCCTAAACACCAAGCCAATTCTTCAGATTGCCGATTGATGCATGACAATGAGTGGTAGAAGAAAGAATAGTTAATTATATATCTATCTTACAAGTAAGCGAAATTCACTACAGACTCTTCTAAAGGATACAGTCGCATTTGACCGTGGTGGATTCACGGCACAGCGAGTGTGACACTTCCACTTCGTGTTACACCACCACTTTGCCTCCAATTCAGCTTACAGATACCCATGACTCTCCAACCATGAACGAACGTCGGAGATGTCACGTTCAGCCCACGATCTCCGGTTCTCCATGGCCTCCAAGTTCTGCTCAATCGCAATCTTCGTATCGCGCCCGCCAAAGAATGCTCTCACGTCCTCAATTTGATCCTTAGTATGCAGACCTTCAAGAACAAGTCCCAGGAACTCGGGTGCGATGTCAACCGGATCCTCCTTCTCAACCCTCTCCCAGTTCTGCTTGGTCCATTCCCAAAGCTCGAACGCGCCATGAGCCGTATCGCGAATCAGCCAAGTGAGGTAGAACATCTAATCTCCCGTTAGCTTTACCTTTCTCTGTGTAGATTTATATCAACTTGCATCCTCGCTCTTGACAGTGTCGGTTAGCAGGTGGCTGAGGACCCATTTCATAAGCTCAGCATTGGGTGCCCGTCCGAGACTTTGCAAGGCAAGATACTGTTCGTCCTCATCGGATGAATCTTTCCAGAGATCCAAGAGGCTTTGGAGTTCTTCAAGACCGCCGTGGGCTGCGATGATTCCAAAGGCCTCCCGCCGCAGTGACCCTGGGATCGCATTTTCGTCGCCAGCCGTGCGTTTTGCAAAGAGTTCCTTTGCGGCTGAGACAACACTGCGCGGAATCTGTCAGCTTTTTGCGAGACCATAAGGACATTGAACTTACCTGGGGTATCCTGCAAGACCCGCACCGCTGAACATTGATGTCTTGAACCTGATGAGGTTCTCGTCATCATCCTTTGACATGGTCCACCCAAGTTCCTCAGCCTTTGGACCGATCACCTCCCTAGTTAGTTTCCGAAGAGCCTCATTTATCTCAGGCCCGTGGAATTTGTAGACAGACTGAATGGAACTGAGGTTGCGGTTGATCATGTCCCAAACATAAAACGAGTCTAGTTTAGAGAATTTGATGTTGAGATCGAGCAGTTCGCTGGTCCTACTCACTCCTACGGCAACCAAAGCTTCCAGGTCGCACGATAATCCGATGCAGTCGCGCAGGCTGAGATTTCGCTTTGACGCCTCCTCGAGTAGACGAGTGAGAAGTTCGGGTGGGTAATAGGTTCGGAAGAAGCTCCCATGGTCCGCGTTGACTTTGAATAGACCGTCAGAGGGAGGAAGAACTAGCTCCCTTTTATTCATGTCAACTGTTTCAACTCCGTGTCTTTGCCGAATTGCAATTTTGAGTGGATAGATTGTATCAGATGCCGCATCCTCTTCCCTTGCCACACCATTGCTCAAGAAGCGTTGCTGGAAGAGTCGAACACCTGCGACACTGCCACTCTCGTCGAGAAGCTCAGACACTCGAACGACTGGGAAACCGGCCTCCTTGGTCCAGACACTCATGCTCGCTGCCATAGGTTCGCTGGTCACCTCCTCCCAGGCCTTCCAAAGGTGATTAGGCCTGGTGCGCTGGAACTTGTGACGTCTGAGATACAGCTTCACGCCGTCGAAGAATTTGGTGTCGCCCAGATTGTTTAAAATCATCCCAAGGATACACGGGCCCTTCTGGAAAAAGATCTCGTCATAGAGCGACTCCGCATTGACGATCGCATGACTGCTGTCAAGGGAGTCTTGGCGGAGCGCTTCCTGTAGGGTATTGGCGACGTAGGAATCCCAGAAATGCCAGCTTGGAAACATCTTGTCTGCAGCGTACCACGCCATCAAAGTAGCAAAACCTTCCTGGATCCACAGGGCATCCCGATCTCTCATTCTAACCAGGTTCCCAAACCACATGGAAGAGATCTCGCGGAGAATTGCCTCTGCGACTCTCTTCTTCTCATCCAAAGTAGAGCCTTCTGAGTCGAGCAAAAGGTTTGGAGTGCTGGAGATGATCGCTCCCCAAGTCTGCGTGTCCGCGGAGAATTCTGGAACGGCGATCAAATCGAGCTTTGGGAGCGGGTATTCTAGGTCGAAGCAGTCTTCGAAGAACTGAAAGCCTTTGGCCGCGAGGTCCACTGCAAAGGTAGCCTGCTCTTGAGTGCCGAGAGGACAAAAGACAGACATGGGGATCCTGATGTTGGTGCATTTCACCTCGGCCAGGGGCCCGGCTACTAGACAGAGATGCTTTGACAGTCAGACCACGCCTCTGTCGCTTTTGTGGGGTGATACTCACATATGTCGGCATCGAAACGCTCCTTCGAAAGGTTACCATCTTCTCAGAAGAATGCTTATAGGTCACAATAGTTGACACAGGCATATTCGAAACGGTGACAAAAGACTTGGGTACCACGACGGAAAGGGTGAACTTGGCTTCCGTGAGAGCTTCGCTAAAATGGGGGAAGACCTATGAGAAGTCAGTCATCGTTGCAGAGTAATGCCCCAAGGTCCAGTGACTCTTACCTCTCTCGCGTATGTCGGCTCCAACGCTGTGACCGCAATTCGATGCTTCACACCATCGTGTGTCTCATAGCTCGCCTGGTAGAGGCCATTCGAATCGTCGCGAAAAGTGCCGGTGTAGGAAAGGATGATTTGAAATTCGTTTGAATTCTCTGGGGAGATCTCGTGGGGGAGTTCGATTGTCAAAGTGTCGCGTGCCTCGTTGTAGCTTTGCCGTCGCAGCGTGTTAATGAATGTCGATCGTGGATTCGTGGTAGTGCTCCTGATTTGGACGTACCTCAGTTTATTCGAAAGGTACCAGGAACCTTGATTGAACTTGGCCTCTGCTCGATTTACCTTGATTGATTTGGAATGCAATTCAAGAGATGAGCAGGTGCCAATCACGGTGCAGCTGCGAACAAAGTCTGTCAGTGCTGCAAAACAGCCAACGCGCTGCCCTTAGCTGGAGGGCCTTACCTGATCGTGACAAGGCCTTCGAATTTCTCCTCGTCGAAATCAGGATGGAGTCTGATCTCGTAAAAGAGGGCCTTAACGCGGGCTGGCAGGGGGATGCGCTCTTTCTTTTCCATGACGAAGCTGATTGGATGTGCTCGAGGAGTCGTCAAATCTTGAGTGAATCAGAAAGGTTAGCCACCAGCGCAGGTGGGACAGATGCAATGATTGACCAAGGCTTGCCTGCAGGGTTGAGAGGAGATGAATATGGAGATGGAGAGGAACAACAGTCTTGTCAGAGTCAAGTTTCTGTCTGTGGCAGCGGAACTACCTGTGCAAGTGATGACTCCTGCCTGTAGTGCCTGCCGTATTTAGGTTGTGGACGCACGCCCAAGCGAGGTGCAGGTGCTTCGACATGCCTGCCTCCTTCTTTCTCGCTCATGTCCTGCCGTACTCAGTGCCGTTGTCTTCACGAGGCAAGATGATGAAGCCAAAGAAGCTTGCAGGTGCTTGTCACTGCCAGCGGTGCCCGCATTGATATTGGTGGTGTGCTTCCACGCTCTCCCATCATACGGCTCTTGAGACTCGACATTTGCTTCCCAGCGCTCATCACGCTGATTCCATGGTAGACTACCAGTATCCTTTCTAGCATTAATGGGAATGCTGTAACTTGCCCGTGTGCGAATGCGTTTGTAAGTGGTGAAATGGTTGAATATACTTAAAATGAACTTATCATAAGTGTTCAACGAGAGTGGTTGACTGCAGTTGTCTACACTAAGTTAGGAATTGTGAGGCCTAGGGAGTCCACTTGTTTTCATACGCCTGCACAAGAAGAACATAAATTGATGAGCTGATGGGCACGAGTGGTGCTGTTGTCGTTACTAAGGTACCTGGTTACTCATGGCCTTTCTACACTACTGGGATAGGTCAATTACTAAGCGCTCGATTACTCGAACACCTTGTCGACCTCAGAAACGGTCAGAAGCGTGCTGATCTTTGTGATACCAGGCAATAGCGAGTAGGAGGGCTAAAATCAGGCTCTCGCTCAGATCCTTGCACTGTCACCCCGCATAGAATCCTTCCTTCACCACAACACCAATCACACCCAACCCTTTCAGCCTCATTCTTATCTCCCAAGCTGAACTGCATACAACCTCGCCACCTCTCTCTGCATCTCAACTAACCCCTCCGCTGATCCCTCATCTCAGGCAATCCCAAACCACTCATGTACTGCGGATGATACAGCTCCTGCGGCGACCGCTGCGGCGACGTATGCATCTCATAAGCAAACTGCGTATTTCCCAACTCAGGTATCGGAGACGGATACGCAGGTGGCTGGGAATAATCGCTTCGACTGGGACTCGATGCCCAAGTATCGCGTGCCCCAGCCGGCGTTGGGGGCGATGACTTGAAAGGAGGTGGTGGCTTCTGTGCCGTTGCAGGGGCTTCGTTGTGGGCTGCATAAAATTGGCTTGGCTGCTGCGGCTGATTTGTAGACTTGAGTCGTCGCCTCCACAGGAAAAAAGCAAGTAAGGCGATCAATATCAAGCCTAGACCGCCACCAACGGCTGCACCGATAATAGTGCCTTTGGGCGCACCACCATCGCCAGAGCCTGATTCTGAGGAACTTGCTGCTGTTCCAGTAGGTCCTACTGTGACGGTGGATTGACCTTGGACAAACACCGTGACGGTCTGTTTGTGTGTTGTGGTCGAGGTCGAGTACTTGGTCGTCCATTCGGTCTTTGTTTCTGTGTCGGTAATTGTTGTCGTCGCTTTTTCCGTCTCGTAGACTGTTTTCGTGTCTGTTGCTCGTCTGTGGATGGGAATTCCTCGTCGCGCAAGACCGTCAGCGAGCGCATTGAGGCTTGCAGCTGGTCGGAGGATGACTGGCTCTATTGTCTTGGTTGTGGGAGATTTGCGTTCGAGCTGTTTATGAGGAGCCGCAGGGACAAATCGCTTGTGTTTTCTGTCCGAGTCTGTAGCCGTATTCGCCCCAGTAGCCTCATAACCCGTAGGGCCTCGCGATACCGTTACAAACACGGTGGTCTCTACAGTCGAGACCGTTTTCACAGTCGTTGTGCCATCGGTCGTGACAGTCTCGGTGTCAGTTGCAGTCACCCACGAAGTCGTTGTGTCGGTCACCGTTGCTCTGTCTAGTATCAGCTGAGTACAATTGAATGCAAAAAGGCCGCCTCACGTAAGATTGACGCATGTTTGGGCATCGTTATCGCACTTCTGGTCTTCGTCACAGCACTGGCGGTGTCAGCGATAGTCAAGACAATCTGACCATAACTCAAAAATGGCTTCCCGACTGAGGGATTGCAGCACGTCGAATCAGCATTGCAAAAAGCTCCCCAGCCAGGATCTTTAGAAGTTCCGCAACAACTCTGTCCTTCAAGGCAGCAATTGCCTCCGGGATCTGCTCGGCAACAAGACCTGTTGTCAGCACAGCACCATCCATTGGCTTGGGTACCGCAGCATTGAGGGGCAGTATCAGGGCATCCGTTATCGTTTCCAAAGCATTTTACCAGTTGGCCTTGGCGACGACCAAGAGGAAGATCCCAAGTCGGAAGTTGGGATGCCAAGGGAGTAAATTCAAGTCGTTTGATCGCGCCTGGTCTAGTCCACTCTTGTACGAAGAGTTTGACTTCTTCGGGGTCTGTGATGTTGAGATCCTGGATGCTTTGCTCGAGGCAGGTGGGAGAGGTTGAAACGATCAGGCATGGTAAACAAGCAAAAGCCCATAAAAGACATCCGATACGCATCATGTTGAACGTGTAGACCGCCATCTGGAGTAGATCGAAGGAAGAAAGCGAGAGACATAAGGCGAAAATAAATTGATGTAACCCAGATTTATGCTGCCTCTTTTCACTTGGGCCGCCTGCTTGCCATACTCTGCCTGGAGCTTCGTCCCCCAGCGACGCCACGCATAGAGATATCACATCGGTAATGCAACTAGTGAACGCTTGCATGTCGACACGCACGATAAGAGAAATGCTTACCCCGCCCGAAACATTTGATGAACAGCCAATTGGGGAGTCATGTTGAAAGCCTGATTGAGGTTGCACATAGGGGCTAGTGGCCCATCATGTAGATAGTCATCTCTTGTCCGTCTAGTTAGTTCTTCTCCTTCAATTAATATACAGTTCACATTCCAAGAATAGAATCTGCTTATTCCCTTTCCTGAGCTATACTAGATCTGGTACACATCAGCTTACATGCGGAATTCCGTTAAGCGGAACTCCGTTTAGCGCTTACGCGACTATATAAAGCAGTAACTGCGCTCATATGGAATCTAAATGTGTCAATATCTCAGTGCCCCATCTTCAAACTCAAAGATCTCTAAAATGGCAGAGAGCAAGCCTGTTATCGTGATTGTTCCAGGTGGCTTCTGCAGCCCCGAAGTCTACCAACCCGTCGCCAACACTCTGGAGCAAGATGGGTTCAACGTCATCGTCCCGAGATTAACCGTCACTAAAAACCTCACCTCCAAAGATCCTGCAAGCCAGGAGTTCAAAGACTTGGCCAATAAAGGCCTCCTCGAGGATGTCAAGGAACTTCACGACCGTTTGGCTCCCGAGTTCGAGAAAGGGTCTGAGATTGTGATCTTTGGACATAGCTATGGAAGTCTCCCCGCTTTACTTGCCATCGAAGGGCACACGATTGCAGAACGCAAGGAGAAGGGACTTTCTGGTGGTATCAAAGGATATGTCGCTGTCGCTGGGTTCGCGTATGCGCAGAGGGGGAAGAACGCTAGAGGCGATACGGAGCCAGCGCCGCCGATGCCATATTTCGAGCACGAGGTATGGCAATCACCTACCCTGCATGTAACCCCACTGACATACTTGATCACAGGATGGGGTCTTCCATATGACAGAGGCCGCAAAGCCTCTCTTCTTCAGCGATCTTTCTCCCGAGAGACAAGATGAAGCTTGGAAACTGGTGCTAGGAAGTCAAAGCCAGAAGAGTCTCAGCGACGTATCGGAGTTCATCAACTCTGACGTCACGATTCCAAAGACATATGTCTTGTGCGAGAAGGATGAAACTGTTCCTCCGGAGTTACAAGAGATGCTTATTCAAGCTGGGGGTTTCGATAATGTAGAGAAGCTGTCGTCTGGGCATTTCCCTTTCGTCAGTATTCCGGAGGAGACGGCTAAGCTGTTTGCACGAATTGCCCTACGATGAAAGGGATGCAAGTTGTTTGAAAGTCTAGAGGATGAGATCTGAGTAATAGACATTTGCGTGATTGGAGCGAATATTGACTTGACCGACTTCATGAGAACAGAGTAACTATTTGTGCGCATACTCTGTATGCGGTGTGAATGAAACAGTAGAGTTTCCTAGATCGTCCCTTCGCTCCGTTCTCGTTCTGTTAGACAACGGATGAGAAACGGATCGATGAAACGGAACATTCCGTACATCCGGTGAGCCTTATCGAGGAATGGCCTTCAAGCACCTGACATGGTTTCGAAGAAACACCATTACATATCAACCTTACCCCCGTTTCATGCTCGATGGGATGATCGGATCTGTATATGCTCCAAGAATCGGTCGCCCTACGCATTAGTAATTGATAAATGTCACTGGCACTTATACGATCGTCGCGAGCGTTGTAACGAAGCTAACGAAATTAAGGGATGTATAGGGCTACACTGGCCTGTCACTGACGGAAATAATATTCTCCACTGACCCTGGAGTCCACTGCAACCGTGCTTTAGACTTAACTGAAACAAGGAGCTAGATAACTTCGCATAGGCCAGTTTCTCCGAAGAATAATCCGACGAAACCGCGTATCCCTTTACTATAATTCAAATTCAAATGATGGTTTCAATCAAGGTGAGAATAGTTCTCCAGCACATCTCTTAGCTCTAAAGCGTCGCCATCATGAAGTTCACCCTTTACCTCAGCGCCCTCACAGCGCTTCTCACCTCCACAACAGCCCAAAAACTCTCCGGTTCAGCACAAGGTTTCGCCCAAGGTGTCACAGGCGGTGGTTCCACTGCAGCAGTTACCCCCAAGAACATTCAAGAGCTGGTGACGTATCTCACCGATAAGACGCCCCGCGTTATTGTGCTTGATAGAACGTACGACTTTATCGGCTCAGAGGGTACTGTTAAAGAAAAGGGATGTGCGCCGTGGAAGACTGGTGCGGGATGTCAACTGGCTATCAACGCAGCTGGGAATTGGTGTGGTGATAATCCCAAGGTTGATGTTACGTATAGCAAGGCTGGAACTAGCGGGATTAACGTTGCTTCCGATAAGACCATTATTGGGGTTGGGAATAAGGGTATTATTAAGGGGAAGGGATTGCGATTTGTTAATGTCAAGAACATTATCGTTCAAAACATTCGTACGTTATTTGTACCCGCGGTGTATCAGTTGTCTAACAGATGTGCTTGCAGATATCACGAACTTGAACCCTCAGTATGTCTGGGGCGGTGACGCCTTCACCTTCTCTGGCACCAGCAAGATCTGGGTTGATCACTGCACCGTAAGCTCATTTCGGCAAGTCACCCGAACAATTACTAACGTTTCTAGACATCTCTGCTCGGCCGTCAGCACTACGTATTTGGCCGCGACAAGAGCACTGGCATAACCCTCTCCAACAATCACATCGACGGTCGAACACAGTGGTCCGCTGGCTGCGACGGGTACCACTACTGGACAATTGAGATGGTCGGCCAGGGCGATCAAATCACCCTCCAGAGTACACCTCCCCCTCACTATAACCATGATTTCTACTAACGTCTTTCAGACAACCTCATCGAGCACACAGCAGGCCGTGGCCCAGCCCTCTCAGCAACAACATTCCTCCACGCCGTCAACAACGTCTGGCGCGACATCAACGGCCACGCCATCGAAGGCGACACAGCCGGCAAGGGTCTCTTCGAGGGCAACGTATTCCAGAACGTCAAGCAGGTCGTCGTCCCCGACTTCAAGGGTCAGCTTAACAGTTGTCCTGATAACGCTGCTGCTAGCGCTACGCAGCAGTACCTTGGTCGCGTGTGTCAGGGAAATATCTTCATTTCGTCTGGTGCGTTTAACAGGAAGGATACTGGCTTTATGTCGGAGTTTAAGGGATTGCCTATTGCGAGATCTACGCAGGCTACTACTGCGCAGAGCAAAGTTCCTGGAAATGCTGGATTCGGAAAGATCTGAGAATTTCGGGTTCAGAGGGGTGATGCGATTTGTTCTCTCGGAAACCAAGCTTACGTGAGATTTTGGGTCGTGGTGGGCGTGGCTATCAAAACATCGCACCAGCCCTTCACAGTATATATCTTTACTTCAGTACATTATCATCATTCAGTCCATATAAAAAACATGGTTTCTTCAAATTCACCGTCAGAGGAGATTGTGTACCCCACGCACATGATTGACAATGTGTCCGTCCTGAAGTTCCTCGTCATGGCCTGGACCATGCGCTTCAAAGATGTTTTGAACGCTGACAGACTGCACCAATCGCTATCGGAATTACTTACTGTTGGCGATTGGAAAAGGCTCGGTGGAAGATTGAGATATGGGCATAACAAACGAGGAGCTCTAGAGGTTCATGTCCCGACCACTTACACGATGGAACGGCCCGCCGTGTCTTACTCGCACCAACATTATGATGTCAACATCGAAGAGCACAATGCAGCCAATCTATTACCAAAAGCGACTATTCGACCTTCAACCTTTCCAGGAGCATCGCGACCTCGAGACTTTGGTATACCACCTGGTGCACCAGCATCGCTGAAGGATTATACCAGTCGAGATGTTCCAATGATCAGTCTTCACATTATCACCTATCAAGACGCGACACTTGTCACTGTCACTTGGCCACATGTTCTCTTCGACGCGGTTGGATTCTCTCACTTGATCGAGGCTTGGTCAACAGTCCTCGCAGGTTACAAAGAACGTGTCCCTAATATCATCGGTCCTAACGATGATGTTCTTTATGACCTTGGGGAGATAGCCCAGGCTGAACCGCAGTATGCATCTAGCGAAGCGCGAATTCTTTCCGGAATAGCGTTCATATTCTTCGTCATCCGAATGCTCTGGATCATATTCACTCAGCCGGTCGTTGAAAGCCGCATCATTTGTCTGCCAAAAGACGTGGTAGACAGACTACATCAGCGCGCGTTGGAGGATATCAAGGAAGAGAACTCGGGCCATGATGATCCATGGGTCAGTCCAAGCGATGCCATCTTAGTTTGGCTCACCCGCGCCCTGGTCGATTCATCTAAGACACCACGTCCGATCAGCATGACAACTCCAATCGACACACGAAACCGATTGTCTCAACTTCAGAACTTCGATGGAGTCTACATTCAGAACATGATCCTAGGTTCCTTCGTCAACATCGCACCGGGTGACCTTCGCAAGCCATTGGGGGCGCAAGCTCTCGCAAGTCGCCGAGGCTTGTTGCAGCAACTAGATGAGTCGAACTTGATCGGCATTCTCCAACTATTTCGCAAACGCTGAGATGAAGGCATAGCAAGAGCGCCGATATTCGCTGCGCCTGGTAGTGAACTCTTGGTTACCAACAATAGACTCAAAGTTGATCTCTTTACAGCAACAGACTTTGGACCAGCTGTGATTCAAGCTGGTAAAGACCAAGAGAGGAAGAACCGCACAGGCAGGCCAGCTCATCACTATGCCTCATCGCTCAATCCCGGGATTACGATGAGGAACTTTGTTAATGTCCATACGAGAGATCTTGATGGAAATTATTGGTTGTCTGGGTTCTTCACACCCCAGCAGTGGTCACGGATTGAGAAAGGGTTTCAGGAAATACTGTGAAGTTGCAGGATGAAAAGAATAGTTAATTACAACCTTGCAGTCAGTAGAAAGACTTCGAGCTATTTAACAAAGCTCTTATACGATTACTAGTGATGAGAATGAACACACGCTCCACGAGTCTGAAGCCGCTGCACAGATCCCTTCCCCTCCTCCGACAAATCCCTTCCCTGAATGCCCCCAACACTCCTCCTCTTAATCATCCTCCCAACATCATCATCATTCGCAAACTTCGCCTTAACACCATTCTTGAAGTCAACCTCATCAGCGATATACACTACCTCACCACCAACCATCGTCAGCAGTGTCTTCTGCCTTGCAATATGCTCCTTGGGGACTTTAAAGTAATTAGCCTTCAAAACAATAGCATCAGCAAGTTTTCCAACTTCAAGGGAACCGATGTAAGCATCAGCACGGAGGAAACGAGCGCTCTCGGTTGTGATAGCGCGGATAGCTTGGTCGCGTGTTAAGGTCAGGCCAGGGAGACCGTTGCTGTCGTAGGGTGCGCCTTGTGAAGCGGGAGAGTGAGGGTTCTTGGGATCGCCAGAGCGCGTGACGCCTGCTTTGATGGCTAGCCACTCATCCAAGGGTCAATCTATTACTCTCGTCAGTCTTAATACCGCGAACACAGTTTTTGACCACATACCGGCCAGTCGCTACCGTATACAATAGCAGACCCAAACTTGGCAAGTTCTCCAAAAGCCTCCATGTAATGCGATCGTCTTGGACCCATACTCTTCACACCATTCGGGAGCCAGACTGAACTAGCCTGTGACCATTGAAAGCTCATGATAGGATCGGCTTTCAGTTCGGCGAAGCGAGGCCAGTCTGAAGGATCAGTTACTTCGTTATGCGCGAATCCAACGCGGTAATCCCGAAGTTTGGGGTTTTTGTTACGCAACTCCTCGAGAGCATCGAGGGCTGTTCGAACAGCGAGATCTCCGTCAACGTGTATCTGAGCATCGATGTTGTTCTTGAACAGTTTTGTCAGGGTAAGACTCAAAGTTTCCTTGTCCCAGTATGTTTTGGGTCCAAAATTTGATTTGGGTGCCCACATTGAGGTATTAGCCACAGGCTGAAAGTATGGCTCGATGAGAGATCCGGTGTTGGCGGGGTACAAGAGAACGCCGTCCATGAACATTTTGACAGCGTGCCACTTCATAGAAGGCTTGGGGCTCAACTCTCTCTTATCGCTCCATGTCGCAGTAACATTGACCACATCCTTGACGAGATCATCAATGCCCGCAGTGTTATTTGGTGGCTGCACGAGATAGTCGAAAAAGCCACGAGCTGTTAAACCTCCCTCTTTTCTGATAGCTGCAAACGCAAGAGCTGTATCCTCGCTGGACGCAGCCTCCTGGAAGCTCGTCACACCTTCCTCCCGAAGAAGTTTCAACGCTGCTCTGGCAGATCGAATGTTGTCCTCGGCTGTTGGTGGCGCCGGTCCTGCTAACAAACTCGTTGCAGAATCTTGTAAAATTCCTGAAAGTTCTTGACTTCCTGGGAGGCGCTCAAATTTGCCGTTTCTTGGGTCCTTGGTCTTGCTTGTGAGGGATGATACCTTCAACGCAGCGGAGTTGACCCAGAAGGTATGCGAATCAGCTGACGCAACCAAAATAGGCCTTTTTGTCTTGAGCTTGTCCAAGTCTTTCTTCGTAACGCCACCCGTATCATCAACCAAGGCGTAGTAGTCAAGAGAAATGACTTCTAGCCAGTCTTCATCCGTCTTATTTTTATCATCATCAAGACAACTCTGAATCTTCTCAAGGAATTTGCTGAGACCCAATGGCTGAAAGTTCATGTTGCACTTGAGAAGGCCAGCTCCGCCACTAATGGGATGCATATGGGCGTCCACAAGACCAGGCATCATCATTCGGCCTTCTAGGTTGAAGACCGAGGTGTTCTTGGCGATATACGACTGAATGCTTTCTTCGTCACCTAGGAAGGTGATGTATCCATCTTTGACGGCGAGGGCAGAGTATTTTGTGGAGAGGAGATCGAGAGAGTAGATGGAGCCATTGCGGAAGACAGAGTCTGCGGTGACTGTCTTGTTCGGCTTTCTGGAAGCAGCTGAGCCCGGGGAGACCAGAAGAGCTACTGCCAGGAGCAGGCTGGAGACAGAACAGGGAGTTTTCATCGCGTTCTTTGAGAGCTGAGAAGATGACGAACAGGAATGGTATGTATCTAGGTTCTGTCATGGCACCTGGGTAGTTTTATATAGTTATTCTGTCTATCTGGCCAACCGTAAGACTCGGTCTTTACGTCTTTTTGTCTTTGCATATTCACCTGCCAAATCGATAAGCGACATCGAATCGTATACTGGAGTCGGCTCCCGCTTCCATAATTGATCTAGGTGCGGGAGGTAGATTGAGTTATGCTTGATGATAGGCTTGTTCGTAATTCTGCAGGTGATCGTGACCATCTTATCAAGCCCCCATGTCGCGATCCGTGGGTTTGCGGGGAAGTCGCTTGAACTATCCTTTTTGGTCATAGGTTATCTCGCTTCCCACCGACTTGGCGCTATCGACTATTGATCTTCAAGAACTTCTAGACTTATATGCCGGCCGCTCTTGTCTTAGTTAGTATGTTATTGATCTTGGTAAACTTGAAAACTGGTAGAAGATTGCGTCATGCTACGACACCGCTAATAGGTCAAATAAGCGTTTCTGTTGCTTCGGCTTGATAATATTACGTGCAATCGCTTTCTCAATACTATATCAAAATTGTCCATCCATACTATGGTCAGAGTCGTACTAATCGTAAGTTAATCGAGTCTATGTAATACAGTTTGAGGATCTATGCACCTCGGCATTAGTGAGTGATCAAGCATCAGTGACACCACCAACTCAACGAGGCTATGCTTTAACCGATCAGCTTTACGGTCGCGTCTTAACAAAATATGGATATTGTAATCAATTGACTTCTTTCATATTAGCGCGTTTAACAGGAGAGGTCTTCTTATCATCTCGGGGATATATGATTGGAGAGTCCTCGACCGTCCCATGACATCACTAGAGACTGGGTATAGGCGACGGAAATTGCATATCTATGGTTCAGTACTCTGAAAGTCTGAGACCTCACCGTGACTTTCTTTTCTATACAGACGCCACTCATCGGTCATTGAGAAGACTCTGATTTAGCTAATATATGGGAATGAGGGCATTATTAAGCTAAAAGGCAGAACCCGTGAACGCAGTAACCGTGATACCCCGAAGGAAGTTCTGAGTTCAACAATAGCGCTCTCGGTTGTGCTGGCGTAGATATATGGCTTGGCTGTGTGCAATGGGGTCAGACCGGGAGGACACTTGTTATTTTAGAGCGCGAGATACCCTGTCAGGCTGGTCTGTTGTGACGCCAAGACAAACAGGGGGACACTCTTTAAGAGATCTGGCTTGTCAACTCGATACCATTCAAGCCTTACGATCTAGTTACATACCAACCAGGTGCTTCCTCGCTCATGTGAAAAATTTCTTTAAAAAAATCACATTGATCTTTAGAGAAAGCAAATTAGCAGGACTTGTGGCATGATGGCCAAGGGCTGTGTCGTGGGGCTTCGGCCGCCGTATGACGAGTCATGCTGCCTGCATTCTATTCACAGCCTCACCTTTGTCCCCTCCAATGGCAAGTCGACAACGCATACCGACCCTTCAACGCCCCTCATTCACCCTAAAACCACTCAGTTCATTTCAGCATCTGCCCAAACCATACCAAAACCTTTATCCAGACGGCCATACCTGCCATACCTGGAGATCTGTTCTATAGCCTACTCAAGTGGATCCTACACAAAGGAGCGTTCGCCATGTCAACTATCGGTAATGTCACAGGTCCAATATGAGGCCTCAGGGTCGGAGGTATCCAAGGTGGAAAGCGACATTGCTCAAACGGTCAACCTTGCCGATACTGTTGTCAACTTGATACGCGAACCTATAGTTCTGTTGTATCAGAACATTTCCAAGACAAAAGCGCTCAACGCCAGCCCCGGTGTCTGGAAAAGGTGAAGCCCTTGACGATGCAGGACATTGTCGTATTCCTGTCATGCAAAAAGACGGTTTCGAAGCTCATCTTGTCCGTACTGATGGGCTCATTGACTGTTGCTCTGCGAACAGGGCTTCCCTCGCACCAGAGGAGCGTCGAATATTTCGGCTCTCTTGGGGCAGCAATAACTATTTGAGTCGAGGCCAAGCACCTCAGGGCCTCCCACCAGGGTCGGCCTGCTGGGCCTATTTCCTCCACAGTCTTGGAATACGACCGGGAATGAATGTTGTTGGGTGGAGGCCGTCGACAGATGGGTATATAAGCACACAGAACGGCGGTGTCGAGATGGAGATCGATGGATCAACGCTATGTCACGTAATCAACCTCTATTCTATATTACCACAGCCTACTCCTCAAGGTGAGAGGATTATTAGGATCCGCCCTGGCCTGGAGGAGCCCAACTCATATCGATTCGGCTTTGGTATGCTGGCTTGGGATACTGTGAATGGCCAGCTACACGCTCATTTCACACCCGGCGTGGAAACTGAATTGAATGCTACAAAGCAGCCTTTTCAGCCTTCTCCCTGAGGGAGATGGGGAAAATAACATGGAACCTAGCACTCTTATGGCTTGTTATTTTACGGCGCTGGAGGAGCATGGCACATCGGATACGCAGTTTCTCCTACCATCACCCGAAGCATCGCTCAACGAACGCGTCACAAGACTTATCAGCTGCCTTCGAAAGCTTCGGACAAGGAGGGATAGCTTGCTCTTATTAACCTCGGAATGGATCGAAAACGCCTCCCGAATCAGACTGCGGGTTCTGACTCAGGGCGGTGAAGATGATTCATTCTATCAAGATATCTGTGAAATGCTTGACCAAATACCATACAGCGTGGCTGGGGGGGACGAACAAGAAGCCAAGATAAGGTTGAAAAGAGAGATATACACTCTTTTCCCTTTTAGAAGCGACAAGTATGAGTCCTGCGTCGGTGAAATCCGTCGCAATCGCCCCAGTCACCGAAACTATTTCATCGGAACTCGAGAAATTATACATAAGACCTTGGGAGGGTACATCAACCAACCACACGGATCATGGAAACGAGGGCTGTTTGAGATGAAAAGTGAAGTTATTGAACTGATGCATCTTTCACACCGGGCAGTTATTGGCAAGAACGTTTACATTTTACGGTTCACTAGGTCTTCTGACTTATGGGACAAAAAGGTCCTTCTCGGAGCCCCAATCGCCTCAGTACCGCAAAACTAGCCAGGTACCATGGCCTCTGGTATACTGTCTACTTGCATTTACCAATCCAGTCTATAGAGAAAAGTTCAAGGATTAGTTCTCTTTCTCGCTGCTGAAAGAATCTAGTAAAGCTCCACTAACGGAAAAGCGTTATTATTGAATCAATCGCAGTTGCTCTCCAATGTGGGTGCATTATGCAATTTTCTTATCGCCTGGGTCAAACTAGAGTCCTTCATCGTTGTCCTCTAAGAAGGTTTGGGCTCGTCTTGTCTGTATATCAGATCAGGTGACAGCATCTGCGGAGCATCGGTCTTTTGTCCGATATGCATGCTCGCTTGCTCTCCTCACGGCCGATCACACGTCAACATCCATTTTGCCTAATGTTGACGATCCACTTGATTGGTTCCACGGAAATACCTGCATCGTTTACCGTTGCATTCAAACCCCAACTCGCGTTTCAAGATAGGAAATCTCGGAAGCTACATTACAAAAGTACCTCGGCATGCGGTTGAGATTGTCTCGATAGCTACTTCTGGCTCCGAGAGTCCTTGTCTGAACGAAAGTTTGTCGAGGCGGAGGCCTGGATACTAGCCGTATGCCAGTAATGCTCGCTGCCGGGTCACAGTATTTACAAGTCTGCATTATCTTTGCCTCTTCAATCGGCATCCTAAGATCTGTCTCGTTCTAAGATATCTGACCTGTATCGAACTGGAGCATCAAGATAAGAGAACATGCAAAAGCATCCAACTCCGTGACCTTATCTCCGTAGATGCAGCCTAATACTACCCTGGTTCCCAATCTGTACAACACCCATCAAACAGCACTTACGAAAACGCATTGTCCTCCCCACAATGAGCGGGTCATCGTGACACCCCCGAGTCATAGACCTTGCCTGTGCCCATTTTACCCCAGAAACAACCCAACTCAGCTGCGGGGTAGTCTCGTCAATTGCGGGGGATGATCGATCGACTCGAAGCAATCGCCTTGTTTCTCGTTGGTCAACCCATCGGTGATGTCGCATTCCTCGCTGATCTGTTACCAATAATGATGAAGATTCGGTGTATTCCTTTGCCGAGCTTTGTGCCGGGGGCTTTATATACCGTCATCGTAGCTGAATTCTTGGTCCCCAACTCACTCTGTCTTCTAAGCTCATCTTTCGCCACCTAATATTCTTGACGCTATAATGGACACAGGCAAGGCATCCGTCCAGATGGACGAAGGCGATACAGGTCGTGAGCAAAATCTCGAGTCGTGGGACTTTAATGCCCAAACCGAAGAATGGCGCAAAGACTTTGACAGGAAACTCCTCCGAAAAGTCGACATGCGACTAATGCCGACTCTCGTGGTCATGTATCTCCTCAACTTTCTCGATCGATCGAATCTCGCACAAGCAAGACAAGGATCCCTCGAGGAAGATCTCGGCATGTCAGGCACAGACTTCAACCTCGCCACGTCGATTTTCTTCGTGGGATATCTGCTCATGCAACTCCCCTCCAATCTCATCCTTACGAAGCTTCGGCCGTCGCTTTACCTTAGCGCGTCTTGCTGTCTCTGGGGCGTGGTGTCGACGTGTAATGCTGCTTCTGATAGCTTCACCCATTTAATTGTAATTCGATTCTTTCTGGGCTTTGTTGAAGCACCCTTTTTTCCGGGGGCGGTGTTTTTGATGAGTTCGTGGTATACGAGAGCTGAACTTACGCGACGCATTGCGTGGCTTTATTCTGGAAATGCGTTGGCGAATATGTTTGGCGGTGTTCTCGGTGCGGCGATTTTGGGAGATCTTGAGGGAGCGCATGGCATTGCAGGATGGAGATGGCTATTCATCATCGTGAGTTCAATCTTGACGATGGTACAAGGCTAATAATTAACAGGAGGGCGTAGCCGCCATCGGATTCTCCTTCATCGCCTCAGTCGCTCTACCTAATTACCCTCACACCACCAAATGGCTAACCCAAGAAGAGCGCGCATTTGCTGCATGGCGCCTAGCACAAGATATCAACGAAGTCGACGCATACGGCGAAAAGACAATCTGGGACGGTGTCAAGATGGCTGTACGCGATTATCGCCTCTACCTGTTCGTGCTTCTTCAGCACGTCAGCTTGGTTTCCCAGACATTCCAATATTTCTTCCCAACCATTGTCGGAACCCTTGGTTATGGAAAGATTACGACTCTGTGGCTCACTGCGCCAGCTTGGGTAAGTCGAGATATTATTCTTTGAGTTATAGTAAGATTTACTGACTGACCTTCAGTTCGCGACTTTCCTCCTCTCTGTATGCGTCACGTTGAGCTCTGCCAAGACGAATGATAGATCGCTTCATATCATCTGTCTCATGCTCGTAGCAGCTATCGGAAACGCAATTGCAGCTGGTACAACTGTTGTTGGAGCTCGCTTCTTTGCCATGTTTCTCATGCCCATGGGCTCTGTCGCTTCTTGTAAGTTCAACAATCCAGGCTGTTATGGAATCGTCAACTGACACTTTACAGATCAAATTATTGTATCATGGGTCGCGAACTCTTTCCCCCGTCCTCTAGTCAAACGATCAGCCGTCATCGCCATCTGCAACATGATCGGTAACACAGCGAGTATTTACGGATCATACATGTATCCCAGCAAAGACGGTCCCCAATACACCCCAGGGGGTAGCGCCAATGCCGCGATCTGTGTTGTAGTCGCTCTTCTCGCTCTGTTGCTGCGATATGTTCATAAGTGGGAGAACAAGAAGTTGGACAAGGCAGAGGCTGAAGCGAACGTCGTGGCTCCCGAGGATGGAAAGGTCCACATGGCTGGTACCACGGGAACCCAACGCGCAGGGTTTAGGTATATTTACTAGGCTATTATCATATACCTTAATCACAGATTATACAAGACCTTTATCCATATCTCCAGATACTCAATCTCGTACCGAGCCTTTTACTGGCGTTCTAGTGGCAGGCTACTGACAATGCCGGCACCTCAAAAACTACCCCAGTAATGCTTATCATAGTCGCCGCTCGGCTTCCACAGAGCAGCTGGCGTATAGACCGGAATGGGTACATCAGCTAGAATAGATAGTCAGCGCATACACAGTTAAAACTCATCAAGTAACTTACTTCCATAACCAGTGCTTGCCGCAGCCCACGTAGGAAACGATGGAGTTGTCCAGCTAGTAGGCGTAGCTGTGACAGTGTACGTGCTGGTGTATGCGGTCGGTGTTTGACCAGAAGAAAGCGACTTGATTCCATTCGCCTGTCCATAGGAATTATCGCCATGGCCAAAGATGTTGCTAATCTTGTTCGCGACTGAGGTTCCTGATTCAGTCCAGATACTAAAGTCTTCGACCGTGACGTTGGTGGCGAATGATAGATCATTGGCCACCAGGAAAAGAGGAGGTCTCTTAGAACCATCAGCGACAGATCCTGGGACACGACGGTTAGTCTTTGCAGTCTTGTTACAACTTTGCTCTTACCTGAAAAATTCTTGAAGACAAGGTTACTCAAAGTAACAGCTCCTGTATCAGGTTCAAACGTGTTCTGCCAATACTGGTTGATATCCAAGCCATAAAGCGACGCCTTGGAGCGGAAATTCTCAAAGGTGATGTTGGTGACGTAGCCAGACCCGCCTGGGTAAGTCTTGATGAACGCAATGTTGTTTCCCTGGATGATATTGATGTTTCGTGCATGCTAGAAAGGTTTAGTCAATGCCGTCAGGTCTTATAGCTATGGTTTACTTACGATATTAGCGATAGATGCAGAGACGTTAAGACTTCCGATCGAGATACCGGACCCAGCTTGGTTACAGACCAAGTTCTCGATAAGAGCATGGTTAGAGGGGCTCTTGACCGACACGCATTCGTCTCGGTTTGTAACCTGATATAATAAGTACATGATCAAGGAGTTTTGGCGGAAGAGTTCGTACCTCAATGTCGTGGATCCAATAGTTTGTGCCAACCACGTCAACACCGTCATAAGAACCTAGGTTGGCTCCTCGGATAGTGAGGTGATATACCTCGAGGTTCTCAGCAAAGTCAAAGACGATGTGAAACTTGGGACTGTCGACGAGAATAAGGTCGTGGACAGAAGTGTTGATCGGGGAAATTATTCTGACAAGACGGGGACGGAAAGTGCTGAATTGAAGATGAGCATTTCTCAAGGATTACTGTTCCTTGGGAGTGACTTACTTTGCCAGGTTTCTGTAGATGTATCCTTGTCCCTGGATAGCACCCTTCCCATTTTGCGAATAAAACTCAAAGTCGACGGCTACACCTTAGTTAGTAGCGGCAAATGAGCTAATTAGGGTATACGCACGATTTATAATAGTAAGTCCATTCTGCAAGAACTGCCCATCGCCTTCACCATTGATAGTCGCGTTCAGCAGCTCAACACCCGCAAAGCCCTGCAATACCAACTTACGGTCAACAGTCCAGTTCCCACCATACGCTAAAGTAATCAGCCCGTCAAGCTGCAACGCCCAGTTTGTGCCGTTTGAAAGCACGACTGAGCGCTTGATCAGGTACTGCCCATCAGGGATGATTAGACGGCTTCCAGCGTTTGGAAGGACGCAGGTCTTGAAGGTCTTCTCGATAGCGTCGGCTGCGTCAGTGGAGTTGTCGTTGATGGCGCCGTAGTTGAGGATGTTGCACTCGTGGGTCTTTTGGGAGAGGGCTGTGAGGGGGCCGACGGGGCCGGTGAGCTGGGCGGTTGCTAGGAAGGCTGAGAATAAGCCTGAGAAGAGAACGAGCTTCATCTTGGAAAAATCTTATATTGATGTTCAAATTCCTTTGACCTCCAAAGTCTGGTCTAATATATATACTCATTCCAAGAACCGATGCCCGATTCGATACCTACGCGCGCTGGTTCAGAAGCCATCACTAATACCAATCATGAGCACGACATATGGTCTTCATCTTACCTTTCTCCTTAGACCAAAAATATCTTTGCCGTTATTCCGGTCAGACTTACAGAGCAAGGTCTACAGAGGAAGTCACTTCTCTCTTACCATCACATCTCGCAATGTTGAAACCTACACACAGCTGATACCATCTCGGGCCATCGCTCCTTTCCGAGACTAGAGGATGTCACGATTATTCTAAGCTTTACTCTATCAAGTCCTAGAAACCCAGAGATTCCCTGCATGTACCAGTACATCTGCTAAATCCTCCTTGTCGAGACTCATACCTTTGGGAGTTCCTGACAGTCGGATCCGAACCCCTACACCTCGGCCGTTCAGACCCATGCTATATCCAGAAATAGCGCGGATGTCACAATCGCCTTTATGTGTTCTTATTGGTGCGCTTTTTCAGATGCCGCGGATGAACCAATCTGACAGTTAGGCACTAGGTTGTTTACACGTCTGATCGACATGGTTGAGGCTCAATTCTGAGTAGTTTCACGATGTGAGAATGATAAGCACGGATATTCGGCACCGCCATCATATCGGTTACACATTGTCTATTGTTTGATTGCGTGGGATGTTGGGATATATAATTCTTGCTGGATGGCGACATTGTCTTGTTCGTCACGCCATCGGCCGTTGACACTGGCATGCACCTCAGTGCCCAAACCCTAAGCAAAGACAAGAGCAAAAAGACAAGATCATAATCTTGTTACCTCCAATTCTCATTTACATTCTAGCATCATAAACCATTGCTCAGCTATTCATCTACTCTTGTCAACATGACGGCAAACAACGTCCTCCTGCTTGTCGCAGACGACCTAGGCAAACAACTAGGCTGCTACGGCCATCCCAATGCAAAAACCCCCAACATCGACAACCTCGCTTCCCAAGGTGTACGCTTCGACAGAGCCTTCGCAAGCACCGCTTCATGTAGTGGAAGTCGCTCTACCATCTACACCGGGCTACATACCCACCAAAACGGCCAATACGGCCTCAACAGTGGAAAGCATCATTTCATGACCTTTGATCACATCCAGTCCGGTCCAGCCATCTTAGCCAAGAACGGTGTGAGGACTGGGATCATTGGTAAGATTCACGTTGGGCCTGAGGCTGTGTATCCTTGGGAGTGGAAAGCTGAGAGTTTGACGAGAGATGTTTGGTGGTCTTCGCAAAAGGCGAAGGAGTTCTTTGCAGTGGGGAAGGATGATGGGAGGCCGTTTGTTTTGACGGTTGGATATCATGATCCGCATCGTGATCGGACGCGCGGTGGCTTTGGGAATGATGAGCCTGTTGATGAGCGTGTACAAAGCGTCAAGTACCGCTCTGAAGATATGGTTGTTCCTGAATTCTTGTCCGATACTCCTGGAGCCAGACACGAGCTTGCGGAGTATCTGGAAGCCATAGGTCGCTTAGATCAGGGCATTGGCTTTATCCTCGATGAGCTTCAGAATGCGGGTCTTGCCTCGAGTACGTTGGTCATCTTCATGAGCGACAACGGGCCTCCGTTTATGAACTCAAAGACAACTTTATACGACGCAGGTGTTCAGCTTCCGCTTATCATACGGCACCCAGATCTCAAAGCTTCTGTGAACACAAACCTGGTGTCGTATGTGGACATTCTACCAACGATACTGGACTGGACACTTGGCCAGGCCGCTGAGGAGCCCAAGAAGCAACTATCAGGTCGCTCGTTTCTTGAGATTCTGAACGAGCAAACGGATCTTGAGGCTTGGGACCATGTTTTTGGCTCACACACCTTCCACGAGTCAACAAACTACTGGCCCACCCGCTTCATCCGCACGCGGCGCTACAAATACCATCGCAACATCGCATGGAGACTGGACTTTCCATTCGCAAACGACATCTACGGCTCATTAACATGGGATGACATTCGCAACTCAGAAGACAGTCCCAAAAAGATTGGCCAGAGGAAATTGAAAGATTACTTCTTCCGCCCGGCTGAAGAGCTGTATGATTTGGAACTTGACCCACAGGAGGTTACGAATCTCGCTAAAGACCCTGAGTATAAAGAGGTTCTGGAGGAGTTGAGGGATAGGCTTGAGGACTGGCAGCGCAGGACGAATGATCCTTGGCTTTATCGTGATGGAGTTTCTGTGCTGTTGAATAAGCATCATCTTGATGCTGGGCTGGAAGTTCCTGATAAGTGGGATCTTGATGTTGAGCATCCTGAGACGAAGGGGGTTGCAAAGTATAAGAATCTGCCATTTGGTATAGCGGGTACTAGAGATTGATCATTAGAATATCTAGTGTCCTTCAAGAGCTTAAAAAAGGATTTCGATTAATTTGATGTATGCCAAATTAATTAGCAGTATGTCAATTAGCCGCCATAAGGCTTTGTTTTGCTTTTGGAACGGTTGCAAACATCCAAAGGAGTAGATGCATTGTCTTCGCCTGTGACAACCACGTAGAGCTTATTGCATATCAGCATTCACCATGAACGATTCGTGATTTCACCCCCTCAACTGCTCACACGCGATATCGAAGTGCACAGAATGTGTCATTGCCCCATGCACATTGGCTCATGCACTTAGAAAAGCCGCACCGCAACGGCATATCGCTTGTCAGCCCGACTGACCGTATGAACCCCCAATAAGACCCCCACCCTTTGTATATGAACATTCCGTTTCATGGTAGATCGGTACATAGCTCCGGGTGGCATCCCGCATACGGTAATAGGTGTTGGGGGTAGCTGGTCAATCCCCATTTATCCCCATAATGTCGTGATGGCTTCTCGGATCATCGGTGCCGAGAGGAACAGGGAAGTACGCTTGAATTGATGGTTATCTCTGAAACTGGGCCATCGGCTGGTCACACCATATGCACTCGTCAGCACGTTGAAGATGGCCTCCTACGCTGGGTATAAGTCAGATTATCAAAGGGTTTACATATAAGAGGGATAACAGTCGCTCTAGAAAGTAATTCATCACCAAACTCATTTCTACAAGTCCTTGGCCCTCAATTACTGAGGAACATCGGGCTTTTCATTGCCCAGAATGGCTCACCCCAGTCATCAAGACATTGACGCAAAGGCGCCATCCTTTGAGATCTCCTCTCCCAAAGATGAACCTACAGATCTTGTAGAGCCCCAAGACACAAGCCGAAACATCGGCATCTGGGAAGCCCTAACCCATCGCACCAAACCCGCCGATCTCGACGCCATCGCCACAGAGCGCAGCGTCTTCGACGATCCGCACCTCTCCCAATTCTACCAACCCCCTCCAGAGTACGAAAACTTCCATCGCTTCGACCCCAACGAAAGATGGACATACCGCGAAGAATACGCCGTCCGTCGCAAAACAGACCTCAAGATCTTTATCTGGATCCTCGTCATGTTCTTTGGTCTAAACATTGATCGCGGAAATCTCGGCAACGCAGCTGCTGATAATTTACTCGACGATCTAAACCTCAACACCAATGACTTTAATAACGCGCAGAACATGTATCGTATTGGTTTTCTGGTCGCGGAGATTCCGTCGCAGATGATCGGCAAGCGTCTTGGTCCTGATCGCTGGATCCCTGTTCAGATCATCCTCTGGAGTTTAGCCTCGGGCGGACAGTTCTTCATGCATAACCGTGCGGGATTCTTTGCGTGTCGTTTCTTCATCGGATTGTTCATGGGCGGTTTCATCCCAGACTCGATTCTGTACCTCTCGTACTTTTATAAAAAGACCGAGATGCCTATTCGTCTTGCGCTTTTCTGGTTTGTGGACTCCATGTCTGGTGTTGTTGCTTCGTTCATGGCCTACGGTATCCTACACATGCGCGGTGTCGCAGGGAGAGAAGGCTGGCGTTGGTTGTTCCTTTTGGAAGCTTTGGTCAGCTTGGTGGTTGGTGTTCTGAGTTTTCTCTTCCTCGTGCCTGGACCAACGCAGACCAAGACGTGGTGGAATCCTGGTGGCTACTTTACCGAGCGCGAGGAGAAGATCATAGTCAATCGTGTTCTTCGCGATGATCCGTCCAAGAGCGGTATGCACAACCGCGAACCGATTACGTTGGGAATGCTTTGGAAGAGTCTTAAAGATTATGACCTCTGGCCTGTGTACGCTATTGGCATATTGTTTGAGATTCCGACTGCGCCGCCAAAAACCTACCTGACATTGTCGCTTCGAGCCCTGGGTTTTAGCACTTTCAACACTACGCTCTTGGCGATTCCTGCTACAGTATTTGCTGCTGTCAACATGCTTTGGATCACTTTTCTCACAGAGAAGTTCCACCAAATCGCGTTATTTGGTCTACTCACCCAGCTCTGGGTCCTCCCATTGCTCATCGTCGAGTATACATCGGTCCAGAATTTATCGCATTGGGCTCAATACGCTGTTGCATTCTTGATCATCGGCCAACCCTCAGTCCATGCAGCTCAAGTTGGTTGGTGCTCCAGACTATCCGGCTCAGTCCGAACACGAGCTATCAGTGCGGCCTTGTACAATATCACCATCCAATTGTCAGGCATTGCATCGTCCAACATTTATCGAGAAGATGATAAACCGCTTTATCATCGTGGAAACAAGAACCTGATTGGTATTACTGTGGGAACTATCTTTGCATATGCATTTGCAAAGGGTTATTACACGTACCGCAATAAGTCCAAGAGGAGTAAGTGGGACAGCATGACAGCTCATGAAAAGGCGAATTACCTCAACAATACCAGCGACCAAGGCAACAAACGCTTGGACTTTTTCTTTGATAGCTAGTTGGACATCTTACATTTAAAACACCAGCTGATGGCATGTTCCTTTGCTCACCAGCCACTCTGCGCAACCATTCTTGTCGAAAGACACCGGACAGTGATCGACGCCAAGATTGGTGCAGGGTGGCCAGCACAGTGTGTCGCTGTATGGGGCAACGCTATCCAAGGCGGCCAAGTCCACTGGCAAGATGGTCGAGTCAGATCGAGACCGAGTTAGTAATGATGCACAAAGAATAAATTGATTTGGAAATATAAATGTTGCGCTCTACAAAGTGACGATTCTATGTACTCGGGACTCATTTAATGTTATTCCCTCGTATGGAGACCATCAGGGGTCCCTCACATGCTAGTATCCAATGCAAAAGCCAGCACATAATAGTCACAAAAACAGCGACTTAAGCATAGATAAACACGGAGCAAAAAACAAGCTTGAATATGTGATCGGCGGCATTAATCCCCTATCATTTTAGTCCCAAAACAATTCCTCCAATCATCCCCAGCCAAGCCCGCTCCAAGGTCACATTGCGTCCTTAACCTTCACGATAAGATTAAAAAAAGCACCATCGGCTCTATGTCCGAGAAAAGAAGTCTATCCAATAAGCTTAACTTACCTGCCGAACTAGGACTGGCCTACCCCCCGCCAAGCATTGCGAAAGATATACCTTGTATCCAATAAGATTCAGTGTGTTAGAACTTTTGCAAGACACGATTCGTGCTTGGTACTTTCTTAGGTTGCAATGGAGAACCTTGGTGGTGCCTGTGGAGGTGATCATAGGTTCTGATAACGGAGCGGGTGTGCGGTAGACACCTTCCAGATCTGGGGTGGACAACGAATGCCGTCACTATCGCCAAGTTGAGATAATGGTTTCGGTGCGACGCTGGGGAGAATGTGATTGGTGATGGGGAGATCGCGAGGCGCGAATGTGCATTGACCCTCCGGCTGTGATCGCTTATGGTAGGATTGCCGGTATACGTGATCTACAAAGATTCCAACACCGCTTCCCCAAATAGAAGTACCGCCAGTTCATACATAAAAGGCACCTTTCCTCGCCCAACATGTTGCTCCTTTTACTCCATCCCCAACTATCATCCCCAATCTTTCATGATGGTCAAGTCCACTCTCCTCCTCAGCGCCCTCGCCGCTATCACCTCCTACGTCGCCGCCAAAGAGGTAAAGGTCAATGAGGAGAAGGCCGCTAGGCTATACGACTCAGGCGAGGTGCACAACAAGCTCATGGCCAGCAAGGAGGCTGTCTGGGCGAAGCAAGAGGCCGCTGGTGCTTTCGCCAGCGAGCAGTATCCCAAGCTCGGCTACACAAAGTGTATCGACGGTTACGCAGAGGCTATCAAGGGTGATGCCAACAACACCTTTGCCTGCCACAACGTTAGTAACACCCCTTGTACAACAACTAGTTACACTGGCTGACGAACCTCTAGGCTGATCTTTACTCGTTCTTGAGCCACGCTGCGCTTGGTAGCACTGGCGGTCGAGGCTCGTCCTCGTGGGGATGGACATCCGATACCGGCCGTGAGTTTGTCGCTATCGGTCAGTACGACGGCACTGCGTTCGCAGAAATCACCAAGAAGGGACAGCTCGTCTATCTCGGTCGTCTGCCCGAGTACTCTGTCCCCTCCCAGTGGCGCGAGATCCGCACGTACAAGAACTACGTCATCATCGGATCCGAAGCCGTCGGCCACGGTATTCAGATCTTCGACATGAAGAAGCTTCTCAAGATCAACCCCAAGAGCCCTGTTGTCTTTGACGCAAAGAATGATCTCACCAGCCACTTCTCTGCTTTGTTGCCTGTTGGTCGGGCTCACAATGTTGTTGTCAATGAGGAGTTGAAGTACGGTGTTGCTGTTGGTGCTCAGCCACGCACTGACCCCAATTGTCTCTCTGGACTTAACTTCTTTGATCTTACTGATCCTTCTAACCCGGAGTCTCTTGGATGCGCCAAGGGCGATGGATATGTTCACGATGCGCAGTGTCTTGTTTATCGTGGTCCTGATAAGCGCTACCAGGGCCGTGATATCTGCTACGGATATAACGAGGATACTCTGACCATCTACGATGTCACCGACAAGGCTAATGTCACCAACATCATCTCCAAGATCTCTTACGAGGGTGCTTCTTACACTCATCAAGGTTGGGTTCTCGACACTCAAAACCAAGAATTCCTCGTCTTGGACGACGAACTCGACGAGCGTGATGGTAAGGGTCCTGGTTCTGACGGTTACCCCGTGACTTTCATCTGGGACATCCGTGATCTTGAAAATCCCAAGCAGACCGGTGTTTTCAAGCACCCCACCAAATCCATCGACCACAACCAGTACGTCATCAACAACTACATCTACCAGTCCCACTATGGCGCTGGTCTCCGCGTCCTCGATGGCCGCTCCATTCCTCAAGACCCCACCGGTGCTGGTGTTTACGAAGCCGCTTGGTTCGACATCTACCCCGAGGATGATGCTCTTCCCGGTGGTGGCAGCGTTGCTTTTGTTGGAACTTGGTCTTCTTATGCTTACTTCAAGTCGGGATACATCTTCATCAACACTATTGAGCGTGGTGCTTTTGTTGTTAAGCTTACCAAGGATGCTTTCAAGAAGCCCAAGAACTAAGAGGCCAAGCTGCTTCACGCTGAGTTGAAGTTGTGGTGGCGAGTAGAGTCATATAGCTGGCAAATCAAAACATAAATCAATAATTCCAGGTACCTACTGCGCGAATGTTCCAATCTAGAATACTTACCTTTCTTCCCTTTCCTATTTCCAAACTTCTGTTCCCACAAACTACCACCAGTACCAATCTTACTCAGCCTGCTCAGTTGAATCTTCCGCAAACCATGAATGACGGAGGATCTCCTCAGCTGAGGGTCTCTTGGCCGGATCGTACTGAAGAATCCATCGGATAAGTTTCTTCACCTCCTGTGCCTCCTCCTCTGTCATTTCGGGACTCTTCCTGTGGAAGGCTTGTTCCATGGAACATTGTTTTAGCATAAGCGGCTCCCTACCCTCGGGGACACCACCAATCATACAATTGTACTTAGTCCCATCCTGGGTGTAATAGCGCGAAGAGGTCTTCCAGTGGCTGTAAAGCTCATCGGGAAGTGGACCAAGCCTATCCACGATCTCAAGAAGATATTCGTCATCTAGCAAGGAAGGATCGTCCTCGGTTGAGCCACCAAAGACGTAGAAGAGAGGCCTTCCGGCGAACAATTCGAAAACGAGACACCCGAAGCTCCAGATATCCTGGGTCTTGTCGATTTCTCCTTTGAGGACTAGCTCTGGGGCGCGAAGGGCACATGGAACTATGGAGTCCGTTGGAGGGTCGTTGAGGAAGTATGCTATCAACTGTTTGCCTAAATTCATCTGAAGAGGGAAAATGTACTTACCGCCGCCCATGTCAGCTAGTTTAATTTTGAGGCTTTCGTCAATACTCGTGTAGTCCGTTAGCGGCTCTGCAGTCCACAGATATTCGGGTGCCCATCTGTCTTTCTTGCCATCAATTCTCTTGATACGATAGCGCTCGTTCGGCGTTTCCTTCTGACGTAGGGTCGCTTCGTCACAGGAATTGATGTTGTTGAGCGAGAACAGCATATTTCCCGGTTGAAAGTCTGCATGGGCGATACCATGCTTATGAAGAAATGCTAGCCCTTCCAGTGAATCCCTGAGAATACGCTTCGCCATTTGGACCGGATACTTCATCTCACTCGGAAATTTCTTTTCCCTGTCGGCAAGCTCCAGAAGCATTTGATTGACGGATGGTCCCATGGGCTCAAAAACAAGGCATTTGTGTGTGCCGTTGGGACCTTTATGTTCAAACTCGGCGAGAAGCTGCGTGATTCGCTGGGGTGCTGTCAAAGGAGCAACCTGGGTAAGGTGACGCAAGATTTGCAACTCCTGGGATTTTTCTGCCTCATCTGAGACCAGAATCTTCAGTGCTACGTAGCAAGAGTTCCTATGAATGGTGTAAGTACGTGGCTCAGTGTTGTCCCGAGGATTAACTTACATCAGGTCATGGGCAAGCCAGACAATGGAGAAATACCCTTCTCCAAGTTTTCGAATAATCTTGTACTGGCCTTCGTTGAGAACATCTCCTAGGTTGACCGGGTGATAGCCTCCTGGTCGGTAAGCCTCAGGATCCTCGCCAGGTGATACGCAGTTCTCCAGCCTCTCTTCGAAAGGGGCTGTTGGGGTTGGTGGAGGAGAGACGCTTGTTCCTTCCATGGTGACGTGTCTTGTGAGAGTTCGGACGGAGTTCTGTGAGATGCAATTGAACATTTGATAAGCGGAAATGAAGGGTTTATGAATTTCTGAAACTCATCACGGACAATGAACGTCGGGAGTACCGTCGGCCTTGTACCGGGCAACAGTAAGCTTCGAGAATCATTAGCGTCACCTCATCAAAATCGAATAAAGAGGAAAGGCATATCCTGACCTGCGTTGGCCCAACAAAGTGCTCATCGTGTTGCAAGTGAGTTTTAACCCACTTGCGCCCCCACCAACGGTGTGTTAGCGTTTGAACTAATGCCGCAAAAGCAGGGAATTACTTCACGATCAACCAGTCTTGGACCTCATGTCTCTGCCACAGACTCGGTCTGTGTACAATGAGAGCCCAATTGACGCTGCGGCGAGCTGGCAGGCTCAGTCTATCGGACTCGCCGAGTTCGATTTCTTATTTTACTAGTTAACATGGTGGATGAGATCACAGGACATGGTCCGCGCCGTGACAATATGCCTCGACATCAAACACTCTTTGTCTTGGCCTTTCGGCGCCAAGATGTGGCAGCCAAGATTGATTATGGGTTGAGAGGAACAGTACTAAGCTTGGACGGCACGTAATCTCAGCTTTTCTTTGTTTACTCATGGCTTTGATACCTTCTCTTGGAAGAGCATCAAGGTTGGTAGGCCCACTGACTATCCTGCAAAACGGTGCGGTTTCAAACAGAGCCAGACCTTGTGTACAGTTGTTCAACTGCCCGTTGGAAACGATCAAAGGATGTCTTGTTCGTAGTTCGGTCTAGCACACAAGATGTGTTCTCCAAACATAGCTACGAACAATGAACAACGGGACCAGTTCATGAAGAACAACTCAGTCATGTGTTTGCCTCAATACCTATAAATCTTGAAGAAGAGAACGAATGGATCAAGTCCCAACTCCACATTGAGTCTCTCATCTGTGCCAATTCTGAATCCTATCTGACATACCTTTGACCAACTCAAATCGCACTCCACAAAATCACCGCTGTCTTAACAAAATGCACGTTGACGATGTCTTGTTTGACCCATCCGACATGTACATGGCACAGACAGATGGTCTAGCCAAACGAGCCGAAATAGCCCGACTGACAGTAGCAAAAGCTCCTGTCGGGACTTATTCGGCGATAGTCGTGAATGGCTGGCACAAAAGTAGAAGTGATAAGAAAGAACACTGTACTGTGGACTACTACACCTACACCGATTGTTTTGATAAAACTCGTGACCATGTTCATCGACCTGCTGTCATAGCCAATGAGCCAAGTACTCGCAGTGAGTGCATTCAATGATGGAAGTAACAGGCCAAGTATACGACTTCTATTCTTGGCGTTCTTCTCCAATCTGATCTGACAGAGGATCGGACTTTGTATGGTCAGTATTTGGGCTACAATTTTGAGTCAGTGTTGGGTATTTCGATGTTCGGGTGCTTTTTGTCAGCAGCTATAGAAAAAATCAGAGGCAATAGAGATTTGTTGGTTTTCACTTTGAGGAGTCTACTGTCTGACCCGAGTTTCCCGCCGTTAATGAATTGACTCTATTAAATTCTAGAGCGTAGCATAGCCATGATTAAGTCTTTGTCCTCGGTTGCTAAGTCTGTGAGTAAATTACGCCAGTTCTCATACAGCTCAATTCAAAGTCATACTTTGTTGCCATCGAAATCGGGTTTTGTTGTACCGACACTGTTCTTTCTCCCATCAAAGCTTAGTAGCGGCGAAAGGCCAGCATAGTGGGCAAGTTCAGCCAAAGAATAACGCAGGCTGTGGTTAAATCCTACAGGGCACAGATGGATTGAATGTCTTCAGCTAGCCAGGAACCACAGAAACAACGCGAACAAAGTCAATGCAGCCAATTCGGTCACCTCAAAAGCTCTTTGAGAGCGAGATACGCCACCATTTAGCAGTTGGCATAAGCTCCGAAGTGACAGATGGAATCACGGTACATTGAACCATTATGCCAGAAATGGACATTTTATCCATGCCATGCCGACTGACAAAGAAAACCAGTCGGGTGCCCCGAGGGCAATCAATTTTAGCGTCTTGACTCGGGGGGGATGCAACGTTAAGCCCTGGTAGCAAACATTCTTTGTTCTAACTTAGGGCGGCACGGTATGAAGCGACCATTAGCTTTGCATCAAACAAGTTCCATCCGAGCTTTTTCATCTGCATGTGATGGCTGTTTTCTTTTGTTCATGTCCTGACCTTGGCGTTCGCGTTGTAAGAGAACGGCAAAATTGGTTGAGAAGGCCATGGCATGGATGACATTGCCAGATTTTCTCGGGTTCCAACAAGGAGAAAATTTTCTACGTACGCTCGGCAAATCAAATCAATTACCCATCTGGTTATCATCATCTGTTCATCGTTAGCCTGCAATATGAGGTATCCTTGGGATGTGGACACAAGGCCACGCGTTTTGGAATTCGCTCGAACATAAGATATGGTCTCTGAACATTGAATCGACGACGAATTAGTTGACACGAACAGAGTCTCGAGAACAGAGACAGCTCCTTTCGTCCATATGTATAAACTTCTAATCCAATGCCAAACTCAGACTGAACTCTACACCGTATACCCTCTGTGATATACTCAAGCCGCACTTAACAACATCGCCACTTCCATGCAAACAGGACAACACCAATGTCACATTTGTTCCCTAAAACATGTATAACGGCCAAACACAGACCAACGGTGAGAGCAAACGACTTATCATCGCTAACTACGCCGTAGCGCAAGCTCTTGGTAATGCTAACTAAAGCAAGCGTCGTGAATGGATGTCACACGAGTAAGAGCGACGAGATGGAGAACTGTACAGTCAACTACCGATGCAACGGCAAAATCAAGCGCCGCCATGTCTACGACACCGATGGGGCAAATGAGTAGAGGCGGTTCGTGGCGAGAGCTCGTTCCGGACTGTACACGCTACTGCTGTCAAGGGCTTGCTACTGCGATGGCAATGGTGATTTCATCGATCAGGGCCATGCTACCTAACCCTCTCAGAGGGGTTATCCGGATGTATGGTGCCAGAAACCATCGTGTTTGAGTACTTTGGCACTCTTCTGTGTATGAACGTAAGTGAATGAATTTCTGTGACAGTACCATGAGGTGAGGGGCTGGGAGAAGCCTGAGCCCTGGTGCAAAGGCAAAGAACACAAGTTGGATAGCTTTCTGTTCTATTTAGGCAAACTATAACCTGCCGGAGGGTTCTATAGTCAGGTAGCAAGTTTGCCTATAGGCGCTAGATGTTTGTAGTAAATAGAGCAAGACAACTTCCGAACAGAAAACTTTCCTTTCCATTTTGAGTATCTCGCGGCTTCATCCGAATCTCTTTAGTCAACTACTTAGCCCAATCTTGGTAGTGATGTTCTGTATGTTACGTCAACCCACTTCCTATACTACATACCATCGGCTCGACGGTCATCTTGGTCCGAAAAATGCATGAAGCGATATGATTAAATATGTATAATACCGATTAACCCATAAAAGTCATCCAGTCAAAAGACGGATAAATAGATTGTTTCACACCCCTTCCACGGAAGAATTCCCGTCATGCTCGTCTCAGGTTTCACCTCATGGCCCGACAAGGAAATTGCGGGCTCTCGATTCCGAACTAACCGCAACACCCCCTGCACGGCCAATGACAACCTCAAGCGAGAGAACCGCCCTGTTTCAGGCTTCAGTCCCTAATATCGTCCGTCTCTCACGTTCAGCTCAGCTCATATATAGATCTCGCATCGTCCCTTCGTTCTTGGCATCTTGGCTCTTCACTTCACTTCTTTCAGTCTATACTTCAATTCTCGTATCCTTTTTTCATCATGCTTCGTCAAGTTGCTCTTGCTGCACTCTCTGTGCTGCCCCTCGCCCTCGGCCAGGTCGCTGAGGATTTTGAGAGTGGTTGGGATAAGGTCGCTTGGCCGACTTATGCGCCTGATTGCGATCAGGGCGGTAGTGTCGAGCTTGACAAGACTACTGCGCATAGTGGAAAGAACTCTATCAAGGTCACTGGTGGACCCAATGGTTTCTGCGGACACAAGTTCTTTGGAACTGATGCTGTTCCCGAGGGTCACGTCTACGTCCGAACTTGGATGTAAGTTACGAGCTGAACATGCCAAGAGAATAGCTACTGATCAACTTTTGTGACTATAGGAAGACTGCCAAGGCTTTTGATGACTCGCACGTCACCTTTATCACTATGCCTGACGCCGCGCAGGGCAAGGGCAAGCATCTCCGCATCGGTGGCCAGAGCAAGATCATGATGTACAACCACGAATCCGACGACGCCACTCTTCCCGACCTTTCCCCCGACGGCATCGCTGCCTCCAAGAGCATCCCCGCCAACACCTGGCAGTGCCTCGAGTACCACCTCTCCCCCGACGGTACCATCGCCACTTGGCTCAACGACAACCCCGTGCTGGGTCTTGTCTACAAGCCCGAGGCTCCCAGCTCTTATGCCAATGGCTGGGCCAGGAGCAAGCCTAAGCCCAAGGTTCAGGGTGTTTACTTTGGCTGGGAGTCTTATAGCGGTGCTGTCAACACTTTCTGGTTTGACGACATTGCTATTGACTCCAAGCGCATTGGATGTGCTGTCAAGAAGTAAGCTTGGGCTGGTTGTGATGGAGTGTATATGAGATTGAGTGTAGGAGTTGCCAGGTGCAACATTCTTGTATCTATTTTGAGAGTATTTACATACAATGTATTTATGCCGACTGTGATTCTGTGACTCTAATTCCCTATTCGCGTATCGGCTTCATTCAAACGTACGGAATCATTGTGGCTTGTCCATGAACCACTAAACCTATGCTGGTGCCAACGGTTTTCATGACCATCCGCACAGCCCAGATTGCTTACTGAGTGCCCAGCGCAAAGTTCCTCCTCGTGCCATAAAACCCGACGTCCAGTGTAACCAACTCATCCAAGTAACCCAAGTCAACCTTTGACAGGCTATCATCGTCTTCACCAAAGAACTTAGCTACTCTC